CAGGTTTGTTTTTCTCCTGAGGCCTTTTCTCCTTGGTTCACAGTTGGCCATCTTCTCATTGTGTCCTCACATGGACTTTTCTATGTTGTCTATGGGTCCTAATCTCTCTCTGGCTAAAGACACTAGTCATATTGGATTAATGACATAGCCTATGACCTCATTTAACTTTAATTAACCTCTTTCAAGGCCTTATATCCAAATACATGCATTTTCTAAGGTGCATAAGGTTAGGATTTCAACATATGAATTTTTGGGGAGTGGGGGCACAACTCTGGCCATTACATGGAGTGAATTCACACTCTAGGATTCTACAACCCTCAACTATTACCTCTCCTTGCTTCTTTTTGAATTAACAATACGATCCAGGAATCCCCAGAAAAAAAGAAAGTTAGTAGAACACTCTGATAGTTTGGCAAGGCCCACACAAAACAAGACGATTTCAGGGGGTAGAATGAATTGTGAGTCCTCCTTCAAATTTTATAATAATTAATGGTGCAAGTCCTTTTATGCAGTCATGATATTTGTATAGCAGGCTTAATCCACGGGCCAGTTTTCAGGCAGGTTTGATTAGTATTCATTTACCACAGTGGGGGAGATCTTTCTTAGGCACATTAAGGCAAGCCAATGCAGAATACCATTGTTATTTTAGTGTGGAGCAAGCTGTTATCATGAAATAAATAAAAATTAGCAATGGCTAAAAAATGCAAGGTGCCTAGAGTCCTGGGGGGAAAAATGTAGCCGTTAAGTGAAATCTCATGTTGTGTTTCTCTTCTTTTCCAGAAGCCGCAATATTTTCAGTACAGTTTGAATGAATTAATCACTTGTTAATTTGGGAAGCTGCTCAATCAACACATCCTCCCCCACTTCCTTTCTCAACTTCAGTAAGATGCTGCAAGTGTCTGTGACAATCAGAGTGGGTTCTGGTACAGCTGACCTTGCCAGCAATAACAAGTATCTCATTCTTTTAACCTAGTGGTGAACCAGGAGCTAGAGATGGCCCTTTACTGAACTTTCAATCCTTCCAATGGGTTTATAAATCCCTTTCTGTTGGAAATATCTACTAATTTCTTTTTCTGACTAATACAAGTGAACAAAATAATATTTAAAAGTTTTAAAGACAAACGGCAATCTATATAAAGTATTTCTTTAGTTCAAAGTTATAGAAAACGAGTCAAGATAGCATAAGGAAAAATGAGAAAAAGAAAAAAAGGATTTTATTATGAAAATTCAGGTTTACTCGTAGAATCCAAAAACTAAGAAAGTACTGGTACAAATTATTTACAAGGCCAGTGGGAACCCAAGCTGTATGCTAATTTAGTGTCTTATTTCTTTGCCAAAAAGTTTTTTGTTTGTTTTGTTTTCCTCACCCTTTCTAAATGGTGGAGAACACAGCAAAATTGACTCCCAAGTTTTTCATCTCTACCACTCAAGAAGCCCATCTTGAGTGTGAAATCTCTCGATTCTAAACCCAGATTTCTCAAAAAGAAAATCTGATGAGTCCAACCTGAATTGGCTCATCTTCCCAATCATCGGCTTTGGCAATGGAGATATGATCAAAACCCAGAACTGCTATTTGAACCACAATGAGACTGGCCTGGGGAGTTTCCAGAGAGGAGAGAAGCAAAGCAAACAATAGTGTCAGGTGTCCATTACAGCTGGGAAAAATTTTACAATACATACACACGTGGCCTGGGTGCTATCCAGGATTTCCATGTATAATTGTGCAGGTTACACACACACAATGGCATCTGACCAAGGGTTAAATAGGGGATAAAATTCCGTAAGTCCAGTGTCTGGACTTCCTCAGGGACAATTTCTATTAATTGCTCTTTTTCTTTACATGATCCTTCCTCTTTTTTCGCATGCCTGATTTTTTGTTGTCGTTGATGAAAACTGGACATTTTAATTAATATAAGTGGCAACTCTCGAAATCAGATTTTCCCCCATCCTCCCCAGGATTTGCTCCTGTTGCTGTATGTCATTTGTTTAATAGCTTTTCTGTGCTATTTCCACAATAGCTATATTTTTTGTCATGTGTGGCCACTAAAGTATCTACCCAGTAACTTTAATGGTCAGCAAATAATTGGACAGGGATTTTCTTTAATTCCTTGAACCAAGAAGGGACCCAGCCTTTGCTGAATAGCTGTGTGCGTGCGCGCGCGCGCATGCATGCTAGGGTAGGGATCCCCAACCCTGGGCCATGGACCAGTACTGGTTTGTGGCCTGTTAGGAACCGGGCTGCACAGCAAGAGGTGAGCAGCAAGCATGCGAGTAGAGCTTCATCTATATTTGCAGCCACTCCCCAGCACTAGCATCACTGCTTCAGCTCCACCTCAGATCATCAGGCATTAGATTCTCATAGGAGCTCCAGTCCCTGGTGCCAAAAAGGCTGGGGACTCCTGTGCTAGGGCATGCCTTCAATTCTCTGGCAGGTGGTTTACAATTCTGCCTTAGCCTTCACATCCTGGTTCTCTAAAGCCTCGAGTTCAGCCAGAGGTAAGACATTAAGGCCTTCTCAGTGTCTCCTGGGCATGTGCATAACCCTGCATATATGTGGGGCCTGTAGATTTCCATACTATGTTGCTGCTTTTCAAACCCTCTATAGACATCTCATTTCCCAGATTTTCCTTTTAAGTTTTGGTTCAGCCTTTTACCTGCTCCAACTGTTATTACTGTCACAGCCAATACAATGGTAAACAATTGCAACCGATTGGTTATGATAATTAAAACATCTCTAGAAACACCTGATTAATAATGCTTTACTAAAAAAAAAAAAATGCTTTACTCATTGTGGTGATCATTCTGTAATATCTATATATTGAATCATGTTGTACAACTGAAACTAATGTTATATGTCAATATCTCAATAAAAATACTTCATATTAGGCACTGTACTGAAAGTATTGAAAGAAATTGGTATTCCATATATTTTAGGTAGAAGTACAGGTTCACATAATTGGAAAGCACCTTGGAAACTGATTCGATCTATCATATTCGTCATCACATTTCAGGAGTTACCACATCTAAAGCAGCACAGCTACATGAAAGTTACTTTTTAAACACCTTTACCTAAATAACCTCAATTTTCTTTCTATGTTATTCTCCTTGACTGGAAATACACACTACGAGCAAAAGGAAATTCAACAGAAATCATTGGCAGAAAATTCTTACCCATCATTATCTACAGACTGTAAATCACACGGTTAATCAGCTTATTACATAAGTTTAATGGACAGGTGTCAATATGAAGTCCTAGATTAGAAATAAACACTCAAGCCTTTTCATATGTACGTATGACTGAGATTGGAACTGGAAAGAATGTATAATAAAAGAGCAAGAAAGGAGTGGAGCAAGTACTAGATATTAAACACAAAATGTTTCTAGTTTGAGTATATTAGAAAAATTGTTAATCTCTTACAGTTTAGTATCCTGTTAAAAGAACAAGATTTAAAGCAAAAGTTTTTTTAACTGACTCATGGCTCTGTTACTTATTAAGCTGTGGAACGTAGGGCAACTTTCCTCATTCGTGAACACCCCAGGGCGTTTTTGGAATATGTCTTACACTTCTGGCAAATACCTGGTACTCAATAAACCGCAGTCTTTATTACCTGAACGGTACTCTTTGTTTTCTTATACCTAATCTCAAAATTAGTAAGCATCAGGAGCAAGAAATTAGACTCCAATTCTCTGGTTCAAGTCCAGTCACACCAGGATATCTCTGAAAGATACCAAAGCGTCCCTTTTGCTGGAAGCGGATGTAGAATTCTGAATTTGTACAAAGTGCGACCACTTAGGAAGGAGGGATTTCCGCCTCAACGGCTCAAGCGCCTGCGAGACCAAGAAACTGAACCGGAACAGGTGGGAGGAACGCCCAGCGCCCAGAGGAGGGGTCCGGAAGCGCTTCTTTGGGGGGACTACATTTCCCACAAGCCCGCGGGGGCAGGGCGAAGGTTGGGCGTCGGGGACATACTGGACAGGCCTTGCCCGGCAATACCAAGGTAAATGCCGGCACTGCGGCTCCGAGGGAAGAGTAACTTACAGTCTGCGCCTAGACCTGTGCTAGTAACCCTCCTAACTTACCCTCGAACCTACATAAAACGACCCGGTGACTTTGGTCGGAGGACTCCCTCCACCGCCACTACCCATATCAGTACCCCCACGTTGGGCCTAGGGGCGCTTCCTAGATGCCCGAGGACGCGGGGTGCTGTGCGAGAAAGGTGAAGGCCCAGAGTACCCCTTTCTGAGGTTGGCGATCCGTACTAGCTCCTCGTTCGCCCCTCCCCAACGCCCTGTCGCTTATTATATCGTACTGGAGCTGTGCCAGGCTCCCTGGGGCTCGTTGTTAGAGGTGGTTGGTGCAGGGGAAGGTGCTCTCCCTCCCCCGGCCCAGTGTAGTAGCGGCAACTTTCTTTCTCCTTCTTTTGGTTGTTGCTCGCACGTCCTTGTCTAGAGGCTAAAGCTGTCGAAGCCGTGAGAGCCAAACACTACTAAGCACCTCCAGCCAGCATCCCTATCCTTTCATCTACCCTTGAGGGTTGTGTAAAGATTGCTACCGGAGAGGCTCAGTTAACTTGCCCTAGGTCACAGAACTTCAATGGCAGAATTTAAGGTTCGCACCAAGCCTCTCTCGACCTAAAGCCTTCTGCGTGTGACCATTACCTTTCTCTAAGAACCTAACAGAGACGGCAGGCGCTGATGACCAGTCATGTTTTTGTCCAGCGGTACCAACGCGCTGCTTTGGCACAGCTTGCAAACCCCGCGCCCGTTCGCGTTCTGCCTGTCGCGATGCGCTAGCGCTGACCCGCGGATCCGGCCTGTTCCAAAGGGGAGCACCAGGTCTCCCGCCGACCCACCCCATTTCTCTTCCTTTCTCTCTCCTCGGGCCCTTGTCTCAAGGAACGGACCGCCGGCGCGCATCAGCGCGGCTGCCTCGGGGAGAGTGGGTGGAGTTTGCTGCGCGGCGGCGGCGGCGGCGAGCGGGTCATCTGGCGGTTGTGGGGCGGGGCTGTGAGGAGGGCGCGGACTGACAGAGCGACCCCGCCGGGATGGGGGGTGTGGCTGCTCCGCTGGGGTCCTGCGGGTGGGAGAGCGGCTCCGCGACCACCAGGGGCCGGAGCCTTTCCGCCCTATGCTAGACATGCTTTTCCTTTCGGTGAGTTCTGTCTTCGCGTGCCGGCTTCTCGACCTTAGTCACGCCCCGGGGAGGAGGAAGGAGCCAGGCCACCGCGGTTTGTTTGGCTTGGATAGGGCAGGGGAATCGACCAGCTGCTCTCTTGGGCCTCCTCCCTTTGGGCATGTTGATCCGCGGCTGCGCTCCATGTTCTAGTTTCATGCAGGCTCTTGGGAAAGCTGGTGCTGCTGCTGTCTGATCCCAGCCGACAGACCTTGGGACGGGGACCGGCGCTGGCGGCTGGAGATGGCGGACACGAGATCTGTGCATGAAACCAGGTTTGAGGCGGCGGTGAAGGTGATCCAGAGTTTGCCGAAAAATGGTACGTACATTAGCACCCCCCGCACCTCCCCGGAACACCCCGCAACCCCTCGCACCCCCACGTAGGAAGCCTCCGGCAAAGGCCTGAGGGCCCAGTTTCTGAACCTTACCTCCTTGAACCTTTTTGCTTCTACTCCTGCTTATTTAACCTACTTTTCTGCTTTTAAAAGAAATGTAATTAAAGGGGAAGTATCGAATATGACTTAATTACCTGCTGATCTTTCAAGCCAAAGACAAATATATATTATCCAGTTTTTAAGCATTGTATATTATTGAAAACAAAAGTCTTGTCACTTAATGACTGCGGATATGTGTGTGTTAAAAAAAACTGGCATGGGGTTGCCTGGTGCCGCATGCTCACAAAGTCTACTATTTAAGCCTTTTGAAACTTCTGATATGACGGGAGAAAGGAAAGAACTATATTCACTTGTAAAACGATTTGTTTTTAGTAAATACATATTTATTTACTTCTTATTTTTGCTATTGTACTAGTTTCTCTTTTTTGCACTCATATTGGACCTTTGCACCTTGGGAGAAAAGTCATTCACGTTCTTTTGTATTTCATGTGTCATTTCTCTGGCTACTTTGAAGATTTTTCTTTCTCTTTGGTCTAGGTATGGTGTTCTTCATATTTATCCTGTTTAGAGCTTGCAGAACTTTCTAAATTTGTAATTTTATGCTTTTGACCAATGTTGGGAAGTTTAAGACCATTATTCAAATATTTTTTTCTGTAGAGAAGCTTGGAGAGGGCGACTTTTATTTTTCATTTCGTATCCTCCTGCAATATGTGAATTATTTTTCACAATAAACCTGTATTTTTTTAATGATACTTTTAAGTACAATTATTGTGCCAGAGTGTAAAATAGCTGACTACAACATTAATATATTACCATGGTATTTAATATTATGTTTTCTGTTAATCATCATTTGGCTATGTAATGAATAGTCAACACCATTCAATGAAAATTCACTAAGTACAGATTCAAAAAGTTTGGAAATAAATATACGCAAAATAGTATTCCTTTGGTAGTCTCAAGCATCAAATTGGAGGAGGACAAATGGGGGATTGGAAGATAAGAGTGAGTGAACAAAATGTAAAGAAATATAGGAACTTATTTAGGTATTGATTCTTTTGAAATTTATTTTAATTAGTTTCAAGTATATAGTACATTGGTTAGACATCTATATAGTTCATAAAACGATCGCCCCAATTGCTCGCTCCTTCTCCTGGCCCTCCACCTAGCCAACATTAATGCTAACTGCATTCCCTATACCATGCTCCCTGTGACCATCTGTTAATTACTGATTTGTACTTCTTTAACCCTTCACCCCATTCTCCCAGTCCCCCACCCCCCATCCCCTCTGTCTAGGTATTGATTTTTTAAATGCCCAATTAAGAGGGTTTATAGAAAGGCATGATTCTCAGTTTTATATAAGTTGTACCTTCATCTTTTCTCCTCCTAAACTACACGTTTTAATATATTTTTTGAAAAATCGATAAAGCTAGACTTGATGTCTCTAGTTCGCTACCTTTGTTGACATTACATATCACTTATTAAGAAAGTCATGTAAATATAAAGTATCTATTAAAGAACATTTAAGAAGGTATTGCAAAGTTAAGATTACCTGTCAAATGGCAGTTGTGTTAGACAATATTCAGTATACTGTTATTCCCTGAAACTAAATTGATATTGAGGTAGAATATTGTTATAAAGAATTATTAAATATTTTTATAATAATACTTTAAAATTGTTTGCCCTGTACTGGTTACAGAGAGTAAGATCCTATCGTTTTTGTTCCTTTTTACTTAATCTTTATTTAAGGCTTAAGATTATATTGAATTTTTATAGCATCTATGTTTGGTATTTCCTTGGTCTTTAGAAATTTAAGTTCTTAGATAATTTCTTAAACACATGTCAAATTTATCTTGCATGAGCACCTCGAGGACAGAAATTATACTTTATCCAGTGTCTTAAACACAGAAGACATTCAATATGTTATCAATCTTTGCTGTAACCTATTCTAATGTATTTATCATCCACCTTAACCAATAAACTTTTAAATCTTATTTGATTAACTTCCTGAAGATATTATAAGATGAGGCATTTGATATTTTAAATTTAGATTTGTTAGTTAAATCTATAACCATTTTTAACTGTAGTTTCTCCATTTTTTCCACTCTGCTATATAAAGAATTAGTCTATCATTAAAATACTATATGTAATAGATACTCCTACATGAGCATCTATTACATAGATAATTATTAATGTGATTTTGGAATTGATTATTTACTCTGCCAAGCCTGAAACACCAGCTCTCATCTTGTCCATGTTGTAATTTTCATGTTTATTAACTATTAGTTTTTGAGTACTACATGTTACTTGTTTATTATGTAATTTATAAAGTTTTTAAAGTATCTTTTTACAGTTTTTCTTAAAAAAAATTTTATTTTTGGTATAAAAGTAATACACACTGAATGTAAAATTTTTTCAAACACAAACAACCAAAAAGGATGATCAAAATAATCTGTGTGCCTACTATCCAGAGTGATGCTCTTTAACTATTTGATGTGTTTCCTTCTACTCTGCTTTTTATGTATATAAATACTAATTTTGAAAAAATGGATAGTCCTGGATATGCTGTTGTTAAACTTCTGTTTTTATAATAGATTTTGTAATAGATTTTGAAGCTTCTCATGCCAGTGTTTATATTTTTCTACAATACAATTTTAAGGGCTATAGTTATATATTATCTTCTTGTATAAGTGTATCGTATTTATCCAAGTGTTTACATAAAACATTTATATTTTAGTTTTTCCGTGTTATTAAGAGTATTGTAACTTATAGTACTTGTTTATACCATTTGAACTTTTTAAACATAAAAAAGGTTATAGATACGCAGAAACATATATGAAACTGATCTTCAAAGAACTTGATGTGTCCAGAATTACAGAGATAGGCAGAGAAAAACCTATTTATCTTGGATTAATTCTTTAGCCAAAGTTCCTATCCATTGAGGAATTTAAATTTGGCCAAGAGAATTTGAATTTCTTACTGTTGCAATTTTATTAAGCAGAGTATACATTTAACTTTTTGTTTATGCTGGTCATTTTTGGTTTGTCACAATCTTTGAATAATCGTATCTATTACAGATGTATAATATAGTTATTACATATTTTAATACACTTGTATTTTTAAATGACTTTGCCAGTTATTATATCTACAGTGTGTTTCTTAATTTATTCTTTTATTTATTGAACTATGTTGGGCATTGTTATTAAAATCTGAAATCTCAAGAGTTTTTTAAACTGAAAGAATAAAGCAACTAACAGCCATAACTTTTGTTTCTATAAGATAGAAATACATAATTATCTGAACTATTAATGAAATATTTAGAAATCATCATTAATATAGTTAAGCTAATTTATAGGCTTAGATTATCAGTTGTATTCTCCAAGTGATCTGTATTTAATGTATGTTTCCAATAGGTTCATTCCAGCCAACAAATGAAATGATGCTCAAATTCTATAGCTTCTATAAGCAGGCAACTGAAGGACCCTGTAAATTTTCAAGGCCTGGATTCTGGGATCCTATTGGAAGATATAAGTGGTAATTTTATATTGAAAGCTATGAAAGAAATCTTACTGTATTGACATAATTATCATATGATTTTTATTTATGTGGTTATGTATTCTGTGCATTAAATTTTCTAGGTACAGGATACAATTTTTATCCTCCATGTGCTCTTAGTACAATTTCACACAAATAGGGAAGTCTTTGGAAGAAGGACAAACAATAAAATAAAAAGAGTCAGGTGCTGAAAGATAATAAAGCATTTTCAGTTAGTCTTTCCTTTTATGGAGTTTTTATGCCAAGAACAACTCTCAAACTAAAAGAAACAAGCTCTCCTACCTCTTTGACCTACCATGAAAAATAATGACTTGCTTATCAAGTGACTTCATTTGCTTTGAGCCTTTAGATTAATAAGTAATTAAGAATGTGACTTAGCTGTCATACTAACATTTTATCTAAGCCATCACTCCTGTCCCACTATACTTGAATAGAAATTTGATTTTTAATATACATAAAAGAATCATAAAATATCCAGAGATCCCTCTGCCATTTTTTCAATTGACTAACATTTGATGTTTTAAATACTATTGAAATCTTTATAAATGTCTAACAAAACATCTGACATAGTCTAATGTAGACTGTATGTTATGAACAGAGTATGCTAATTGGGGAAGTATATCTTAAGAGCCACACATTTTGATGGCTAAATTTCTTCACTCTGAATTGGAAGTCCTTAAATTCTTTTGAAGATTTTTTAATACTCTACTTTTATCTAAAATCTTTATGAATAGTCATAAAATAATAGGTTAACTATAATAGCGACGTTATTTAATCTTTTAAAACTATTTATTTACGATTTCCCCTCAGAATTGACCTTTGATAGAGTTAAACTGCTTCTGGAAAAAGTGTATAAAAAGAGGTTTTCATTTTAGGCAAAAATTTTAAAGGACTATTCTGTTATCTAAGGTGTTAAAATTTTCCTTCTCTCGCATTTTCCTTTTTTTAGAAGTAAGAAACCATTTCCATTTTTCAGACGTGTAAGTTAGACTCTTTTTTAAATTAGCAGAAACTCTTAACCAATATTTCTGTTGGTTTAAAACATGTAGTGTCTTTTAAAATATTCATTTCTGTCATATAATGACAAAAAACTTTTAAAGAGTTCTTAGCAAATATTTACAAACAGTCTATAGTTTCTGTGTTCTAATATAGTCTCCCTAATCTACAGTCTATGGTCTATAAATGGGTAATATATTTATTAGTTTTAAATACAGCTTGATTTGCCAGTTTATTCACTGATATTTAAAGAGATCCTTTGGAAACATAATATGGCTTTAAGAAGAGCTTGTTTTAAATTAATGATGCTGTACCATCAACTATAAATTGTATTCTGAGCAATTAAAAATCAGTTGTCTTTTTGTTGTTAATTTGGATATTTTCTTTTTTAGGGATGCTTGGAGTTCGTTGGGTGATATGACCAAAGAGGAAGCCATGATTGCATATGTTGAAGAAATGAAAAAGGTAGGGAAAATAATTCACAAGAGAAAATAAAAATATTCAGAGCAGTCCTAATTAATTTTGTTATCAGGCAAAATATTTTAAGGAACAAGAGATTGTAATATGTTAGAATATAGAAACTAGATTATTGAATTTATTAGGGCCTTATCTGTCTTATCAAAGTTCATCTTAAGGTAAGTTTTTTTCTTAAGATACATCACATTGTGGTGATATTTTGTGTGGTTTTTTTTCACTTTCCTTATCTTTCTCTGTAGTTGACTTATGCAGAAAGTGTAGAAATAGGAATCTTTAAAAATATTGATGTCCCTAAATTAGGAGTCTGGGAAGTACCTGGACTGTCTTGAAAGCATTTCTTTGGAACTTTTTATTTAGGAGAAATAGTTAGCAAGACTGTCCAACAATGTTTTTATATACCTTTTGACACATAAGTTGAGGTACACCCATTGTTGTACTTCTCAGTACAAGCATTTTTCTGTGAATGCAAAGATCCTACAGAAGCAGAATAAGGTAAGGATGCATTTAGTTTCTCTGGTAACTTCTAAAAAACTCATTTCTTATTAACTACCTCTTTTAAGTTCGTTCAAGGAATTGTTTGGAGGAGCAAATTTATGAAGAAATCGTGGATTTTAAAGATGATCTTAGTACCTTTTTATAAAGGACAATGTTTATGTTGGAGATGGATCAGATGGTATGAAATCTAGGTCTGTTTGCTAATCTTAAATTATCTTTGAACATAAAATCTGTAAAAATGAGTAGTGCGTTTGTTGTTGTTTTTATTAGATGGTTTGACAGTATTAATCTCTATAGTAATTTCTGTTTGGTGGATTCAAACTAGTTTTTATTTTGTTTTGATTTGTTTTGTTTTAATCACCTACACTGCTAAAGTTGTGCCCTTTGTTACATTTTCACTGGTTTTTGTTAGTAGATTTTGTTTATAATAGAGGGCAGAGTTTAGTTCTTTTGGCTGTAAGCTATATCAGTAACACAACAACAAAGGAGCCTTTCAAAAGTAGAAAGAGAGAGAATCTAAAGTCTTTTTAATTAGTTAACTATTCCTTTTTCTTTATCTTAAATATCATTATAAACTTTAGGACACACTCTAACATAAGGCTGAATTGACACATTAAGTAAAATGTACCCATTTTTCTTTCCAATTTTATTAATTTATGATGTAGCCGCAGTTTAAAGTTGGGGGGGAGGTGAAACAATACGTGTTCCACTTTTTTTTCCCAAGGAAAGTTGAAACTATACGGCTGCCTTTTAGCTGTCTTAAAATGCTTCCACTGTGCCTATAGATTCCTATAATTATTTCTCGAATTAAAAGAATACACCATCTATTTTCACGAGACATTTAAAATTTTCATTTTATATTATGAATACAATAAAGTTTGTAGGGAACTTTTAGAGGTAAATCTAAATATATTAGGATATGCATAGATTGAAAATTTGATTAGTCTTTTAAATTATTTTCAGAGTTTAGCTTTGTGGACATCAGTAGGTGAAATTTCATGCTTCTAAATAATCATTTGTCCCAAAGATTTCGTTACTGAATTTGAGATTTTTTCTAATGGCAATAATTTACTAACTGAAGCAGTCATTAAATTATGTTTTTAAATATAAATCTCAAATTACGGTATTAATGCTCTTTAGAATTAACTCTTTTAGTATGAATCTCATTCCATGCCTTTGCATTCAGAGACTTAAGGGACTTTGTTAATTTATGTTAAAATAGATAACGTTTTATAAAAAATTGCCCTTTCATACTTTATAGACCATCCTGTGAAATACCACTAAAAACGTTGCTGGAGTCAAACATCCTTTTAAAATAATTTAATAGGATTTTAGTTTTGAGGAAATAGAGTAATGCAGTTTGGGGGAAATAATCCTTGTTTCTTTAAATAAAGTTTATTTTGATTCATAATCAGAAGGAAATATAAAATTCTATTTTCTGCATAATTTTACAGGCTGTCTTATGGGGATTTCCAGAAAATTCAGCCAGTACTTTACTAATGTGCATTATGTCCGTTGAATTTGAAGAGAGATTAGTATACAGTAGTCCCCCATTATCCGCGGGGGATACGTTCCAAGACCCCAGTCGCTGCCTGAAACCACAGATAGTACTGAACGCTATTTATACTATTTTTTTTTTCTATACATACAACCTTTTTGCTTAAAGGAAGCACTTTACAGTTTCTTTTAGGCATATAGAATTGCCATTTTCACTATTGCTTTTTGGGGCCATTATTTAATAAAATAGGGGTTACTTGAACACAAGCACTGTGATACCATGATAGTCGATATAATAATTGAGACGGATACTAAGTGACTAAGGCCCAGAGAGTATAAACATCGTAGAGACTCTGGACAAAGAAATGATTCGTGTCAGGGATGAGATTTCATCATGCTACTCAGAACAATGTGCCGTTTATTTCTGGAATTTTTCATTTAATATTTTTGGATCATGTTGGACCACAGGTAACTAAAACCCTGGAAAGTGAAACCACAGATAAAGGGACTACTGTACTTAATTTTTAAGAACAGTAGAATCACTAAGGAATCTTGTTAAAAAGAAATACAGATGCTCCAGCATAACTGTATTTCTAATTGTTTCAGGATTTCCAAGAGGGTAGGGTAATCACTGTAATAGAGGAAGGACTAGAATAGGCTCTCAGGATGGGGAGGTTTTTTCCTAGAGTCCATGCAGCTTACCAAATATTTCTTTTAAACATTCTTCATCTGGGTAAGTTACAATCCAATTGAATTAATTAAATTACACTTAAAAAAACCCTCTTTTCCAATGATAACTAGTAGTTACCTAGACTGAGATTTGCCTCTGTCTGCTTGTCTGTGTGTGTGTGTCTCTCTCTCTCTGTCTCTATCTCGTTGTGTGTGTGTGTGTGTGTGTGTGTGTGTGTGTGTGTGTGTGTGAGAGTAAGATAGAGACAGACAGACCAACAGACAGACAGAGACAGGACTGTGTGACTATGCATTTGTGACATTTCTTTTATTTCAGCATTGGAGTGAGGGGGAGTATTTCATAAATGGCTAAGATTATTCTTGGTTTTGTATTTTTAAAGTCTCTCTTAAATTCTGGGTGTATCTCGCTATGACCACCTGTGTACTGACTATATTGACCACTGAAATTCTAGGTTCTTGAAAGAAAAATTACTGTGCTTATATTTGCTTAGCACCAGCATATACTCCATTTAGTTTCAAGTCCATAATTAACTCCTTTACTTTGCGGAGTATGAGAAACCCAAACACTGAATCGAATAGGCCTGTTTAAGAACAAATTTGAGAAAGAGATGTAAAAAATGATCTTTAATTGAAGGATAAGTAAAAGGAATCTGGTTTGGAAGATCAAAGGAGGTGTTGAGTGGGGTCCAACATGAGGTATGTGGTTGGCTTTCTAGATTCTGCTCCACTGAAGAATAGGGTAAAGGGCACTGACGTGTGTTTGAATCATATATCTGCCATTTATTAGCTGTGTCTTTGGTCATATCACAGAAATACTACCTTACTATTTCAGTTTCTGGTTTGAATCTAATTCTCAGAATTATTATAATTCAAATATATTACAAGTCATGTATCCATAATAAGCTATAAAAATGCTCTCCTTAAGGGCCCCAGCCTTACAATAAGTATTTCCTTTAGCAAAAAGACATTTTATGATTAAAGCATTCTTTTCAGTACTATCCATTGATAGGAGCAGCAGTTAAATCATCATCACTAAAACCAGCTTTTTTTTTTTTTTTTAAATGCCTACAGCACCTGGTCTTCCTAGGTGGTCTTCTATCCAAGTACTAACCAGGCCCGACCCTGCTTAGCTTCTGAGATCAGATGAGATCAGACACGTTCAGGGTGGCATGGCCATAGACCAGCTATTGTTAACATAGTTCACCTTGTATAGTCTCTCTTAAAAACCCCCTTCCCTCCTCCCCTTCTTCCCCTCCCCTCCCCCCACCCACACACAGAGTAATGTTGGTGATGGGTATATCTCAGCTTAGAATCAGACTTGCTGATTACCATAGAATACTGATGGTCTTTCCTGTATCTAGTTTAGAAATAAAAGCATGTTGTTAGAAAAACAATTTTAGAGTTGGAAACTACATTTTATTAAATACTTTCTATGTGCTGGACACTGGAAGTACAGGAGTGATCAAAAACATATGAAAGCCCTTTTCCACAGTTTACTTTCTATTGCAAAAGGCATTGAACAAGCAATAAAGCAGGGAGAATGACTAATGAGTCTGAGGTTGTTGTATAAGGATCTACTTTAAAAGTGCATATGAGCTGAGGAAATATGCAAGAATAATATAGGGTTTTGGTTGTTTAAAATAATAAATTTGTTCATTTTAATAATAAAAGTAAGATAAGTAAATGAAAAAGCCCAAACATTGAAAGAAGTGTAAAATGAAAAATGAGTTCCTCATTCCCTCTATTTTAAACTTTTTAGTGGTAATTACTTTTAGTTCTATTTTGTAGATTAAGTCAGAGAGATACATATCTTATTAAAAAAAGAGAAAACCAATAATTGTATCATATTAAACATACTGTATAGCAACTAGCTTTTTACCTTTAAAATAAAGTTCATGGATATTTTTCTAATCAGCACACACAAAGCTAACCTTAGTCTTTTTAATATCTGCAAAATATTCCATATATGGAAATACTTTACTTTCTTTTATCGGTCACCCATTGATGGTTATTTATTTGAATGTGTGTTCAGTTAATATGCCTTGCTTTTTAAATTTGATGATTCTAAATTGCCCCATAGTTATAAAGATGTCTGACAGTAATTATTTCCTATTTTACTTTTGTGCCCCTTTAGAAACAATGCCACAGTGTTAAAAAACAGGTGTAATAATTTTACACTAACTTCACAATTTTTTGTTTTATTTAACCTCAATGCCCTTAGTTTTTAATACACAATTTATAGATTATTATGTCAAATTTTACATGACGCTTATATGAAATAACCTTCAAAATGAAAACATTTTTAAATCTTTAATTTGCTTGAAACTTTTCTAGGAGAATATGTACGTTAAATATGTAATTCTCATAGATATTTTGGGAATCTATAAATGAATATCACATCTTGAAATTACCAATACATGAATTGTAAATGTTATTTTATACCAGTGTAGATAAGATTAATAGTTTGTGATTTCACAAGATTTGTTTCCTTTGATTACAGATTCTTGAAACTATGCCAATGACTGAGACAGTTGAAGAATTGCTACAGGTCATAGGTCCGTTTTATGAAATTGTAGAGGACAAAAAGAGTGGCAGAAGTTCTGATTTAACTTCAGGTGGGACTATTTTACCTCATTTTTGACTTAACAACTGATACATTGTGCATGCATTAATAATTACATGTCTCTAATTTTTTTTAATTTCACATGCTAGTCCGACTGGAGAAAATCTCTAAATACTTAGAAGGTAGGAATAATAAAATCCACGTAAAAATTTTGTTTAAAATTTACATGTCAAAGAATTCTGCACAAATTATCTAACTTATAAGCTTGCCACTCAAAAGAGTTTTCAATCCAAGCAAACACATTGCATAAAGTTCCAATATGTTATAAATAAGTTATTGCAACATGAAAGATGGTTCACTTAGTATATACAAAATTATAACAGAATTCATAGTGTTATTTTGATGGATCATATTTTTTATTTTGTTTTTCAATTATATTAGCAATACCATGGCTGAAATGGTTTCTAGCTAATTTTAAAGTGATATGTTTGCAGTATAGTTTAACTGTAGCTTAGCAAGCCGAAACAGTGCATCAGTGAATTCACTTAGCATGGTTTTTCTTTTTAGCATTCTGTTTTCATGTTCTCAATAAAGAACTGAGAACTAGCAGAAGTGGAATAATGTACACATTTGCTGTTATTAACAGTAAACCTTTGCCCTTTAAGTTTTTTTAGAAAGTAGAGTGAAGTGAGCCCTAAGAGTCATTTTAAATGAAAATTATATGTATTTTCCCCCCAGCTTTGTTGAAATGTAATAGATAATTAGTTGCTTGTATTTACATTCAAGGATCTAAAGAACAAAATAACAACAACAAAAACAGAGATAAACTCATACAGAAAAAATTATATGTTTAATATATATGGTATCCTCCCTTTTGGTTTCTGTCATCCCTACTTACAAGGCATCTTCTACTAATTGATAGAAATTACAGTGTTTTGACATAATAATCCTGTCCTCTCAGAAGGCCTGCACTTTGTGTCTGCTACAGAGACCGATAGTGACTGCTTATTGGACATTACTCTGTACCACACCCACTGTATCTGATATGCCTAGAGGAGTCAAATATTATCAAATTATCTTCCCTATTCAGGCTTATTCAATTCAGAATAGATATTGTTTTCTCTGTGTAAACCATGTTTTTAAGATGAAATGAGGAATAAATCTGGACCTGCCAGAGGCAAATGTTTAAACAACTAAGTATAAAATCAAGGAAGAATGAATAATAATAATAATAAAGGTTCAGGTCCACACACCCTTAGCTATAATTTAAGAATTCGAAAAGCTTGATAACCAAAAAGATTCTTTTGTATCATTTGGCAGCAAAATTTGTCCTGACATGAAATAATTAAAGACCAAACCCTGACCTAAAAAGACATGAAGCTATTTTAAGTCTTTACTTATCCTGCCTAGTGTGACTGTTCATGTTTTGCTGCAGAAATCTTATTTTTTTTTTTTAGTGAGAGCTTCCTAGACTCTGTTGAAGGTGTTACATAATATACAGTATATATAGTGTATGACCTTTGCAAAATTAGAAAACTCTGGATTTCAAATCATAATCTGGATCAAAAGTGGTAAGGGACGTGTACCTATAACATAATTTATATAACTTGTTCCATCCTGATGTACATTTAGATTGTTTCCTCTTCTGATCTTCAAAAAATGCTGCTGAAATTAACCATATACAAATGTCATTTTACATATGTGGGAGGATATCTATAAGAAAAAATATTAAAAATGTAATTGCTGGGTCAGAAGATATGTGGGTTTGATAGGTGTTTGCAGTTTTGTAAGATATTGCCACACTGCAAGACAGTTTGCACTCAACTTTTTTTTTAAAGCGTTTTTTTCAAAATCACCATTTAGGCCTAGTAGAACAGAAGTATCTGTGTCACATGGGTTTTTTCAGAATATACATATATAGTAAGTTTTGAAATCAGGAAGTATGAGCTGTCCCACTTTGTTCTTTTTCAAGACAGTTTTGACTATTCTGGATCCCTTGCATTTCAATAGGAATTTTAGAAACAGCTTGTCAATTTTTGTAAAAAAGGCTAGCTAGGATTTTGATAGGGATTGCAATGAATTACAGGTCATCTCAACAGTATTGCCTTCCAATTAATTTACTTAGATCTTTAATTTTTTCCACAACGTTTTCTCATTTGCACTGTATAATTCTTATACCTTTTCTTGTCAAATGTATTCATAAGTATTCTTTTGGGGGCTTTCGTAATGCATTGTTTTCTAATTTTATTTTTGGATTTTTTTTATTGTTAGCTTATAGAAATACAGTCGATTTTTGTATGCTGACCTTCTATCCTGCAACATTGCCAAACTATTTATTAGTTCTAATAGTGTTTTCATAGATTTCTTAGGATGTTCTATATAAAAGAGTGTGTCATCTGCAAATAGAGGTTATTTTATCTCTTTCTTTCCAATCTGGATTTTTTAAAAAAATCCTTTTTCTTTCTTGCTTAATTTTTAAAAAAATCCTTTTTCTTTCTTGCTTAATTTTCCTAGCTGGAACTTCTAGTACAGTATTAAAAGAAATGGCAAAAGCATACATTTTGTCTTCCTTATCTATCCTGCCATTGCCAAACTATTTATTAGTTCTAATAGTGTTTTCATAGATTTCTTAGGATGTTCTATATAAAAGAGTGTGTCATCTGCAAATAGAGGTTATTTTACCTCTTTTTTTCCAATCTGGATTTTTAAAAAAAATCTTTTTTCTTTCTTGCTTAATTTTTAAAAAAATCCTTTTTCTTTCTTGCTTAATTTTCCTAGCTGGAACTTCTAGTACAGTATTAAAAGAAATGGCAAAAGCATACATTTTGTCTTACTTATTTTGGGAACACAAAATTCAAGTCTTTTTATGTTAAGTATGGATGCTAGCTATGAGTTTTCATAGATGCCCTCTATCAGCTTGAGAAAATTCTTTTGTATTCTTAATTTCTTCGGCATTATTATCATGAAGAGTGTTGGATTTTGTAGAATGTTTTTTCTGCATCTGTTGTCATAAACATGTTGCTTTTGTCCTTTAGTCTGTTAATATGGTATATTACATTTATTGATTTTTGGATGTGAAGTAGGGCTCATTAGTAATTGTCTGTGCTTTCTACAACTCTCATCAAAGAACTGTTGTGATCCTGTTTTTGCTCCTGTCAAGTCCTTTTTGACAGCCGTCATTTGTTGGGAGTTTGGGGGGTTTCCTGTTAGTTTTGTTGAAGATGTCTGTGGGTGGCGGGTGTTTTTGTTTTTTGTTAATTGTTGTTATTCTTTTCTTTCTTTTTTTTTTTTTCCTGGTTATAAGAGGGAGAGAAAGGGAGATTCAAAAACTATCATGATTCTCTAAGAGAAACTAGAACACAATGCGTTAGATAGAACTGAATTTTTAGTCTTCTGTTTTGTAGCTTTCTGTTTAAGTAGACTTACATAAGAATATAGACCTGACTGTTTAAGATGTATGGAGATTTTGAAATTTAATATGTTATTTGGGATGCAGGAAAGCATCCCAAATGCATTTGTATAAGTGAAAATAAAGCCCAAAAGCTTATGGAGGAAGACCACTATTTTGGGCCGGTAGCCATTTAGGACGCCTCTAATATCTTAAAGCGTTGATGAGAATGTAATTCCCTGTATCTCAAAATGTGGTCCAGTAACCAACAGCATTGGCATCACATGGGAGCTTTATGGAAAGACAGAATCTTAGACCACCCCAGACTTACTAATTCAGGATCCACATTTTAACTAGATCTCAGGTGATTCCTATGCATATTTATGTTTGAGAAGCTCTGATGTGTTTACTCTTAAGGTATGACTTCGAGCAATAGGACAGTTTTCCTTTTTACGTGACTGATAGCATTAACTTATATTTTTATGAAAAGCTTAACTATAAAGACATAATAATAAATTGTGTACCTGAAGCCTTAAAGGTTATAAAAAGATTTTAAAAATGTTTAAATGTAGTCCAACTAATGATGATTGTTGTTAGGGTCAAATATATTTATGTTTCCAGTATGCTAGCATATAGCAATTCTTTATTTATCATGTATAAAGTTTATTTATCTCTAACTTTATTAATTTGATTGACATTAAAAATAATTTATCTTTTGCCTTGTTCAGAATGGTTTTATCAATTTCTTGTAAACTAATTGAAGGAATTTATGTAACGTATGTAATATTTATAGACAAAGAATAGAATACCATTAAGTATATATTGGAATCTAACTTTTTACTTAAAAATTATTTTATTAGTTATCTGTAAATTACAGTGTTATTTGTATGTTACAGCATTAGAGATTAAATGGTCATTTCATATTTTAGATCTTGGTAATGTTCTAACTTCTACTCCAAATGCCAAAACTGTTAATGGTAAAGCTGAAAGCAGTGATAGTGGAGCTGAGTCTGAGGAAGAAGAGGCCCAAGAAGAAGTGAAAGGAGCAGAACAAAGTGATAATGGTAACCTTTGATGATGGGCTAATAATTTTACATTAACTAAGACAAAGGGTATGGAGAGGTTTGGGCTGATTTGACATTGTGTGCGTGTAGTGGGATGTAGGCTGTTGACCCTATAGCCAGGTTTGCTGTGGACAAAAGGCTCTTCTATAGAGAATAAGGACAGCCGGCCTTATGCATAGTTGGAATGGATGTCAGTTGAAGGCTAACAAGTATAGGCCTTTCCTCCAAATGTAATGCCTGAAATGCTGCATCAGAAATATATTCATTTAAGGTATTGTTTCCAGTATGAAAATGCATATGTTACCAAGGAGAGGAGACAAATTAAAACTCTGAATATCTCATCAAGAATAGACTGGAATCCTGAGACTAGGATACGGGCAGAAGTTTTGATGAAGAGGGAACATTGGAATCATGGGGCACTGCATTAAGAGGTTTTATTAGTAAGAGTACTAGTGATTCTTGGGAAGACTGTTCAGGAAGGAGAGGCAGAAAGACACCAAAACAAACTGCACAACTTAGTTTTCTCTTTGTGTTTCATTAAGGTATGACAAATGATTCCTTCTTTGAAGGATCTTTTTATTGACCATTTTTGTACTGCTGGGTCTTATAGAACAATTTTCCTATGCTGAGAGAATGTAAAGACCTTGAGAGATTGTTTCTTAAAAGGTCTAAAAAATTCACAGGGAACTGAAGCAGTTGTAAAACCAACTCAGTTTGGTTGAGCTCTCAGTATATGAAAAACTCCTTTTTGAGAAGCACCCCATCTCTCTGATCCAAGTAGGAAACTCTTCAAAGGGATTATGGTAGGGGGAAATGACTTGATAGTAGAACATAGATTACAGAAGTTGACCTAATGTAAACTTTTATGACTCTCCATTTTCACATAAAAGATAAAACGAAGAAATCCACAGACCATAAGAATTTGGAAATTGTTGTCACTAATGGCTATGATAAAGACAGCTTTGTTCAGGACGTACAGTTTGACATTCATGCCAATTCTTCCCTGAATGGCAGAAGTGCTGAAGAAATAAAACCTGTAGATCAAAATTTGGAGCAAACTGGAAAAACTATTGTCTGCATTCACCAAGGTATTCTCCCATAATAATTATTTGTCCAGCCTCTTCTCTATAAATCAAATATTCTTTTAATAATTTCAGGATATTTAGGAGTAATTTAGAGTTTAAAAACCTTAATGCTAAGATATTTAGTAACATTTTAGGATTTACTAATATTATAAAGGTTTATTTTTTTGAAAGACAGTGAATTAGAGCCAGGGCTTTTATATTTTTATTGAGATTATTAAATTGTTTTTGTATGGCATTTTAAACTAAAATTTTGCACTTTTTACTTTTATTCCTATGTTTCTTTTAATTTAAACCTCTTAATATGATACCTTTTTTCTCCAATCAGAAAGATGTTATACTTTTTTCATATCTTAGAGCTCTAGTTGTGAGCCTGTAATTTGTATACAGTGAATTATTAACATTGTTTCAATTTAGCCAAGACACCAAGAATTATAATTTCTTAATGTAACAACCAAACTTGCATAGTTGCATTCAGTCTTAGGCCTTCTTACTAGTTATTACTGTTCTCTTACAAGGTTATTAAATTTTGCAAGGTTTGATTTGGACAATGTCTTTGTATAATTCCATGATATAATACTTTGTTATCTTTCCAAATAAAAATTACCAACTAAGTTTAAAGTTTTGGTAAGTTAAAAGAAAAGAAGTGTGGTTTGGTAAATCAAATTTGTCTCCCAGTGTGAAATAACATAGAGCTAATAAGTTTTGAAAATGGAATATATGCCTTTTTCTTCAATTAGAGAATAATTATTCGACCTGGACATTTATTCATATTTAGATATAAATGATGATCATGTTGAAGATGTTTCAGGAATTCAGCATTTGACAAGTGATTCAGACAGTGAAGTTTACTGTGATTCCATGGAGCAATTTGGACAAGAAGAGGTAAAAATTACATTTTTTAATTGATAAGTTTTCAAAGTGGTATATCCGAATTCGTGCATAACTTCTGTTAATAGCAGATGTACAGGCTGTTCATCGCTTTGAAAACATACCTCTAAAATGTTTAAATATTTATATTTTAAATTGTGTATTTAAAAGTTTCTGAATATTCAAAAAATAACATCTGAATGTTATAATTTATAACATATTCATATTTATGAATATTCTGAGAGAGGTGAGTTGGAGAAGTAGAGGGTACACTCCTTATGCTAAGCCCTAAGTTTGAAACATTGATAAATATTCAAAAATTAAATAATTTTCCAAGAAATAAATCTGTTCTTCACATTGACTTTAATATGTTGAGCTGAATTTTTAGTGGACATACTTTTCAGATTTCAGTTAATTAAGATTGAGTTTTGGAAGCTAACATTTGAAAAAATTTATTAAAAGCACTTGAATTGTTTTTTCTCTTTGACAGCTTTTTCTGATAATGACGAGGGTGGTTTTGACAGCTAGCTGTATTTATGTTTGGTAGTTGTGTATCCTTCCCCCACTAGTTCCCCACCTCTGTTCTAACGCAGTTCAAGTGTGTCTTACAGAAAATCATTTATTTTTGCCTCCCTAAAGTAATGATTTTAACTTTATCTCTTTGTGTTTTCTTTTTTAAAAATTCCATAATGCAATTGAATTTACCTCTTAGCTTTCTCAAATTTTAAAAACCAATGAACAAAAAATACTTTTTAACTAAGGTCAAACACAGATGAGTAGTGTAGATGGGAAGAATAGTGGTAAGGAGACTAAACTGAGAAAGCTGCAATTAGTGACAAATGAAAAGTGATAAAAATACAGATTTCCTTTTATTTCTTCTTTTTCAAAGATTTGTTTAGGGGAAAGTTGATGAAAAAGGACTGCATGGGGATTAATCTCAGTAAAATTCTAGATACTAAATTGCTCCTATTTTCTCTGTAAATCAGTCGATAGACCAAAATCTTTCATGGGGCTCTGCCTGATCTGGCTCCTGCTTACCTTTTTGGCCTCTCTGTTCACACCACTGTCCTGTTTGGGCTTTGCTCATACCACCCTCTAAGTCCCTTCCCCTTCTCTCTTCCAGAACCAGCATCCATGCGTTCATTTCGCTGGAATGTAACTCACATTTACCTCCCCTGTCACCGAGTTAACTCCTGCACATCCTTTGAACCCTGATGCAGATGTCCCTTCCTGAAGGAAACCGTTAGATAAAATACAGCCCCGCCACATCACTGTCCTCACCAAGTCTTTAAAAAATATGTCTAATGTCTCTGATCAGTTTTGGAGTCCTCGAGAATCAAGGTGTTTTCAAGTTCTTTTGGTGATTAACTAATACCATATTTATTGTTTCCCTAGTATGATTCGAACATTTTCCTTTTCTCATTGATTTCCCCATTTAAAAATTTCTCATTAATTTAAACATTCATTTAAATATTTATTGGACGAATGACTGATTCACAAGAATAATTCATTGCCATAACTTCTCAATTCTTTCCTTATAAATGAATCATTTCTCTCCCATTTCTTCCCTACATATAGGAGGCAGAATATGAAGAAGTTTTTATAGAAAAATAATGTTTTCTGTAATAACATGAAAAAAACATTTCATAAAAACAGTAATTCTTCTATTATCATGAAAACTTTGTGATGTATAATTTTGCCTATACCTTTTAACTCAGTATTTTAAATTTATAGTCTTTAGACAGCTTTACATCAAACAGTGGACCATTTCGATATTACTTGGGTAGTGATCTCAATCAGCCCTTGGAAAATTCTGGTTTTCCTGAAGATGTTCAAGTATATCCTGAGAATGGCAACGCTGGGGACATGCAAGTGGTAGCGGTGGAAGGAAAAGGTGAAGTAAAGCATGGAGGAGAAGATGGCAGAAGTAACAGTGGAGCACCACACCGTGAGAAACGAGGCGGAGAAAATGAGGAATTCTCCAGTGTCAGGCGAGGGAGAGGTGTGTATTCTTTTATGTTCTCACTGACTATCTTTACAAACTAATTAGTGAAACAGAGAGGGTCTCGATAGGAGTATTGGAACTATCAATCTGCAAAGGGAATGTTAAAATTTATCCATATATAACATCTGACCATTTTTCTTTGTGTCTGGTTCTTCCATTTGATTCCACAAGGCACAGTACTATGTCCTCTGAAGGCATGGGGGAAAACGTTTGTATTTTTACATCTTTTATGCATTTTTTGAGGTAGAGATAAAAGAACATTTAACACAAAGGTCAACGTTACGAATAGTAATACGATCAGATAATAGACTAGAGAGTTGAATGGGGAAGAAAAGTAAATAATTTTTAATTATTTATAGTAAGGAATGAATAGGTATTATCAAAAAAGAGAATTAATGGAAAGATGAGTACCATATAATCTCACTTTCATGGAATCTTACAGAGAAGAGATTAATGGTTCCCAGAGGTGGGAAGGGGTTTGGGGGCTGGAGGATGAGGAAAATGGGTGACGGGAGTCAAAAGGTGTAGTACAGACTTCTAGTTATAAAATAAGTCATGGGATATAATGTGCACCATAGTAACTACAGTTAATACTATATGATAATTTGAAAGTTACCAAAAGTAGATCTTTTTTAAAAGTTTTCAATTACAGTTGACATTCAATATATTAGTTTTAGGTATACCGCATAGTGGTTACATATTTATAGAATTTACAAAGCGGTCCCCCTGATAAGTCTAGCACCCGCCTGGCACCATACATGGCTATTACAATATTATTGACTGTGTTTTCTAAGAGAGTAGATCTTAAAAGTTCTCATCACGAGAAAAAAAATCTTAACTGTGTATGGTAATGAATGTTATCTGGATTTGCTGTGGTGAATATTTCACAATATATACAAATATCGAATCATTATGTTGCACACTTGAAAAAAAGGAAAATCCCTGTTTAATTTCATGAGGTCATAAAAAATTAAAGGATTATTAGTGTATCTGGTTGAAAAAAACCTACAAAAGTAAAGCAAATTAAGACAGCAGAAAAAGGAATTAACGGTATTAAGAAAATTATAGTTTAAAAAATAGCCCTTTGAACACATACAGAATTGTGAATATTTAGTTAAGAAAAGGAAGATCACAGCATATTACTGGAGTCTTGAATTCAGGCCTCTTTCTTTGGGCAGTTTATCACATAAACATATGAAAGGCTTCCTATTTGCAACCTGACTTCACCCCACCTGCAACACACTGCAACTTCCAGCAATCACAGGGTCATGTGCAAGTGGCACACCCTGAAAGTTGAGCTTGACAAGCTTTATAGTAAATCTGCCTCAGCACTAAACAAATATTGAGCACCTGCTCTTTGTCAGGCTGTGTTCTGGGTCCTGGGGATGCCATAAAGAAGAAATGTCCCTCCACTTCAGGGTACATTCTTGTGTAGGGGAGCTGACAGTGAATAATCAAACAATTCAGATATATTGCAAATGGTGGTAAGTGCTCTGAAGCAAAAAATATAGGGTATTTGGATGGAGTGACTGGAGGTGGGGATTAACATAACATGGGAATGGTCTGAGTAATCTTGGCTTTGTGAAGTCTGCTTTGAAAGCTGAATATTATTACAAGATACACTAAAGTGAGCAGAGGCAGGAATACTTTTCTGCCATCATCAGTACCCAATGACAGGCCTTCACAGAATATCTCAAGTTCTTAAGGATACAGGAAAAATTAAGCCGCAAAGTGGACTTTCCACATTTTTTTCCTATGTAAATTCCATACCAATAGCTAAAGTGGTCTGAAAGGACCACTTGAGAATTTACTTCATTTTGATGTAAGAGTAGAAATCTTCTTGAAAATGGCATCAAGCACTTCAGTGTACTTTTTGGGGTTTAACTTGGCAAACAGCTCCAATTATGTTTCTCTGACAACCCAAACACTGCTTGTAGTTCAGCTTAGGGAATTTTGCTGCTGTAGAGTTCCAGGATGTCAGATGGCAATCAGGTAGATCATTTCTTGTTTATTATTTAAAACAAAACAAGCAAAACTTATATTTGCAAATGTAAAAACTTGTACTATTCCATTTCTGCAAGGGTAGGGTAACATGGTAATACCTTTTATATGCTGCAGTATAAAACTGTTTCAGCTTTTCTGAAAAATAACTTGACAACACTCATTAAGAAACTTGATAAAGTGGTTACTTTTGGCCCAGTATTTCTATGAGTCTATCTGTCTTAAAGAAATCAGTAGAAATTTGGATAAAACTTTATATACAAAGACATTCATTGCAATGGTATTTGTAATTGCAAAAATTTGGAATCATTCTAACTATGGAAAAGTGGCAAATGATCAAATAAATTGCTTCATGTCTTACTAGAGAATTTATGTGGCCATTTCAGTGTTTTTGGAATAAAATTTAATGATGCAGATAAATGTTTATAGTATTTTTTAAGGTAGGATACAAAATCATGTATAAGGGGTAATGCCAATTCTGTAAACATAAGCGTAGAAAAAGAATGGGTAGATATATAATAAAATTGTAAAAGTAATGAAATTTCAATATCTTTATAAACATAGTGGAAATTATAAAAATAAAAACATTTTAAAAACTTTTGGGAGGTTTACAGTGACCAAAAAGAAAAATATAGCTACTTAGTGTAGCTTTTAATACTCAACAGTCTTCAAATTTTTTCAATCTTGTTACCTTATTAGTAAAAGATTTTTGAGAATGCACCCTGAATATATATATGTATTATTTGTGAATTATATGCATTTAGTCATGTAGTAGTATATTAAATATATTATAAAGCCTTAGAAAAAGCCTAAGAATATATCAATATAAATAGAAGTTTACATATTTACTCTTTGATCCCAGTGGTTTACTTTGTGTGCTTCCTGATGGTTTCCATTCCACTCTGGAGATTTAAATCTCAAAGAAATAACAGAGGAAAATGAATAAAACACTCCCTATTTACAACTAACCTATTTTGCTCTCTTAAACTAGGGCATAGGATGCAACATTTGAGTGAAGGAGCCAAGAGTCAGCAAGTGGGAAGTGGAGGTGATGGGGAACGCTGGGGTTCAGACAGAGGGATGAGAGGCAGCCTCAATGAGCAGATTGCTCTCGTGCTCATGCGACTGCAGGAAGACATGCAGAATGTCCTTCAGAGACTTCACAAACTGGAAACAGCAGTGGCCTCACAGGTAAGCTTCCAAATTCATCTTCTACTTGTTGATCGTGTACAACAGTGTGTAATCGATATTGATCAGATTTACCCAAATCTATATATTTTAATGGTTAAAAAAAAATAAAACCCACTTTTGAAAATATTACTTAAGAAAAGACTGACCCAAAAGCACAACACCAGTTACAAAATAGAAAATTTTCAGTGTGTAAAATTCGCAGTACCATTTTGGGGGAAGGAGTAAGTTGCTTGGTATTAGAAGAATAAGAGCTGTTAAATAGTTCAATATGAGGAACTAATATAGACAATAATTAACACCCTGGAGTTCATGAAAGAGTCATTTTTTTGTAGGAAGCATTGTCCTCTATCTTGACTTCTTCTTAAAATGCTGTAGAGATAATATATTGTTACTAACCCTTTAGTGTAATTAGTTTTAGGGTCAAAACTTTAAAGCCAGAGAAGTAGTATGGAGTTGTAGTTTGACCTCCACTGTTATTTGGCCCTGGAAGATCAAAGGTATTCAACCTTTGAAAAGGTAGCACAGTTCATCAGTTGCAGACATACAGGCGGGAACACAGATATCCTATCTCTGAGGGCATCGCTCTTTCTGCTGTGGCAGATCGCTATCCTATACTGAATAACAGGCGAATATGGAGGAGTACTGAAAAAGGGGAAAAGGGTTCATAGGAAGGGACAATTAAGCTTGAATCACAGTTTTGACTGGGCTGTGATAATCCCTGGACTGAGCTACAGAGCTTTCAAATGGCTGCTGGTGATCTGCGCCACGTGTCCCTAACTCGTTCTTCCTTTAGTCATGTTGGTCGGAGAAGAGAATGAGGAGCTAGCCTCGTGGTCCGATCTTGCTTACAACATTGAAGCATTGTGCTATAACAAATTGCAGGATCATCCTGTCATCCATTACAGGATGACACACATATAGATATATATAAAGAAATTAACACTGTAGGCTTTCTAAACAACCATTCTCAACGTCTTACCTTTTACTTATATTACTTCAAGGTTTCATAATTATATCTATCTCAGTGATTTTCAGTTACATTTTATTATCATTTAGATTAGGAATCTGTAGACCTTTGGGAGTCTATGAACACCCTAAAACAATATGGCAATTTCTATTTAATTTTGCATTTTTGAAGAGAGAGGGTTTGTTGTCTTCAACAGGGTTTATAATGAAAAAGAGGTTAAGAATAGTGCCTTAAATAAATGACATTATCTTATTTGTCCAAGTAAGTATAGGTTGTTGATGTTAAACTATTTTATTTGTATCTTTCATTAATAAGAAAATTCTACATTAGCTTGAGTTATTTAGGCCCACGATCCCCTCAGACTATCCCTAGATTAATACAGAACTATCTTAAAGGAAGCAAAAAAAAAAAAAGAGTTAACCCATGCCAGAAACCTCATTTGTTAATTTAGTATTATTGAACATATCGTTCTGGTAGTCTGTCTTTTCTTGTTCTGTGATTTTTTTAAAAAGAATATTTTATGCGTATTTAATGTCTTTAATGGTATTTAAATTCTGCTAGAAATCCTTTTGATTTTTTAAAAGAAGTTTTCTTTTTCACACTTGTCTTACATAGAACTACAAAGATTCTGACATTTTAAGGGACTTTTCCCCTTAAAATGTGCATAATTCATGTGTTTGAATAAAAATTTGCATAGCGACTTTGCATAAATAAAATAATAAATTGATGGTAGGATAGCAATTGATGGTAGAACTGAAGGAAACTTAGTTCAGCACCCTTAGTTCAGCAGATGGAGAAGCTGGCATAACGGGAGGACACACATACCCAGATACTTTTCCAGGCAACAGAAACAAAAATGAAAGTGGGGAAAGCACCGGGTAGCAGACCTTCAAACAAACTACCTGGGTTCAAACCCTACCTCTGCCACTTACTGTGTAGTCTTGGGCCAGGTCACTTAACTTCTCTGTGCCTCACTTTTCTTAGCTATAAAAAGTAAATATTAATGCCTCCCTCATAAGCTTGTTCAGAGGATAAAATAGAATGCTTATTAGCACGGTGCCCGGAACATATTAAGCGCTTAAGTACTGTCACATGAGATGAAGATGACAGCAGCAATGATGGTGAAACAGCTTGGTTTCTTCCCTTAGGACGTTCACAGCCTTACAGAGAACCTAATTTAAACACTTCATTGTTTCATATTTTCTTTGCAGTGGTTATTATTATGTAAGATTTTTCCCTTCAGAGTGATTTTCCAAAAATTCGGTAATCCTTATTTTAATATAGCAATAGAATGATAATAGAATTTCTAAATATGTAAAAGCTACACAAAAGCCACTTGATGTTGACAAAGATTCATCGCTTGATCAGACTTTAGTCAGGCTCCTGAACCTTCTCTTAGGCCATCTGTTCATGTCTTCCTTATAAAATCCAGTTTTAGCAAGCGCCCTGCTAAGTTGGTTTAACCAGAACCTCCCACCCTCAATATCTGATCGGACTTCCCCCATCCTTCACAGTCTCTAGGTGATCTCATCACCTTGGCCTGTCTTCAGCAAGAATCCTGTTAGGTAGGTTTAGCCAGAATCTCCCTTACCTCTGATGTTTCCTCTTAGTGGTTTTCCTTCCACTGATCCCCACCCTACTCCTTGACGTGAATTCCCACCTGCCTCTGCTATTTTGGGAATTGAGTCCAGTTACTCCCCCTCATCCCCTGCACCGCTGCAGTGGTCCCTACTATACCTATGGCCCCTGCTCCCTTGAATAAAGCTTCCTTACCATGCTTTAACAAGTATTATTTAATTTTTTTCTTTCATAATATGTATAGATAAGTAGTAAAGCAAAAAATCATAGTGCTAATTACATGGGTAGTGCTGGTTACTACTTAGGTGTAAACAAGGCTCTGTGGAGATCTTCATTTGCCTTTCCAGACCATTTATTACTTAGGAAAAAAATTCACTAATTCCATTTATTCTGATTCTGTCTTAGTATTTGTTAGTAATTGCTGCTTTAGTGAAGAGTAATTGTATCATCACACTGGGATTTAGTCACCTCAAATTCCATTCTAAATCACATAGAGTAATGTGACCTTGGATAAGTCATCAGATACCTGGGAACCCAATTTTGTAAATCTACCCATATTCCATTATGTCTGGAGAAGTGCCATTAAGGTAAATCTCTTATAGTCATACTGAGCTACGCACACACTTGCCAGCAGGCCCCCTCCCACTCTGGGTCTTTGCACTTGCCGTTCCCTTTGTACAGAAGGCTGTTCTTCGAGTTAGTCACATAGTTTATAGTTTTTCTTTCTTTGAGCCTTGCTCAAATGCCAGCAATGCCTTCCCTGTCCACTCTTGCTTCCTAGCCTCCCCTCTGACATTTCCCATTCTCCCTTCCCTGTTTTATTTTTCTTTATGGCATTTGTTAATACCTGATATACTGTATATTATACTGATTTATTTTTTATTATCTGTATCCTTCCTTTAGATTATAAGCTACATTAGGACAGTGATTTTCGTCATTTTGCTCCCTATTATATCTCTAATGCCCAGAATAGTGGCTGGTATATAATAGACGCTCAGTAAATATTTACTGAATGAATGATCTCATTAATCTTCATACCGTTTCTCTAAAGTTATAATAAATGGAGAAACTGGAGTAATAAATTTTTAACACCCAGCCTAAAGAAACTTGCATTTGGGATGAACCAAATTGGAATCTGTGTTTCTTAGTTTGAAAATTTTCTGCTTAGTTTATATTTCTCATTAAAAAACCTACAATGCTCACCCCTCGGCGCCCCCCCCCCCCCGCCAAAAAAAGGTAACTATGTGAGGTGAGGGATGTGCTAATTAATATGATTATGGTAATCACAATGTGTGTGTTTGTGTGTGTATATAGACATACATATATCAAATCAAGTTGTATATTTTGAATATACAGATTTTGTCAATTATACCTAAATAAAGCTGGAAAAAATTTTTAAAAGCCTACAGCATTAACAGTTCACGTGTCATACCTCTTCTGCTATAACGTACCATGAATTTCCAAAACAGATCTCTGGATATCATTCACATAAACTTTACAATTTTAATTAATAATGAAGACTGCGGTTCTCAAATGTGTTTGTAAATTGGTATTTGTATGGAAATTAATGAGTGAGAAATTGATTAAGTAATTTAATAAGAATATAAAAGAAATAATGGTTAAGTTAATTTGGAGTTTTATTTTGATAATTTTCTAAAATTCGAACTATAAAATATGTCAGGGGCATTTATTTGTCTAGTAACTTTTGGGACCTTGTCATTTGGTCAATATGGGTTTCAGGATAATCAAAGCATAATTAGCAGAAAAAGAAAATAAACTAATATTTCAGTTTTTTAAGATAGGAAATTGAAAAATTACTGTTTTTTATTTTTTCATTTGTCAAAGTTAAATCACTTTCATTTCTATTTATAGGCAAAGTCATCAACATTACAGACTAGTAATCAGTCTCCTTCACAGGTAAGAAATTCTTTTCTTAAATCTAAGTGCCATGGTTTCAAGTACATTACTGTCTATTTATCTTATGTGAGGTCCTTAAAGTATTCCAAATGAACTGATTGTCCCTGTAAAACTTTGAAGTTAAAAATAGATTTCTTTTTTGTTTACATCTGAAGTACTTCTGAAAGTCTACATACTAAATTATGCTCTGAAATACAGAATATCTCCCTATCTTTAGCAGATTTATTATTATATATTTTCAAAATTATGAAGTAAATGTGTTGTTAAGTTTACACATGCAATATGTAATAGATTGGTGACCATCTTATTTTATTTTCTCAGAGACCATCATGGTGGCCCTTCGAGATATCTCCTGGTGCATTAACTTTTGCTATTATATGGCCTTTTATTGCCCAGTGGTTGGTGCATTTATATTATCAAAGAAGGAGAAGGTAATACTATAGTTTTATAATTCAAAGTGGTGTGTCAACTCTTAGAGAAGATAGAACTTTTAGCAGTCGCCAAAGGGATAGGTCCAATTTTATAGATATATTGTCATATTAAACATTCTATACTGATCCTGAGACTGAAACCACCTTGGAAATGATATCTGGTGGATTTCTAGGTACTTGTTAGACTTAAAATTTTTTCACTTGAGAGCATCTGATGGAGTTGTACACCTTTGATTTGAGCAACAACAAGAAAACCATTATAGGTTTCAGTTTTATGGCTTATGAGGCAACAGCGTCTTAAAGTCATGTTTATTTTGGGCCCTTTGCTAATTAGAAAGACATTGCATGCTTGCATGCTCCGTATACCTTGAAAGTGCTCTGAGATTGTCTAAATTAGGAATAACCTGAGCCCACAATTCTTGGGTTCAAGAAAATCCTTAAAGTATTTTTTTTGGACACTATGTAAACAATTTGAATTACTTTCCATGGATGGACAGACAGCTGTTTACCTCAGTGATGGCCTCACTGATTATGTTTTTGGTGTTTTGTCACCATTTTCCATTAAGCAGCACAGATGGGGAAAAGAAATAGGGTATTTGCTAATAAAATTTTTAAGTGCTTTCTTAAATATGTGAGTAGAAACACATTTTTAAAAATCTGCATGTTTAAATAATTATGGATATGTTGTTCCTCTACTACAGAACCCAAGTTTTTAATTATTACATTTGATAACAAAAGCAAAAAACAAACATTTACCCTTCTCAAATGTAGAAGGGATTATCAGCACATTAGTGTAAGTGCTCCAATTATAATATTTTATAGTAGAAAATGAAATGCACATGACATTGGGTGAATTGTTTCAGTCTTCCTTGTTCTTTGCTTATGTTAAGACAGCTTGATTTATGTTCATAAATGAATTAAGTAAGTTTTCTGGTACATTAATGTTCTTGGAATATACCTGCCCACGTGGAAAAAACTTTAATAGGATTTCAGAAGCATAAGTTGCTTTCTCAGTATTATTTACCCCCTTTCTAATCCACTGGTATATGTGCCATTTCAGCTGAGATGTAGACCTCAGTTTAAATTCTTTTCTTCTTTCACACATTTTACATTGCTCCTTTGATGGTTGAGTTTAGTGCTGTACAGTGTTTTAAATTCTGATTTCCCTGATGATTGGAAGAAAAAAGAATCAAACCTTTTTTTCAACATGTAGTAATACTAGTAATACTAGATTTAAACTGCAGGGAACAGTGGCAGTAAAGGCAGATGTTTGCGTATTTTGCGATGCATTTCAAAGTTCCCTTTCATGTTTCCTATGTAGAAAGTGGGGAATCAGAGGGTACAGAAATTTGACATAGGACAAAAAAAACCTAAAGTTTATTTTGGTTAACAGTTTATTTTATGCTCAAGGTTGATGCAGCTTATCACTTTATAAAAGACTGAAAAAACAAAACTGTAATTTGCTTTAGCAGTCAACAAAAATTGCAGCTCTTCTAAAATTACTTTTTTAAATGTACCTTACTATTTTAAACTTTCTGCTTTATTACTGAATCTTTATCAACTTTTCCACTGTATGTTAGGAACATCTAACATGGCTAGAGTCCTTCCAAATTGCAAATTACTTAGCACCGTGTAACGGCATTCTCATGAGAGTGTTTTTATGTGTTTCTTGCTTATATGTATGTATGTATGTATGTGTGTGTATATATATACATATATACATATGTGTGTGTGTGTGTGTGTGTGTGTGTGTGTGTGTATAAATATATTTGTATATAACATTAACTGTTTTTGGAGATAGAGCCATATTTGATTTGGAAATAAATTATAGCCTTGAGGGGATTTTGGCATTTTCTAATGCGGCAGGGTTTAGTTTTACTCTGACAGGTAATAGGAATGAAGATTAAAGAGTGATATGTATGGTTTGGAGGAGACAGGTCTGTGTTAGAGATGAAGAAAAGATCTAGAAATCCTGTTAGGATGGAAAAGTGTGGGCAGAAGGGGGTTTGCCTTATTATAAAAGGGACCATCCTGTCCCTCATTCCCTAGTACAATGTAGGCTTTCAGTAAACATGTGCTGAACGCATGGCTGAATGCCCATTCTTGGCAGGGTGGCAAAGCGAAGTACCATATGACATGGAAAAGCTTTCTTTTTATTTAATAAATGCGATCTGGACACAGACACTGAGATAGTCCTATACATATGTAAAATAAGTGGCTATTGTGGTAAACTTAAAAAAAATTATTTTTCACATTAAAGGTAATACAGCCCACTGCTTAATTTTTTTCCGGTATATAAAAGAGATTTCTTCACATCACTCTGCAGTAGATTAGAAAAACATTCTTTCTAAATGCAATACAAAAAGCAACACCTGCAGACCTGTTCAAAAATAGTCCCTGAACAGCCTCCTGTGGTGTCATCTCTTCCCCAGTTACCTAACCTGATAATTCTATTAAAATTATCAATGAGTTAAATACTAGTTAAAAGTAGACATGTTAAGTCCAGAAGACTACTTTTAATCTGTTACTTTTTCTAACCAGTTTTCTTTATCAGTCTGTCTGTATTCATAAATTGCTGAGATTCAATAGAGTTTCTTTGAAAATACTGAGCTTTCAGTAAAGGGGTAATCAGTAAAAACTGGATAGGAGTGGGGAGGATCTCAGAGATAAACATTTATCAAATGCAGCCTGGGGAAGATGGGACTGGCCCAAAAAGGCAGGTCCAAACTTCTGAGGAGGGGAAAGAATCTCAGTACAGCCACGAGGGCAAAGGCAGATTTTTATTCCTATTCCCTGATCTGCTCTTTGCTGTACTCTTCCTACACGCCGTACCTCACGTTTTGCAAGTTAATTTTTTAAAAAAGGAGAGAAAAATCTCATTAAGAGCCTGAAAAACATTCTGAAGTTTCGAAGATAATGATTTCTGTTTATTCTGTTTCCCTGTTGTACTAGAATAATGTAGATTAGAGTTCATAGACCCAAGTTGTGTGCTTTTTTGGTAAATCTGTAAAGGACCTTGTGTTGTAATTGCATCATGTGTGTTCTTGATAAAAGTTGCTAACTCTTCAGGCACTTCCAGCTAACATTTCTGTTAAAATCTCCCTTGGGTATTAGTTTTTAATACTACCCATGATTCTGTCGCTTCTGGGCCTTTTTTCTTCATGCCATGAGCGGTCTTCTGTTATATAAAAATTGATCTATTTATTTAAAATGTCACTCCTACCAAGAAGGTGTACGTAAGAAGATTGTGACAGAGGATAAGGAATGATCCAATTATTCAAAATATCACTCCTGCCAAGGAGTTGGCTAGGAGCATTGTTACAGAGGAAAAGGAATGAATCTGTGATGAGACAGTTTCAGGCATTTTGGGATCTTGAGTGCTGGGAGGGTATAGAGATTTTTCCGCCGTGGGACTTTTCCCAGAACTCAGGTGTTATGTGATTGCTGTGTCTTGTGCTAACAAGCCCACCGTTCTCTGACAGCTCGTTGACTTTGCTGTCATTAAAACCGTCACAGTACACATACCTGAGTTGTTGGTTTATATGTTCCCCTGCCTCCCTCAGCTAAACTAGAGCTCTTTAGCAGGCTGAGAGCCTGCCTCATTTATGTTTAACTCCCTAGTACTTGGCACAGTGCCTGGAAAGTAGCATCTATCAACATTCTGCAGTTTTATTAAGCTTTTTTTGTTTCACAGCTTTTCCACTGATAAAATTATGAAATAATTTGCAAAAATCCAAATTGTGTACCAGCCAACTAGAAAGGGTGAGAATTGAGAACTACGAGCAGAGGAATGTACATTTCAATTATTTATTAAAAACTAATAATGTCAGCACTTGCAATTGGATCTTTCCTATTGAGCTGTGTGTCAGTCACATGAAATAATTTCATAAGGATCATTTGTAATTTTATGTGTTTTGAATTTGAATATTATGATTCTGTTAGCATTCAGAGCATTCTTTGGTATGGGATGTGTTCCATGTTCAAGTTGCATTTCTATTCATTGGAAATTGGTTTTTATTTTTTTTTAAAGAAAACTGAACTGAAGAAAATGGTATTTTACTCAAGAAGACTACTGGGCCTGGATGACCTCGGAATGAAAAGGATTGTGGCACTCACAAGAAAATCTTAGTTTGTGATTACATTTCTTTTTGTTGTCCAGTAGTTTGGTTTGTGTACATATATACACATATATATATTTTGCACTACACAAATGATAACATTTTAAGGACTAATATTGCTGATACTTGAATAATCAGTCTCAACTAGGTTATAAGTAGCATCCATAGATATACCCTACCCTTGAACTTGAAGGACATTAAATGATTAAATTATTAATTATTGTTTGGTAACATGTTTACCTGATTATCTCCCGTAGAGAAATATAAGCTCCTTAGGTACAGGTCTGATGATGAGATCAGATTTATAAGTGAATATTTTTAATTTTCTAAATTAAATATGAGAAAGACTACAAACCAGGAGTGAATTTCAAGTGAGATTCAATTGACTGTCTTGGTCACTGCTTTGCCATGCCAAGGAGTAGAACACTGCTGGAAGAGTCTTCTCCACATCCACTTGGTGGGCTGCCCTTTGTTGGTCATTCACAGCTCTGACTTTAATGTTCAAACACCATTATTATAAAGTAGAGCCCCATATACAAGGCTTAGTTTTTACAAATGAGTCACAGAATAGACATAACCTGCTGATGGAAATAATGAAGAATAAGGTTAAAGTAGGTTTAAAAGTTTATTCTGAGCCTGCAGATCATTAATAAGATTTTTACTCAATCCTGTACATTTATCCCTTTATAATCATTTGTCTTTAACTGAGGATAACTCGTTTCTGCTTCATAGGGTGCTTTGAAATATGAAACGAAAAAACTTATTTATACTGTTTTTACAAAGGTCAAAAAGGAAACACATAAAAACCACTTTTCTGCAACTGGTAAACTATACAGACTGGACTCTTAACCTCTTAGTGCCTCAGTTTTCCCTTCGGGGTATGGTATTTGAGAAATACCTATTTCGCAGAGGTAGTAAAAGGATTTGCAAGCTAGCAGCCATATGCTTCCATATGAATAAAGCATACCCAACTAATGTAAATTTAAATGTCTTTCCCCCACCTTCCACATTTAAACTAAAAAGAAGGTTATAACTTAGATCCTTAAAGGCTTTGTTTGGAATTATTCTTCCTGTATAACTTCTAAAACTCCTTGTTCATTTAGATGTACCTGTGTACTTTAAAGATTTCTCTAATTCGCAGTCTTAGTAACAAATAATTTTAACCATTATTGGTGTGTATGGTGTCAGATTAAGCATCATGTGTTCGGAGTGTTTTCAGTAAGAGAAAGTAATCCATCCCTACCATAGAGGGTGGGTCTTTGTTTGCCTGAGGAAAAAAAAAATGTAAGAATTCAGTTTACTTTTCCCAAGACTCTTTTTTTCCTTATTCTTTTCCTTTCCTGTAACTTGATTTTATTTTTTTAATCTCATCTTAATTAAAATGCCTGTCTAAAGGGATCTACTAATATTTGCTTTTTAAAAACTGTCCTCTATTTATTTAGGGAAAAGAATGAAGCAAGTAACTGAATTATATGTAAAAATAAAGTTTAGTCCTGTGGATCAGGAATTATTTTCAAACATTGGATATCCATCTGGTATCAGAAAATAGTGGCTTTTCTTTTAGTATATAAAGAAATAAAATGCAAATTAAGAATGTAAGCGAATTTGATTCATTACAAGCATTTGGGGGTAACTAACTCTTAGGGATAACCATTTGTATCCTATTCCAAAGTCTTATTTTATAGGTTGAAAAGCACTTTGCACACAGTTCTTATATATACAAGTAAAGATGTAAGTATAGGATATAGTGCTTTGTTTAACAAAAACCTCACTTAAAATTTTAAATTGACAGCTATGGTATTTTTTTAATCTACTTTTCTGTTCCTTTGTTGTAAAATTAAGTTAAAAATAAAATGATAATGAGAAATGATGTTTTTTATTACTTATTACTGATAGAAATGCATTGATTACACACACACACACATACACACACACACAAAGGATTGAGAATAGTAGGAATTCCTAGAAAGGACTCATGCCTCTTTCAAAATAAAGCCATACTAATACATATATTTTATAAATATTAGAAGCTGGGATGAAGTTTAACTCATGTAGTCATTTAGTCAAAAATCTCAGTTTCAATTCGTAGACCAAATAGACAACTGCTCAGTGGATCCTTAATCAAATGTCTTAAATTCATAAAGTTGGTCCTAGGTGGAAAATGGTGAGAGGGATCTGTGTTTTTAATACAAGTATAAAACTTGTAACTTCTACAGATAGTGATAAAAGTGATGTTAGTTATTTACCATTTAAGATATCAGTGTTCTACTGCATGTAGTAGAAACCTAACTGCAGTAGCTTGACCAAGTAAGTTTTGGATTTTTTTCTCACATAGGAAGTCTAGGGCTGATAAGGGGCTTCCCCAGTGCCATTGGGACACAGGTTCCTTCCATCTTTCTGTCCTACTGTTGTGGCCTGTATAGAATAGACCAAACCAAGTATGCTCTCAAAGGCTGTTTATTAGCCGGCGGCTGTCCTGTACAAAGGAGCAGCCCTGAAATGCCAAGATACAAGGTTTTTAAGCCCTAAATCCCATTCTTCATTCTATCTTAAACACAAAGGTCTATTTCTCTCCTATTCACTACCTGTCGACCCACTGGTCAGGTGTACAAGCGGGGAGTACAGAAGCAGAAAGCTTGTTGTTAGAATGTTATGTTCCTATGGGTCATTGCCTATATTCCCATAGGCAATAGCCAGTGTTCTCATGGGTGATGGCCAAACAGTAATTTTCAGCTTATATACAATTGATTATTTTTCATGCCATGCAAGCAAGCAGGGTTACACAGGCTAAAATTGGCAGTTAGCGTATGAGCTCATTGTTACAAGTTTCATGATTAACAGAATGTGGTTAGGGGTTCCAGAAACTAGGCCTAAGGTTTAGACTTCCTTTGTCCAGTTTCAGGTTTTAATTATCCTTTAACCCTTTCACATTTCAGCAGGCTGTCACACTACCATCTTTAGTGGGTGGCTTTTGCCTTCATGCTTGCCAGATGGCTGCTGTACGTCTAGGTCTAAGGTCTATGTTACAGGCAGGCAAAGACCCTCATCTGATCAGGAAACGAACGTTCCTGTAAGTCTCACACAGAACACTCCTTCCCATGTCATTGGCTAGAACTAGGTCTCATGGTTATGTTTTTCTATAAAAATATTTAAAGAAGAAAATTATTCCAGTTTATATAGATAAAACCTAATAATTTAATTATGCCCATACCTGGTAGGAAAGGCCATGTCTTTTGTTTTTTTAATGCCCCCTTAAGTTCCCTTCTTTCTGTTTTTCTTTTCTGCTTCTCAGCCCTTGTTTTCCCACTGACTAGTCATCTTTCCCAATTGTACCACATTTTATAAGCTGGAAAATGATAAATGTCCTTTTCCTTTTTAAGATAAATAAAAGAACTTTTAAATACATAATGCAGGGGAGGGTGTATAGCCATTTTTTTGTGTTTTCGTTTTATCTGCATAGCATTCTTTCTTCTTCTGATAAGAGAACCACTCCGCTCTGTCCCTCCCCCGCTTTGGAGAGCTCTTCCTCTCCCACCCTACTCGGGATTCTGGTGAGGCTGCTAACTACACCCAGCTATGCCCGTTCCTGCCCCTCCCCAACCATAGTGATGGACATGTGACACAAAACTGGCCAGTGCGTATCCCATCCTCCTGACCACAGGGACAGTGCCGGGGATGAGCATGTGACCATTGGTGAGGCAATCAGTTATTCTCTTGGTTCATTTCATGAAGCTAGAGAGAGCATTGTGCCTTTGCCAGCATGTTACATAATTGGAATCATATAGTATGTAGCCTTTTCAGATTGGCTTCTTTCACTTAGCAATGTGCATTTAAGCTTTCTCCATGTAATTTCATGGCTTCATAGCGCATTTGTTTATATATTTTTTATGTCTGTGTCTCAGCAAAACATTTATTAAACAAGCAGGGAGCCAGATTTGGCCTATGGGCTATAGTTTGTTGACTTCTGATTTAGCTATAGCTCATTTCTTTTAGGACTGAATAGTGTTTTGTTGTTTGGATGCACCAGTTTATTCACCTATCGAAGGTCATCTTGGTTGCTTCCAGATTTTAGCAATTATGAATAAACATAATTATATGCTGTAAACATCTGTGTGCAGGTTTCTGCGTGGTCATAAGTTTTCGGCTCATTTGGGTAACTAGCAAAGGGTGTGATTGTTGGCTCGTATGGTAAAGTTATATTTAGTTTTATCAGGAACTGCCAAACTGCCTTCCCAAGTGGCTGGATACTGTTTCGCATTCCCACCAGCAGTGAATGAGAGCTCCTGTTGTTCCACATCTTTGCCAGCATTTAGTGTTGTCAATGTTTTGATCAGAATTTAGCTATTTTGATAGGTATATAGTGGTATCTTGTCGTTTCATTCACGCTCTTTTTGAATTATAGTCTATTAGGTTATTATTAGGCCCTATATCGTGCCACTTGGAGGAGCCTTAGGTAATAAGGCCGACATCCAGACCTAGGAACTTAGACAAGAGTCAGAAACAGTGAGTTCAAGTACTTTAATCCAGTTTTCTCTGAAAACACTACTACTCTCTTTATACAATTTGTTTACTTGGGTTAAGACATTTCCCTTCTTAACACTTGCAACCAGAGCCCTACCTAGTATAAGTAGCTGTTGATTCTCAGGATGGTGCAGGTTCTGGAACCAGACTTCCTAGGTTCAAATTCTGTACAATCAAAGGAGTCTGTTAACTTGTGTCTCAATTTCCTCATCTATAAAATCTGGATAATAGTATCTCATGGGGTTAACATGTAAAATACATAGAACAGGGAGTCCTTTGTAACCGATAACAATTGTGACAGTAATAATTTTGGTTATTTTACTATCAGTAGTTTTACAGAAGCAGGGCAAAAAGACAAATCTCTTTTGCAAAAACACTAGAAACCTTGGTGCAACGGTATAGATTATTATTATTTTAAACAAGAGCCAATGTTTTCCGCTTAATCTGTGGATACTATCCCTTTCCTCAAGGACTTTGCCACATTTTTCTTCACCAGAGGCAACTATTTTCATCACTTTTGGCTGAGTGTTTTGATACCTCCAGGATTCTAGGTTTGAACTGCTACTTTTTGATATTTCTGTTTTATCTATTTACTTCCCTCTACTGAAATTGAAGATGTCTTTCTTTTTCCTTCCTTTGCAGTCACTGTTCATGTTGTACTTTTCATTTCCCTACCTTTGAAAGACAGTTCGTCAAAAATTGTGTGAAGGGTCTAAGATTTTATGCCACAATGAAGCTAACAAGTTTGCCTGCCATGGTTTTATGGATGCCAGTAGAACAGAGGATGAGTTTAATACACATAGCAGTATCAGTAGCTAGAGTATCAGCATTTTGTACTAGTATCCCATGCCCTAGTTCCCACAGGGTGTTGCCAAGAGGCCAGATGACACTTGGACATGCAGTGAGGTATATTAAAGGACTTTAGGAACCTGAATCTTTTATAATGGGTAGTAAGCCGGACTGAGTTTTACTCCAGAAAGAGACTTTATCTGTATTATCTTAGTAAGTATACTGTCATTTATGCAAAAGGAGATACCATCTCTTCTCTTCCAAGGCTGTTCACTATACAAACCGTCCTTGAAAAGATGGTGCAGAATGAAGGGCAGTCAGCGCCTCGCTCACAGGACGCCTTGTAGAAATGCAAGAGGGCCTTGTAGAATTGTCTCCTAACGCATTTGTATTATAATTATGGTCAGATCAGTACTCAGGGTTCACATTATTAGGACCATGCAAACACTGTTGACAGCTGTGCAATTTATTAACCTATGATCATTTTCCCTTTCCTGCATAGCTTTTTTATTGTTGCTGGAGTTAATTATTTTTTTTCATTTGCTTAGTTTTCTACTTATCAATAATTCAATCCATAATTATTTCCCAGTTGTCTAAATAACCTATCAAGACATTCAGACACACCAGATACTCTATCAATTTCATTGATATTTTATCAGTTTCATATATCTGACAAAGTCTCCTGGAGATTTTTGACCTGCTCTGAACTTGGTGCCCTTTCTGCCTGGCACTCAGCTCTTATTTGACCATCATCCTTGGGGGTTCTTTTTACATCCCTCTTCCAGTAGAGATTGCTTCCCTTAGTCCACAGATTCTTCTTTTGGTTTACTCCCTTACTTCGATGGAGCATGATTTCCAGTGTCTTGCTGTATAAGGGTGCACAGGAGGGAAATATTATGGGGACTTTGCACATGTGAAAATGTCTTTATTCTTTTAGAAGTTTGCAAATGTTGTTCCGTTGCCTTTTTGTTTGCAGTTGTAACTGTTAAGTTTGCAGACATGTCAGATGCTTTTTTAAAAAAAACCAGTTGTGTAGAAAAACCTGTCTTCCTCTGTGTTTTTCCTTTATTCTCACACCATTCACACATTTCAGATACCAGATGTGTGAGGGTTTTTCTCATACCAAGTGATTCTGCAATACCAGCTGTGTGTCCTAGAATTTAACTCGATTCTGACACTATCTACCTGGAGATAGCATCGGGTCCCCCAGGTGAAGGGCTCAGTCCCACAAGACTGCTCCCACCCGACTTCTGATGCCAATCGCAAGTCCAGATTGTCACCTATGCTTTTGACCAGTCAGCTATAAATTGGACGGTCTCATGACTCCCTCCTTGGGTTGGATTAATTTGCTAGGGCAGCTTGAAGAACTCAGGAAAAGTTTACTTACTATTTGCTAGTTTTATCCTAAAAGGATATGGTAAAGGATACAGACGAACACCCAGGAGGAAGAGATATGTAGTGCCAAGTATGTTGGAAGGAGCACGGAGCTTCCTTGCCCTCTCTGCGTGTGCCACTGTCCCAGCACCCCCATGTGTTCACCAGCCCGGAAGCTCCCTGAACCCTATTGGAATTTTCATCATGGAGGCTTTATCACGTAGGCATGATAGATCACTAACTCCATATCCAGCCCTTCTCCTCTCTCTGGGGAACGTGGGGTGGAGCTGGAAGTTCCAAGCTAATCACGGCTGGGTCTTTCTGGTGACCAGCCCCCATCCAGGAAGGAGTCCACCCAGAGCTACCTCGTTAGAAGAAAAGATGTTCCAGTCACTCAAAAATTCCACGGACTCTAGGAGCTCTTTGTCATTAACCGGGGTCAAAGACCAAATATTAGAACAAAAGATGCCCCAAGTGTTCTTATCATTTAGGAAATTACAAGAGTTTTATGAGCTCTGTAGGTAGGACCTAGAGGTAGAGACCAATATATATATTTTTTCTATTATCTCACACCAGTCTTTTTTCTTTCTTTGTGGATGTTTGTAGGATCTTCTTGCCCCAATGTCTGAAATTTCACTGTGTTATAACTGAGTAACTATAGGAAAGATATTTCCTGCAATGATGCTATGTAAGAAACGACCTCAAAACTCAGTGGTTTACAAGCATTTTCTCCTTGCTCATGGGTCTCTGGGTAGGCTGGGCTCAGCCAGGTTTGGCAAAGACGGGTTGTGGTTTAAATTCGGTTCTGCTCCATGTGTCTCCTCTTCCTACTTAGATCAGCATGCATAATGTCTACTAACCTTCCAGACCACAGCAAGTCATATAAGTAAGTTCAAGATCAATGGACTGCCAAAATGTGTAACAACTACTCTAGTGGGAACACTGCACTGTTCCATGACAAAGGGTGTGGAGTGGATTAGGGCAATCATCCCATCTACCCCAGTGTGGATTCTCTTTGCATGCTGAGCACTTGGCTCTTTCAGTCTGCAAATTATGTCCTTCAGTGCTGAAAATGTTCTTGATTGTTTATTAATAATTTATTTTCCATTTCTCTGTTCTGTCTGAAGCTCCTTTTATTGGGTATTGAACCTGAACCTGCCTTTGAATTTCATCTTTTCTCCTGTTTTCCATCCTTGTCCTTTTATTCTATTATGTGGGAGATTTCTTCAAGTTTAAATCTTTTTTGTTTTCATTACTATCATATTTTAAAGAATTCTTTAAAATGTTTGAGTATTCTTCACTATGTTATATTATGCTATACTGTATATGCAATATATTTTAAATCTCTGGGAATGTTAATACTTTTGAAGTTTTTTTCTGTGCATAGACTCTGTTTCCCTCAATTTGCCTTCCCCCCCCCTCTAAATTGTTTTGGTCTATATATTTCAAGACACTTTCCTCAGGTATCCAGTAATCCTTGGTTATTGGCTTGTATTTACAAGTGAGGGACAAAAAAGCTGACGGGAGGCTCTGACTGGGGCTTAGTAATAAGTGTCCGTGAAGAACTTTCTGGATAAGCCATTATTGTCACATATTTGGATATTTTTAAAGATCTCTTGGGGTGGTTAATTTCCTCAGAGAACACTCTACCAGTCACTTGCCTGGAGAATTAAATCCTTGCTATCAGCATTCTAGGAGCTGACTGAAAGGTTGGGGTTCTGGTGTACACTCATTCACTTAAGGCCCATTTTAGTGCTATTATATCAGAGACCCAGAAGAAATGGCAAATTCATCTGGATATGTTGAAGAGGGTGTATTGAAAAGCCTATTTGTGAAGGAATGAACAAAGGTGTAAGGAAACTACCAGGTTTAGTACTGTATTAGGTTGCTAGGGCTGCCATGACGAAATACCATAGCCTGGGCAGTTTAAACAACAGAGATTTTTCTCACAGTTCTGGAGTCTCAAAGTCCAAAACATTTTCCACACAGTTAAAAGAATTATACATCATGGCTGGCTTAGTATTGGTGGAAACAGTAAATGTTTGCATAATCTTTTGGACTCTGAGTATGTTTGTAATTGGCTAAAATTAAGAACCGATCGGCTAAAGTTGCTTCTTTCTGCAAAGTGATTATACTTTAATGTCCTTCCAGATGATTTGGAGAATAGCAAGGTTTTATATAGTGACTATTTCCCAAACCCAAATTAAAACAAATATTCTAAGAAGTAGCAGGGTACTTAGGGTTCAAATAAGGATCATTTATTAAACATCTTTTATATTTGCTATGCACTTCATCTTATTTCTGACAGAAGTACACCAAGGTAAATACACACCTCTTCAAACATTTTCTGTATTTGTTTAACAGTGGAAGTGGGGAGAAAATTATTTTCTATTAATAAAAATTGAATATAGCCAAAGAAAATCAAAACAATAATTCATAAAGATCTGTGCATTGCTATGTTCATGGCAGCACTATTCACAATAGCCAAGATGGAAGCAACCTAAATGCCCATCAACAGATGACTGCATAAAAAAGTTATGGTTCATATATACAATGGAAAATTGTTCAGCCATAAAAAAAAAATGAAATCTTACCATTTGCAATGACATGGTTGGACCTAGAGGGTATTATGCTGAGCAAAATAAGTCAGAGAACGATAAATACCTTATGATTTCACTTATATGCGGAATCTAAGGAACAAAAGGAAGAAACTAATTGAAAACAAACTCATTAATATAGAGGACAATCTGGTGATGGCCAGAGGGAAGGGCGGTTGGAGGGCTGGGAGAATGGGGTGAAGGAAGTACCATTAGTAGCTGATAGATGGTCATGGGGATGGGGAGCACAGCAGAGCGAATGAAGTCAGCAGTAAGGTTATGGCTATGTGTAGAGCCAGAGGGGTGATAGAATAATTGGGGATCGTTTCATAAACCATATGAATGTCTAACAAATGTACTGTATACTTGAAACTAATAATAAAATACAATGCTAAAAAAAAGGTAAACCGTTACAAAAATTAACATTTATTGGATGAGAAAATTGTAATATCATTTGAGAAATTTATAACATTTTATCTGGCAGTTCTCATTTCTTCTCCATATTAATACATTTTCTAATAAATTCAAAAAAATTGTATATAGCAGCAGATACACAGATTTCTACTGGCAGAAGCAGTCAGTGTTCTTTAAAGACATGTATGCTCACACACACACACACACACACACACACACTATCAAAACCATGCCCATTTGTTCTGTCTCAGGTTTTTTCTTAATGAATGTCTGAACACATAACATCTTGACAGGCGTATTAAAGAGTTTAGGTTTAGATAATAAATCACTTATTCCCAGTAAACACCATTACAGCATGTGGAATTCCAGGTGACTATAGCTGCCCATGCTAGGTCTATAACAGCAAACCTTTTAACTTTAATACTTAAGGCACTGTCTCTTACATTGGGAATAGGTTTACCATACATTTCCCCCAATTATTCACTAATGTTTGAGTCTCTCATAAGACTGGTGTCTGGGCAGTTCCATTAAGGAACTGGCATTTATCTGTCTGTCTGTCTGTCTTTCTATCTATTTATGCATGCTTGTTCCTTATTATTAATCCACACTATACAGGTGAACAATCAGCAGCTCAGAGTTTTACCTACTCAGGGTCTTTTAAAGTGGCAGAGCAATGGTTTCGACCATTTGTGCTTGATCCCAAGGCCATTGTTCTTTCTCTCTACTACTTGAGAATATCATAAAAGGATAATAAATAATCCTATGCTTTTATCTAATTAAGAGAAAGATGTAATTTATATTAAACAAAGTTTTAACAACTTATTTTGAATATTTTATTAGAAGAGGTGACTATTAGGAGCATTAAGTCTAAGCAGTTATTACGAAAGCTCAGTAAAACTATTAAACCATGGATTCAATTATACAGCACTGATTATAACGGTGTATCTTTCACTCTAACAGTTTTACACTTTTATTATCTTTCTCAACTACATCAGCAGGGCTCTTATTGGGATAATAATGGAAAGTAAAAACACTAAAACCAATGTGCAAAAGGAACAACAGTATATAATAGACTAGCAGAAAAGTTACATACCGTACATTTAAATTTGAACTTTGCTTTTTAGGGGGTAATTATGTTGAAAGTCTCAATGAACTTAAGATATGACCTGTGAAGCTGAACCTCAGTGTATATGTGTGTATTTAAAAGAATGATGTTGGCAGATAACATATTTGAAGTATGTTGCAATTATATCTATTAAACAAAAGTAAAACATTTTAAAGGATCAGGCTGTCTCTGGTAATGCTGCATATATTTTAAAACAAATTATTTTAAGATTTAAACCATCACGTTTTTTTGTTAAAACTGAAGAAGCAGTTAAAATTGCTACAGTATATCACACCTAAGCTTTCCAGTACTATTTTAAACAAACATGTATTGTAGAGAAAGTATCAGAAGCAGTCAAGGCAGCAAAACTGTTTTCATAGGAAAGTAAGCTAAAACTTTAGGCCTTTTGTTTATTCCTCATTCCCCGAAGGAGTTACATTATTGAGTGAAGGAATTTTCCAGCTGCATTTTGAAGTAACAAATACAGCCTTAAATGACTGCCCTTGAGACTAAAGCTTTTGCAGGCAATAATATACAAAGAAAAGTTACATTAAAATAAAATTGTATAATTGTGTTATTTTAACACCAAACTGAATGGTGGACCAAAGTAAACAGATGAGAAAGAAATCAGGCTCAAGGCTTCGTCTTTCTCTAAAGTGGTAGTGCCATTCTAGTTTTATTGATACATTTATTTTCATAAAGTGCAGTAACAAAATAAATAAGATGAAAAAATCTTTGAAGATTTATATACAATTCTGAGATTAAGGTAAGTTACCAACTATATTCTTAATAGCCTTTTACCTCTGTAGAAGCTGTAACATACATTAAAAGCTCATAGATCCAAGTAAAATAATGATTTTTTCCCCCCACCCTGAGATCGATCTAGTATTAAGGAGTATATAACTATGCTAGCTCATTTTACAAGACAAGATTAGATTAAAGGGAAATTTTATGTGCTATAGACTAAATCCAGATACGGTCAGGTGCTGAGCATTATTCCTAGCTTCAAAATAGGACGTATCTGTTTCACCCTCTGGCTGCGGTATGAAAGGCATAGTCTGATGCTGCTGATTGTCCCAGTCCACATCACTGAAGAGAGGATGACGCTTCAGCTCTTTGGAAAAATATAAAACAGAAAAATATAATGACACTATTAGCTAAGCAAGTATTGTTCTATAGGAGTGAAGAAAACGTCTCACATATATCTTGCCCTACTTTATTATGCCACTTTCATAGACATTTGTTTAATGTCTGTTTCTCTGTTCAACCACATAACTTCACAACGGCACACACTGTGTCATTTTGTATATCACTTGGCATATGACTGGCGCCTGGTCTGTATTTGTCAAATGAGTGAGTGAATGATCTGCCTTAACAGAAGCCTATCTTTTTCACTGCCTGTTTATCTTCTCAGATAATCCCTCACTTGATGAGAGAAGAGAGCTTGGACTACTTCCTACTCTCCCATGCAGCTTACATACCACTCATCTTCTGTGATTAATGCCCCATTTCTCATTCTAAGTCCTTGCCACCTGTTTATATCTCTGCAGTCCTTAGCACCATCTATTGATAGCACCATCTATCTATTACTAGATAACTCCAGTAAGAAGCTCATCCTCCTCTTTCTTGCTGTCTTCCCTATGCTCCATCCTTATCCTTCACTGTGACTTCAACATATCCAATGATGATACTTCTGACACATTCTCTTCACGGTTCTTTGACTACCTTGATTTCACTGACTTGCATTTTCACAACACACAAACTATCTAGCAATATGGTCATATCCGCAATCTTTATTGCTTCCATTTACAAAATCTCATCTTTCCTATTTCCCTCTACCTACTAAAATGGAAATTTGCTTTTTTGATCATACTCTGATGATTCAGTTGCTAGACATAACCTCCCCTCTCCTCAACCCTTGATTTTGTAAGGCAACAATAAAGATGTTAACAAAAAAAAAATGAAGTGACAATTAAGGCAGTAAACAGTTTTTTTTAAAAGCAGTAATCAAATTTAAGGAAAATACTGGGAGAACACTACACAGACAGGAAAGAATTGTGTCTGTATTGGGGGAGGGTGGTTGGGAAGTCCATAGATCTATACACTGCCTTTTTTCCTAAACTGTAAGACTGTTAGAAAGAGGCATAAACTAGCAAAAACAATTTTCATTTAGAGAATTTATTTGTCTTTTAATTGTTCAAAATAAATATCTGAGCATGGGTTACTTTTGAGTTACTTGTCATAGTAACTCTTAAATTGTGGTATCTGGATGCGATGGGGTGCTTCATGACCCGCTCATCATAGCTATTTATTTAAACTGATTTCACAAAGGAATCCTAATCTAAGTGAAGAGTAACTAAACAACAGTTGTTGAAACAACTGTTTTTGAACTGTGAAATACACCTTCTGTTTGCTTCACTATGTAGACTGTTCATTAAACAAAAATCTGAGGTCACTGGTAGCTTTTCTTCGGTCTCCACTTATTCCGAGCAAAACACAGTACATTCTAGCCATTTTCTAAACTGTGGTCTCTCAGCTTCAGCACAACTGATGTTTGGGAACAGATAATTCTTTGTTGTGGGGACAGTCCTAGGTACTGTAGGATATTGAACAGATTCCGTGGCCTCTTCCTACAGAAGTTCCAAACAGTTGTGACAACCAAAAATGTCTTCAGACTATACTAAATGTCCTTTGGAGAGCAAAATCACCCCAACCGAGAAAACTTGCTCTAAAGTAATTTTTAGAGCTGAGTTGTCAAATGTCTGCATCCTCAATTTACATAGGTCTTGCTCAAATTCTACTCTTCACATAAGTCTTCCTGACCACTCCATCTGAAAAAAAATCTGCCATCATTTTTATCCTCTCATAATCTTTCTCTGTATCATTATCTCTGTATCCTGGCATTATCTCTCTTCATAGTATTTACAACTAGATGGCATTATGTTATGGTTTTATTTGTTTACTGTCTTACCACTAGAATGTAAATCTACTAGTATTGGAGTATTATTAGTCTGGTTCATCTGTAGGGTACCTCCAGTGACCATAACAATACTGCCTGGCACCTAGAAGTCACTCTATAGATTTGTTAAATAAATAAACTATTGATCTTGTTAGAGGAAACATCTAGAAGCTGATGTAAATGATAGATTACTAAAGCTCATTTTTGTAAATACCCTTCTTCACATGGAAATACATTTTCAGACATAATACTGATTTGTCTCTCTATATACCTTGTTACAAAAAGGATTTCAAGGCAGCCAATAATTGAGATTTACTAGAGTTTCAAAACTAAAGTTTAACATGCCCCCTGCAGTAGAAAAACCATTGAATGGGTCACAATGCACCAAATTTGTCTTATTTGAGGCAACCTGGCACCTGATATATTTGTCAATCAATAATGGTATCAGAAATGAGTAGTAAGAAATTACAGAATTGAAGTTTTGATAGAAAAATATTTCCTATAATTTCCTATATTTGTTTATGGTGAGTTAAAGCTGGTTCTGATAAACCAAAGACACTGACAAGCCTGTTTCGGGTACTCGCTTGAGATTAATAAAATTCAATGAGTGTCACAACCTGACCACATTCAATTTTAATGTAGAATAAGGACAAATATATCAATGGATACTCGGATAGCAAAAATAAACAAATTCTTTTTAAACCAGTTTAGCAGTCAGGTCATCTGTAGTATTGTACTAGAACCTGATTTCATTATTAGCATTCACCACCTGAAACTAACCAAAGGTAAAAGAACTTATTAATACAAAATGTTACCTTTCATTCCAGCTCTCTTTGTATCATCAATGGTTAAAAGTATTTCCACTGCACTTTGAGCATTGTCAGATAACTTTTCTTCACCTTCAGGCCAAGGGATATCTATAAATATAAATAAACTTACTGATCATTGCTCAAAATGATACATAGAGATAAATGAACTTATCTTAAAAGGAGAAAAAGAATCACCTCTTTTGAGAATATTCTGGAATACTTGTTGTGGTGTTTCATCATTAAAAGGGGGAATTCCGGTTAGAAACTCAAACAAGCAAACTCCAAGTGCCCACCAGTCTACTGCAGGACCTGGGATTTAAGAGAAGTAGCTGAACTTGCAAGCAATTTCTACAAATGTTTGACCAGCTAAAACATTAAAACATGTATATTTGGGCGCACTCATTCCTTAAGACTTCCTTCTGGCTTCATAAAGTGCAAAAAGCCAGATTAACTTCATTTAGACAATATGGCAATTACTTTCCTTCTCTATTTTTCAAGAAGTTTAAATTAGCAATTAACATAGCTAGCTAAAAAAAGTTAAAGCTATCTTTGGTCATTTATTAATAACCTCTGATATACTGGATACTTATTTGTTTTAAATCCTAAAAAAAGCCGGGGAATGCATTTAATCGAAAGATTATTCTCTAAAATAGTTAGAGTACGTCTCAATTTCAAATTGAGAAACAATAACGTTTAGATGACTCCATATCCCAGTTGTTTCACAAAGGTATGAGATGAGATAGCAACATTTACACTGATTGGAGGATAGCCTGGTAATTAAGGAAAGTCTTACAGAGTGTTTTAATATAGCTTTATTCCTTTTAAGATCATGGAGCAATAAATTGACAAAGAATATTCACTCAAACTATGGCTTGAGGAGGTAAGTCTTAATAAATAATTAAAACTGATTTCTAAATAGTATCTTCATTGAAAGCATCATTTATATACAAAGATGTTTTAAAGGGTTAAACATGACCTTATAATCTCATTTACAGTTTTGTTTAGTTCTGACTATGAATAAAGTGTTTACTAAGTAAAAGTTAACTTCAGTCCAAAAATAGTTACCATCAATACAAATTTAGAATAGGGATTCTAATCTAGTGCTAAATTTGCCTGGAAATTACTCTTTAAATTCAATTTCACAAAATTCATTATTGTGATTAAGCAACTGCCACCATTCCATTTTAAAACAAGTCGGAAAGCACTGTGGAATCCGCTATTAGGAAAAATAAACCCATGCATATAGAGTGCCTTTTAACCTGCAAGCCCCATAATCCCATTTTCCCCAAGAACACAAGATGCAAATAGTCCACAGGCTTCTATTTCTGTAGTAATCACTATAAAAAAACAAACCACCTCAGTTAGTAGACCTTTTAAGCAGCATTGAGAAAGAATTATTCCAATGGGTTAGATAATATAACCAAACAACAGAAACGTAGGGGGAAATCAGAAAAACACATACATTTTATTTATGTAGGTTAAAAATAATGACCCTTTTCCCGGCTTAGCCAAAATGTACTCATGTCAAAAACATATATATGATTCCTCCATAGATATGTCATAACATACCCATATAAGCGAGTCAAAGTCTAATAAGATCACATATTGTGATAAATTGTAGCAATTATATCATTAGTCAGAGAAACAGAACAAACTTGTTTTGCATTACTGGCTCTCTAATCCAAAACTCACTTTGTAATTTGTATATTGATACTGTTTATACCTTTCTATTTCCTAATAATAATGGAATTAAATGGGTTAGAAAATTCAAGCCCTTTTGTAGCTGCTAATTTTAATATTCTTCTCAGGCCTATTTCCTCAGTTGCAATAAAAAAGCTGTGTATCTTCACTCTGCTACATTTAAAAGTCATAAAAAATGCCGCATGCCTACATTTGTTTTCACAGAGAAGACCAACCTCTCTGGATGTCTTCCTGCTCAGAAGACAGAAGACAGTTCATTTTTGTATTTCGTAAATGAACTGAAAGGAGAAAAAAATTTTTTATGCAATGCGATCTAGTTATACTTTGACTGTTCAGTTTAATGTGCTTTGCCATATTACTTTGTAGAGAAGCTCACTCACCCAAAGTCAGATATCCTGCATGTAAGAAAACAATAGTTAGGTACACTGTATTAAAATTACAAGTTCATTCTCACATCATTCGTTTAACTAGATACCAGATATTGTACCAGATATAAGGAATATAAAAATGAATAAAGAGCTTTTCTCAAGGAGAAAACAGCCTATTCTGGGAGAGACAATATAGATAATTTTAACACAATGTGCTGAAACAAAATTATGCATAGGAAGCTAAGGGAAACTCAAGCCAGAGTTCTAAGTCCACTCAGCTGAGTTGGGTAAGATCAGAGGAATTGGAAGAGTCCTAGCTGTGTCAGCATGATGCTGGGAAATACAGGGCTACATACAAGAAACGAAGGAAGTTGAAGTGACTGCCCCTGGGGCCTGGGATCTGGGGGAATAGAGAATGGGGATTTTTAAAAAGATTAAGTTCATTGGGGTAACATTGGTTAATACAATTAAATAATTTTCAAGTGTACATTATAATTTGCCATCTGTATTTTCTATTGTTTACCACCCAAAGTCGTTTCCTTCAGCTACCATATATTTGATCCCCTTTACCCACTTTGCCCTCCCCCTAAACCTCCTATATTTGACTCCCTTTACCCCGTCTACCTTCTCCCTCCTCTCCCACCCCAGTAGTAACCACTAGTCTATAGTCCATGTCCATGAGTCTGTTTGATTGTTCTGCTCATTTGTTGCTTTTAGGATTATATCTCACATATAAGTGATATCATGTGATTTTCAACTTTTTCTGTCTGGCTTATTTCGCTTAGCATGATTATCTCGAGTTCTATCCATGTTGTCACAAATGGCAGTATTTCATCTCATCTTATGGTTGAGTAATATTCCACTGTATATATGTACTACAGCTTCTTTAGCCAATCATCTATTGTAGGACACTTTGGTTGATTCCATGTCCTGGCCACTGTGAATAATGCTGCTATGAACATTGATGTGCAAATATCTTTTTGGATATAGGTTTTCAAGTCTTTGGGGTAAATGCTCAGTAGAAGGGTTGCTGGATCATGTGGTAGATCAATTTTCAGTTTTTTGAGGAGCCTCCATACTGTTTTCCAGAGTGGCTGTACCAATTTGCAGTCCCACCAGCAGTGTATGAGGGTTCCTTTTTCTACGCATCCTCTTTAGCATTTGTTATTACTTGTCCTGTTGATTATAGCTATTCTAACAGGTGTGAGATGGTATCTCATTGTAGTTTTGATTTGCATTTCCCTAATAGCTAACGATGTTGAGCATCTTTTCATTATTTGTTGGCCATTTGTATGTCTTCTTGGGAGAAGTGTCTGTTCAGGTCCACTTCCCATTTTTGATTGGATCATTTGCTTTTTTGTTGCTATTGAGTCGTATGAGTTCTTTGTATATTTTGGATATTAGGCCCTTATCGGAGGTGTTGCTTGCAAATATATTTTCTCATTTGGATGGTTATCTCTTTACCTTGTTGATGATTTCTTTTGCTGAGAAGCTTTTTAGTTTGATGTAGTCACATTCATTTATTTTAGCTTTTACTTGCCTTGCTTTTGAGGTCAAATTCATAAAATCCTTTTTTAAAAAAAAAAATTGTTTGTATTATTGTTTTAAAAACAACATATCAAAATATTTTTATAGAAGAAAATTTAAAATATATCACTAGATAGCTGAGGTCACTAGATGTCCCACTGGAATAGTGGCAAGATCTTATAAAGTAAATCTTTCAATTTGACGCTTACTTTCATATTGTATCCTACGTTAGAGAAAATATAAACTGTAATATAAGAAATGGGCTAGCAAATCTGCGACTTAGCAAAAGGGGACTGTACAAAAATTGGTCAAGTGCCCAGAGGAGCTTAGTTCTTTTGGCTAATAAAGGGGAGTATTCAGTGTGTCCACTTTCAACACTGTGGAGCTTATTCACCAGGGTTCCTGGGGCTGCCAGGAATTCTCCTGGAGTGCCATCAAGAAGGAAACCTCTGATGCTAGTTTCTTAAGCTTTTGTACTGGAAACATATAATAACTAATTATTATACAGATAGGATGACATAAGTTGTAAACAGTTTCTAATTAAGTGAGATAGTAGTGAATAAGTAATTCTCCATAACTAATCAAGGGGTGCATTATGAAAGGGGTGACATTTGAACCAATGAGAAGAAACTTGACAGGAAGATGACTGGGGGCTGGCTTTTCCAAACTAAGGCAAATTAAGGAAAACTTGAAAAAAAAATGTGTCTATGAAGTAGAATAAGAACATAAGGACTATAAAGAGATATTCTGAGATATGTGGCTACTATGAGAGCTTGGAGCCTCAAATGCCATGATCAATAATCTGGATTTTAAGGAGCCACCTTTCAAGGAAGGAAGTTGCACTGGCCATGTTATATTTCAAGAGGAAAATCTGGTAGTAATGATTATAGACAATAGAATGAAGTTGAGGAGACCAGAAAGAAAGTTATTGAACTAATGAAAGGGAAAGATGAGGGAAAGATAGTGGCAAAGGTGAGGAGAAATAATGCAGAGATATATTTAACCAGATTTAAAAGCCTAACTGTAGGGACAATGTCTGTGTCACCACAAAGATGGTAAAAAAGAAACTGAGATAGGGAACATAAGAAGAGCAAGCTAGATAACAAGTCCAGTTTTCACAGGTAGCATTTGAAAGACCAGTAGAATACTGAATAGATATACTTTGGCCCTGCATCTGCAGTCCAGTGAGAGAGTCAGGATTAGAGACAGATATTTGAGAAACATCAACACAGAGGGGCCAACAGAAGCTGTTGACATTTCAGAAGCTGGGACTGATGACATTTACAGGGAGCACGTTCAGGGAAAAAGGGTAAAGAACCTGAAGAACTTCCACGTTTACAAGAGGTAAGGACAGAAATGGAGAGTAGAAATAGAGGGAAGAGGAATGAGACTGAGAAGAGGCTGGTAGATTTGACTGCTGATTGTTAATGAAAGTTTCAGTTAAATAGCAGGGATAACAATAAGATTGCCAAAACAAAAATAATCAGGTAAAGAAAAGAGGCAACCTTTGAGAAGCTAGGTGGTGGGGAGAAGATAAGGGTGGAAAATTATTTTCTGACTAAAGAAAAAAGCCAGCAAAGAAATAAAAACAGAAGGTGTTGGAGGTGAGGCAGGGAAAACGAGCCAGATGATCACCAAAGGAGCTCAAAGAAAAGGGTATAAACAGCAAGATGTAGAAGAAGGGATTCATGTGATAGGTTGAATTATGTCACTCTGCGAAAAGCTAGGTTGAAGTCCTAACCCTGAGGTCCTCTGTGTGTGACATTTGGAAATATCCTTGCAGATGTAATTAGATTAAGATGAGGTCACATTGGAGTAGGGTGGCCCCTGATCCAATATGACTGGTGAATCCTTATGGATTCCACATGGATTCTGAGATATGTGGCTACTATGAGAGCTTGGAGTAAGAACACAGCCATGTGGCCATAGAGACACAGAGGAAACACCATATGATGCGTAAAGATTAGACTGACGCATCAAGGAATGCCAAAGATTGCCAGCAAACCACCAGATGAAATATAACATGGCCAGCGCAAATCCATGTGGCCAAAGAGACACAGAGGAAACACCATATGATGCGTAAAGATTAGACTGACGCATCAAGGAATGCCAAAGATTGCCAGCAAACCACCAGAAGTTAAGAAGCAGGTTTCAGAGGGAGCGTGGTCCTGTCAACACCTTGACTTTAGACTTCTAGACTTCAGAACTGTCAGGCCATAAATTTCTGTTTTGAATCACCTAGTTTGTGGTACTCTGTTACAGCAGCCCCAGGAAACGAATATAGTTCATTTCGGAATGTAGGAAGGGAAAATTTTTACGAGAGCAAAAGGGAAAAAAGATGAGTGAAAATGTCATCCTTTTATTTTTATGTTGCATTTGGAAGGATTGTTCATTTCTGTCTTAACCCTTCTGGTGAAGGTATAAGTGAGGGTAAGCTCTAAACAAGAATAGGCTTCTGCAGACTGAATAGAAGGTTAGGCCCAACTTTGTATTTCTGAGTCAAAACTCTAACAGACCTGGGAAGACATTTCGAGCAAAGTTAACCAGGGAGTGGAAGGTGGGGTTTGTGTAGATCACTGAGACTGCACCAGAAGCAAAGAACCAATGGCTGCATGTCTTCTTTTCCTATAATAAATGCCACATATGAGGAAAGAGTATTGCATGAGTTCATTTTGTTTTACTTTAGGTAATCCAAGTAACAAAGAAATTTAAAACAATTTTACCTCGAAGGAAAATGCAGTGATAGATAATACTTCAAAAACTCAAGACACACATGCCTTACCGTGAGTCCTGCCTAATAACAGCTCAGGTGCGAGGTAGTCAGGGGTTCCCAGTATTCGCCCGCCATCCACTGGGGCCACGCCTCTTCTCACACTCTTTGGAGTTCGATATGGAGTCCCTGATCTGGCCTGATTTGGGGTCTGCTAGTTTAAAAAGAGTTTAAGAAACAATGACTATCTTAATTCCTTTTGCAGTGAACAGGAATGCTAAAACAAAAAAGCTAGGCTACTGGGTACAAAAGACACACTCAAATCCTTGATCAGTTTTGAAAATGGACTCATAACAGATTATACTTATGAAAAGTACTGATATCTAATGAAAATGCAATATCTTGGGTAACATCAATTATTTCAACAATATTTAGATATATAAGAAAGAATGGAAAAATCCACAAGAAAAATTTCTTGATCGCATGGATTAATACAAGCTTAAGAACATGCACTGAGGGAGGCTGTAGCTAACAAATGATTGAATTATTAGGCTAATACATAAGGTAGAATTGTAAATAACCTCTTGTGCTAATTGGCATTTAAGTTTTTAAGATACTTTGTTGTTTCATAAGGACTCTGAGACCAGCAGGGCAGATATCATTATATTCTACAGACAGATAGGAAACAGAGGTGCTATGGGTAAGGGACCTCTAAGTCCCTCTATGAATTCTGAATAGAACACCCAATTCTTATAACTCTAAATTCGGGGTTTACATTTTTTTTTTTATATTATGATGTCTCTCCAAAGGAAAGAAAAAAAAGATAAAATGTTAGAAAAAAAAAAAGATTTGAAATATACATTTTTTCAACTTTTTTCTATAAAGAAAGAGATCATCTAAATATATTCTTAGAAGATGGTGAGTGGACTTTAATTTTATAACTCACAGTTTCTATGATCAAGTGAAAATATATAATTATAAATATGTGAAAGTATATAGAACGTACAAATGAAGGAGGCATTGTAGTTAAGAATAATAAACATTACTACCAGCTTTACCTTTCTGCATTAAAACTTCCAACAGTCCATAGATTCCTGACAAGTAAAACAAAACTGTATGCTTAATATCTTATAGTCTAGTTAGAGAGGCAAGAGCCGGGCTTCCATAGTTATTTTTCTAAAATCCAAAGAACAAGGTGTTAGAAAGTTATGACGTACCTGACATGGCATACAGTATCTTCCTTTTTGAGTAGGGGTTACCGCCATGGGATACGAACCACTATAAGCACATGAAACATCCATTGCATCTAAGGTAATACTCATTTTGGATGGTTCTGAGTTATTGGATACATTAATATGACTGTTAAAACTTCGAAAAGCTACAGCATTTCTTTTAGAGAAGGTTAATGTTTTCGACACCTCTGAAGAAGGAGCTAACATTTGGTTACTGTCTTGGACAGCAGTATTCTCATCGTCTTTCGGCAAAGTATTTTCTTGGTAGCTGGGCGATACAGTAAGGTCTTCAATATTTGATTCTTCAAAAGAAGATTCTTTGATGCTTTTATCTGGATCTAAGGACTGCTTTTCTAATGAACTTTCCATCATAGAAATTCCAGGAAAAGATGAATCAGAGTCCATATGAATACTTTTACAAGCTCTGTCATCATCAGAACACAGGAAACTAGAACTTAAGTTGTCCTTATTATTCTTGTCAGAATCTTCTTCCAGCTCACACATAAGGTTTTTTGCTATCATCGGTATAGGTGATTTTTCTGGTGTTTGTTGTTTATCGATAAAAGAATCAACCCTGTTCTCCTTATTGGCACAGTCATTTTGCTGACTTCTGTACACGGAGAGCTTAAGGTCCTGGACTTCGGTCGTTAAGCCTGTACTTTGATTTGCATAACGATCTCTCGTTTCATTACTCTGCTTATATTCTAGACAACATTTTTTATTCTGTATAATTTCCTGACAAGGACTGGAGTCAACTAACTCAAAATTTCTCTTAACACTTCTTTTCCCAAGGTGCTCTTGAATCATACCACCAGAATTCAAGGCCCACTGATTTGCCTGATGAAAACCAGACTGTTTTGTGTCAGTGGCCATGTTAATATTATTTATATCCAGTTTGTTTGCTTTCCAAGAAACTTCTCCAGAACAGCATTTTTTAGCAAGGTTTATACAAGAGTTTCCAGTGGCAGGAATGGCACTACTGTTCTGAATGGGAGAAAGAGTTAATTCAAGATCCTTTTTACTGAAACTGTTGGTCTCGATGGCATTTGTAGATTTTGTATAAAAAGGCTTTTCAGTTGTATTCCAACTTTTCGTTGGAGAGCCCAATGCATCGTCACTTTCCTAAGGAGAAGGGAGAACCTTTTATTAATTGTATGAAGCTGAGATTTTTTAATCTTTTAAACCTCTGTCCACTTAGGTGGAACAAATGCCCCCATAAGCTATTATGTTACCTATTCCCACTTTCCAATGGAACAAAAGAACAATGATAACAGAGAATTAAAAAACAATATAAATAATTATAGTCTACATTTATACACATTATTTATTTATTTATTTTTTTATGCCTACAGCATCTAGTCTTCCTAAGTGGTCTCCCATCCAAGTACTAATCAGGCCCGACCCTGCTTAGCTTCCGAGATCAGATGGGATCAGGTGTGTTCAGGGTGGCATGGCCGGAGACTATACACATTATTTTGAGTGAAACACTGGTCTAAAATGTAAATCGATTATTCTATAATACTCATTTGATAGTGTATTACATGTTATTTAAATAGAACAAATTAACAGGCAACAACAGGCAACATATTTAGGCAAATTTGGGATTAAGGCTACATTATATACATATCTGCTTTGCAATAGCAAAATGCGCATAATATAAATATAGTTAATGATATAAATATGGTTAATGGAAAATAACTAATTGATATAAATATAGTTAATGGAAAATTATAGACCAAAATATTATTAATATGAACATGTATCACTTTATACAAGTATAATAAAACCAAGCCGATAAGGATAAAGCTAAATTAGTGGTAATTTATAATTAAAAACCAAAAATACCAGGAATTAAAATCCATTGTCAACAAGTTGAATCGATGACATAATGATAACAAAATGCTTTTCCTGAAAACTTCAAATTAGCAGGCGCTCTTGGGTGATCAGATCTTTGTGCCTAATACCGCAAACTGGTACATGGTACTCAGGACTTTTACAAGATTACTCAATTAGAAGGAATCTTCAGTAACTAATAATGCCTATTTTTGACATGTGAAAATCAAACCTTATTAACTTACTCCATAATAACAAGGAGTACTGAGTCATGAACCAAAGAAAATTTCTGAATTGTAACTCAAGCACAGAAAATGATGCATTTGGGGATTAGCACAGGGTTTATCGGGGGTCCCTTTTCTCTCCTCTGATCATAACTGGAGAAAGACTATTATAATTCAATCATTATATTCCTCAGGGATGCAGAAGTGGGAAGAAGATGGAAAAGCTGCGTATAGGTGAAATTATATATAATATGCTTTCTTGAATAGAAAAGAAATGAAATACTACTACTAGGAATGTAAATATGGTTTATCCTATAGCATATATATATTACCTATAGAGTAGCCCATAAGAAGAGAAGGGAAAAAAAATTGAGAAACCCTGTCTTAACTAAAAACAATTTGATCTTGTTCCTAAAATGCAAATATCCAACAATAATGAAGGAAATCATATGACTAAGAATAAGAAACAAATACAAATTATTTTATTAAATGGAAGATTTATTCTTTGTTCATTACCATTATTCTAATATCATACTATTTTACTGGCATTTTATGAAGGAAACTTTATTATAATTTAAACTTCTAGTTCCTCTCAACTTTAATATTTATTAGCTTTAACAGCATTAAAAGAGGGCAATAACAGAATATATAAATTAAGTAATGAAGCTTTAAGTAAATCATCCACTTAGCAATCTTAGACTGGATACTCTTACAGGCACACCTATATTACCTTTGGGGTCTAAAAGTTATTTCTCATGCAGAAAACAGTATAGAAGGAGGTAGTTATGAGTTTTAAAATAAGATATAGGTTAAAAAAAAATCAACAAGCTAATGTCTTTATCATGGTAGGGATTAAAACACGAAGAAAAAAGAAGTCTATTTCGGTGCCTAGAAGCCAAACACACTTTTATCAATTTATAGCAAACTTTAAAAATTTGGAATCTCATATATCAAGCAAGAATAATTTCACATTTAAATGAGAAAGAAAAAAAATATATATTTTTAATTTTTAAAATTTATTATGGTGACATTAACAAAATCCAGTAAGTTTCAAATATATAATTCAATGGTAGAGAAATGAAATATTTCAAAAGAATTTGACAGAATGTATAAGAAAATGAAGAATGCCATTCATTTCCATACAGAATGCCATTCATTTCCGTATAGAATTTATATGAAAAGGTATAAAGTGTTTTTACCATTAATTCCACATATATAATTGGTTTGGGTTAAGATAAATTTCACTCTAACCTGGCAATCCTTCTCCCATTGGGGACTGCTGTGGCTTTCAGATTCCACACTGGACACAAAGGTGTGGGACTGACTACTGGCACTTGATGTAGCCAGCCTTTTCCTAGACTGCAGTAGATTAGGAGTTAGACACTTCATAGGCATTCTGGGGTTGGGGGCAACTGTTTCAACACCTGTAGGGAAGAGAAAATATTGAAGCTTATATCATATCTTTCTTGGTTTCTCACTGAGCCTGAATCTTTACAGATAATTAGGCAAAATATTAAGTACTGCATGTCAGAACTATTTCTGTGTAAACATTATCCAATCTACAAAGATGGCTTCAGGTGTTTTTGGTATACTAGTACTGTTCTGAAAGTTAAAAAAACAAACCGCTCAACATTCATAAAGTAAAAATCAGGATAAGAGAACTAATTTATAGTTCGGAGGAAATCCATTTGAATATCCATTATCCAATGTGAAACTCTTCTTGATAAAGGAGTTGTTATTGATGTGTTATATCCAGATGTGATACAAGGCTGGAATGTGACTAAATTTACACAGTTCAATTTGTATTTAATTAAAATTATAGCTTTATTTCAATGAGATTTAAATGCTTACAAGTGTCAATTATGCACAATCCATAAGGGATTTTTTAATTTGTTTTTTATTTTATTTATTTACTTTTTTCAATAAGGGATTTTTAAAATACCACTAGATAAAACAAATGAATAATGGTAAATTGGCTAAGAGAGAGCCAGGGAAAGAAAGCAGCACTATCTACATGATACATGTTCCTCTCTCATATAACAATGCTAAAAATTATTGCTCCTGAACTTATAATTAGACACAACAGACAATCATGCTTGTAGACAACAGATAATCACACATATTAAAGTTAATAATATATAAAATATAAAGATTTTACACTTATATAAAAAGATACATATATCTTATTTTCCTTTCCTGATATTGGGTGAACATAACTTTAATTCCAAGTAAATTCTTAGTCTTATAGTTTTTTGAATTGATAGCTCTTAGAACTTTAAAACTGGAAGGAGAATTTCGAAGTCCATCTAAAGCAACTTTCTTTTTGGTATATAAATTCTCTCAACAGAATTCCTGAAACTTGTTGGATACTCGCATTGATATTTGACTAAACTGCTCAGATGTCTTTCCCCGTATGGTGAGAACCTGTGCCTAATCTAATGCTATGTGCATACTGTATATCTGCTAATAAGTTCTTTCTGGATCACTGATATGATCAGACTATTCCCTACTTTGGAACTTTTGATGGCTTCCCTTTTTCTAAAGCTTAAATCCTAGACCCCCTGTAATAACACTTGATCCTTCCCTATTTACCTGCTAAGCTTTCTTTTGCATTGCACAAACCATTCTCACATAATATATTTAGTCTCCATAAGTCTGAGGATGGAATATACTTCCACATGTCCATGCCTTTGCTCATGCTGGTGCTTCTATATGAAATGTCTTTTCCCACTATAATTGCAGCTATTAAGTTCCTGTTTTTCTTTCTGGGTCCAGCTTGGCTGTTGCTATATCTTTATTTAGAACCATTCCTGATTTTCTCCATTAGCATTTGTCACTTTCTGTGTTACATCAAAGTATTCCTCCTGTGGCATTTATTTTATAGGATTGTTATCCCTTTATACCTGTAATCACCACAAAATTACAAGTTCTTCTGAGACAAGGACCTCTCTTACTCATCTTGATATCTACTCAAGTGACCAGTACATGCTTTGGACCTATCTAATTTTGACTAGATTAATGAATGACTAAGGGAGATGCAATTATTTTTCCTTAAGCATAAGGCTACAAAATAACACCTGCACATCCCATATTTTAACGGTTTATTTATCAAAGCCATACACACACACACACACATATAGTTCAGCCATTTTGATTTTCACAGTGGATTTTGACAGAAGAAACAATATTCACTGAATTTGAAGTAAAGAGTAAGGTGGCAGAAAACTGTATACACAATCAGGACTTGGCTTACCCATTTACTAGTGTTGCAAATAAGCATTTCAAATATTAGTTTTCTCATTTGTAAAAGAATACTGTATATATGTGTGTGTATGTACACACATATATGCATGCATGCACACACACACACACACACACGTCTAGATATGTACAGATTTGTTGAGGACCAAATTTAAAGTGAGGTAACATCTGTGAAAGCAACCAATACTAATCACCCTTCAAAGGACCATTATTTACATTCCCAAGATGAAGAATGTGAGTGCAGAGAACTAAATTGTCCACTGTTGCTAAGCTATAAAAGGTGAAGTTAAGAGCCGTACGAATGTCCCACTCTTCTCTACGAATGTCCCACTAATGCCTGATGTTCTGAGCTTTTGTCTTTTATTGGGCGCTACTTTATATCTTTACTTTGACAATTTTATTTAGAATCTTTTGGAAGTAATTTTACAATTTCTTCTCAATATAAGACTTCTATAGACCCAGTATAGTAAAATCTATCCAATGAACATCCTAATATTATAGCTAATTGACAAATATCTCATTAGACACTTGGTTCTGTTGACATAAAGATCTGCAACAACGCCTGTCAGAAATGGCGTCTACATAATGAAATACAGAAATGCAACAGTCTTCAAATATTTGCATTTTAAAATTATTAAATTGATATGAGAAATAAACTACTTTTTCTTTTATACTCACATGATTTTAGTCTGCTAAAATAAGGAGTAGCATCCTTTTGATCTATAGACATAGAACAAATTAGTCCTTGAGAAAGCTGTGCTGTTTCAGATACATGAGTTGAAAGAATATTTGTAGAGTCTTGATTTTTTTCTGCAACTGGTGGGTGCTATTAAAAAGAGAAAGAAAAATACAAATGCTAACATCTTCATAAAAACACCACCTAAGTACATACATAGATGGTTATACCACCTAAGTAGATAAACAGTTAAAGTATCTCGACATGCTTGATATTTAAATTCATTTTGATCATTTATTAAAAAAAGAAAAAGGATTTTAAATTTTAAATGGTAATCATGAAAGGACACGTTATGTGAGTTTTTTCTTATCAAGTACTTACAAATCCCAAAGAACTGATGAGAGATAATACTTGGCCTGGGGTTCTTGAATAATCTTGTCTGGGTTTAGCCATTGATGGTGTTGTAAGGATATCCATCATATTGATATCTACATATGGAAAGCAAAGTATATAAAATTCTTTAATCATCTGCTTTGAACTTTGCCCCTCTTTCTACATTATTAAATTACTTACAAATTGGCTCGTGCAAGACAAACATTCCTACAAAAGCCAGATGCCACAGAGTTAACATATAAAACTAAGCAACTGATTGAAATCATTAAAGTCTGATAAAACAGAGTCTTGTTCTGGAATGAATAGAACACAGTGTAATGACCCAAAGTCTTATCTTTTTAGGGAACACTCAATCACTAAACAAGAGTGTTATATAACTGGCAACAAAATAATTCTTGGTAAATCAAATATTAGAAAAGGACATGGTGAGAAAAGATAAGAAAGGAATTAAGATAATAGAAACATCAATTAAATTTCAATATCAGAATCTATTTAAGGAATTAATATAAATTATGGACCCTTCACTTTAACTAACATGAGCAACTATAGGTTAAGACAGAAATTGACAGAATTTTATCAGGTTTCAGTACTTAACACTGTAAAATAATTCAACATTCACACATGATATTGTACTATTTTCTTTAGATATCGAAAATGGTAAGGGAAGTAATCCACTGTATGTGATACAACTTTTTTAAAGATAGACTGAAAGGTTGAACTTAACAAATTTCATTTATACCTCATACTGATAAAGCAATGTTATTTTTTGCTAGCTTAATAGTATAAAATGATTCATCTATTATTTTTTAAATTAGCATTTATTTCATTACTACTAGTGCATTTAACACAACCCCATATGTGTGTGTGTGAACTGTGTGTTCATTTTCTTTGCCCCTTGTTTACGGAGGTGTCGTTGGTGGCCATGTATATTTGAATGAGTTCTTTAGGTATTAATTGTTTACCATGTTATAATCATTTTACTGATTTTTAATTGGTTAGAACCAGTTTCAGTAGGGATAAAACGTCCAAAGAACAGAAATTGTGAGCTCCTCTTTGAAAATCTTCAAGGACCTTTGAGAATTTAAAAATAATCATTCCCGGTTTTCATCTTTAATCAAAAGAAAAGGTACCATTAGACCTTGCTAGTCTATTTTAAAACAAATAATCATTAAATTTCATTCATTATAAACTAACAAACAAACAAAATAACCCAGTATAAGTTAATGAAATGTAGTGTCTAAAATTTGTTGGAGTTTTAAAAAGGTACTTACTTATTATTTTTCTTACCTCTATTTAGAGTAACTTTAGAAAGGCCAAAATCTGTTAGTTTAATATGACCTTCATTAGAAATAAGCATATTGTCTGGTTTCAAATCCCTGCACATACAAAAGATAAACAACAGATAACTGAAAAAGAGCTGGTGTTGATGTTAGAATCACTGAGAAAAAAAGTGAAAGTTACAGAAGAATCGAACCTTATTTATTTTCTCTAAAATAAGGCACTCATGGGTGGCTTTGAAACTGCAGAAAACAACTCTAAAAAGCAAACTGTCTTTTGTATATCAAAATCTACAAGAAAGTTAGTTGATTTAATGATTATCTTCCACATTATTCTTTAGATATCACATTAAAAGAAATAGACCTTATTAGATAAAATAAACCTTAAGCCAGGTCAAAATCCTATTTGCCTCTTTCAAGGAGGTTAATATTAAGCCTTTTTAGAGCAGAGCCACTTAACCTGCCTTTCTTTGCACAGAGCGAAACACTGTAAATCAGTCCGATTATAAAATTTAGCACTTTTGTATGATGGTAAAAAAGTGGAAAAGCTTCAAAATTCTTCACAATAAAATGGTGTATACTCATGGTCAAAGCAACATATTAAAAAAACACAAGGAGATGGAAGAAGAGTTGATGGAATTTACCAAACTTTAGACAACCTAGGTATATGGGCAAGTGGTTTTACAAATATTTAATACTTAATTTTATTATTTGTGTTTTACGAATATTTAATACCTAATTTTATTATTTGTGTGGAAAGTCAGTCTTTACCTGTGGATAATTCCATGTCTATGAAGGTAGTCTAGAGCCAATGCTACTTCAGAAATATATTTTACAGCCATCTCTTCATCAAAATAACCATATATATGTAAGAGAGACTTGACATCTCCACCAATAAGATATTCCATTACCTACCAAAAAGGAATATAAACGTTGCAAAATAAAACCAATATGATAACATTAAAATATATATACTTTGAGCATCACAGTTACATATTTTTAGCATGGTTCTGTACAAAACACATTTTCTTGGTATCACCCACTACCCATAAATACCCAGTTTGGTCATGTTGCTAATGTCATATTCCATACAGCTTTTTAAATATAAATTAAACTGTTTAGTCTGAACAAAAACTCAGACTTGCAAAAATGATGTAAGAACAACAGATTTCCTATATACTCTTCATCTAGATTCATGCATTGTTAGCATTTTACTACATCTGCTTTCTTCCTCTCCACATGTATAAATATTTATGTCAATCACTAACATAATTATATTACATAATAAACATAGCAAGATGACAATTATTACACCATTAACATAAATATCTTATATGCACGTATTTTTGTTCAGACTAAACTATTTCAAAAAATTATATGGCAATATTAGCAATTGGTACTAATGTATAACTTTTAAATTTTTGCTGAATAATTCAAGAATAAAGTTGAAGACATCTTGACTTGTCACCACTAAATTCTTCATCATATATCTCCTAACAAGGACATTCACGTAGAACTATGGCATAATATAATTCAGGGAATTTAACACTAACATAATGCTATTACCTAATACAGCAGTCCGCAACCTTTTTGGCACCAGAGATTAGTGCTCCTATGAGAATCTAATGCCTGATGTTCTGAGGTGGAGATGCTAGCACTGGGGAGCAGCTGCAAACACAGATGAAGCTCGCTCTCTCGTCACTTACCTACTGTGTGGCCACATTCCTAACAAGCCACGGGCCAGTACTGGTCCACGGCTGGGGGTTGGGGATCCCTAATCTAAAGTATAGAACGTATTCAAATTTCTCTGATTATCTCAATACTGGCCCTGATAGCTTCTCTCCTCATCCCCTATGCTCAAGCCAGGATCATGCACAGGATTTAGTTGTCATGTCTCTTTAACATTCTTTAATCTGAAATAGTTTTTAGCCTTTTTGGGGTGCTGGTGGGGGGGCAGTTTTTCATGACAGCTGATTATTTCTTCATGATTTAATTCAAGTCATGCATTTTAGGCAGGAATATGACATTAACAAGGTTGAGTCCTTCTCAGTGATTCCCACCAGAAAAACATCCAACTAATATCAGTGTGTTCCATTCCTGGTAACGTTAACTTTGGTCACTTAGTTAAAGTGGTGACTTCCAGATTTCTCCATTGAAGAACTCCACCTACCTTGTAATTAATAAATAATCTGGGGGATTATTTATTTCTGTGAAACTATATAAATAACCTGTTTCCCAACAAACTTTCAATAATAATTTTAGCATCACATAGCTACAGATGATTCCATTATTGATATGTGGTTGCAAAGCTCTATTAGTCCTTCTACATGTACTAGTCATCATTCTCAAAATTTTCTATAGTTTTAAGCTATAAAATAGTGGCTATTAAGAACTTAATAAAACGAGGTCATTTGTTTGTTTGTTTCCCTGGTACACTGAGATGAGTCAATATTTGTTAATGAAATCAATCATTAAACCATTTATTAAGCACAAAGTCTGTGCTACATTCTGTTCTAGTACTGGGAATATAAGCATGAATAAAATGTAGTCACCACACTTAAAGAGTTTGTAATTCAGTAGTAAAGAAATACTGTATTTGAACTCACGAGAATGCTTATTTTCTTACATCCTCATCAACAGTGACTATCAATACTTTTTATCTTTGTCAATCTAAGGAAGAAAAGATGGACTTGTTTAAATGTTTATTCACTTTTAGGGATATCTGGAATCTTTACACACTGTTCTTGACCTTTAATATGTCTTCTGTGAATCACTTCTATTCTTTGACTGGGGTATTTATCCTTTCTTACTGATCTGTAAACTCTGTTTACGTAGAAGTAAAATCAGTCCCTTTGTCTGTCTTCTGGGCAATAAATATTTTCCCCAAACATGTCATTTGACTATGTATATGGTATTTTGTGTCACATGTTTTAAAATTTTAAGTAAGTTTTATGTTGTACTTAGTAAGTCCTGCACTATTCTATGATTATAAAAATGTTCACATCAGTGTTCTTCTAATACTTTTATGGATTCCCCTTTTCAATGGAACTCTCTGATATAAAAGGGGAACAAATAAACCTAGCTGTACATCAAGTTTCATAACCACGCAAAGAATTATTTCAAGTGACTTCAAAAAACAGAACTCGACAGCATGTCCCAAGGGAAAAAGAACTGCAAGGAAATCCTAAATCAAATCCAGTTGTTTCGGTGTTAGTAAAACAATACTGGTATTGCTGTTTTGAAAATATTAGTTACATGTATATTGGAAGTTAAAGAAGTAAGTATGTTAATGCTATTTATATCCCAGATTCTCAGGGAAAAAAATACAAATATGTTTTTCCAAACATTTTTATAGTTCATATATTTTTCAAAGATGTTAAGTAAAAATTCTATAATCTTCCATTCAACTGGAAATATCTGTATGAACTCTGGATATATTTTCCTCTTTCTATAAAACTATGTGGTTCCTAGTCTGTCCACTGAGAAGGCCTAAAAGGAATGGTGACCTAGTGGCAATGAATGTCACTAATTACTACCACCTGAATTGCGGTCTCTAACCGTTATTTCCCAGTAAAAGAAGCTAGACTTCCTCGCTCAGGTCTCGTACAGGATGTTTACAAAATGAGCCTTAAATCTCTTGTCACGCCAGAAAGCAAAGAAGTTATTAGAATACTAAGATAGTATAAAAAGTTAAATTAACCAAAGGGGCTTCTATTCACTAAAGATGGGACAATTTGAACATAGAAAGTAATGACTGCAGTGGATTAAAACACAACGAATCCATAAAATTCCATGAATTGATAAAGATACTTAAAAAAACTAAAAGCAAAACTATACACGTTTGGAGGTTGCTCTCTGAAAATGGGCGATGAAAGAAAAAGAATGAAGCTTTTATTCTGCTTTCCTCATATAAGTTGTATTTCAGAGTAATGAAATAGGTGACAAGGGAGAATTCTAGCTAATAAAAGCTAAGGGAATAAATCATTTTGCAAACATCATAAAATTATGAATCCGGGCAATGAATCAAAGGATGCCCAGAGCACTACATGAAGGTTGACTGGGTTCATTATATTCATCTTTTGATTTTTTTGTATGTCCGAATGCTTCCATAATAAACATTTTCATCTTCTTGTTCCTTGTACCACCTAGCATAGTACCTGGAATGTAGCTGTCAATTATTTTTTATTATTGTGGCTAAATTCAGTTATACCTTATTCCTTTGCCTCAAAGTAGCTTCTCATTTCTAGGAAATCTTTTGTTTTGTCTAAACCAGGACTTTGTACACTTTAATGTGCCCGGGGAATCTTGTTAAAATTCAGATTCTGATTCAGTAGATTTGGAGTGGGGCTTGAGATTCTGCACTTCTAATTAGTGCTCAGATGATGCTGGCATTGCTTGTCTGTGGACCACACTTTGAGTGTCAAGGATCTAAAACAGTGATGAAGTTTGTAGACAAGATATGGTCTCCTTTCTAATTCCAGAAATAGGAAATAAAAAATATTATAGCTGTTTACTTATTCCACCAACTCTATGACACAGAGTTGAAAAAAAAAGGTACCAAGTTAAACAAGTCAACTGAGCCTTTCAACCACAACTGTTAGACCAGGCTTGTGGAAACCTCTGGCTGCCAAAGGGCTAAGTAATGATTGATGCCACAGCCAGTCATGGCATTGGGTAAGGTACTCACATTGCATATAAAATAGTATGTGGTATGCATATAAAATAGTATGTGGTAAAAGCATTAGAGAGCTCAAGCAAGAATTAGAAGATCAAATAGTTTCCTACCTTCTGTGGAAATGACATACAATAATATTTTCTTTTCTGTAAAGAGCCACATAGTAAATATTTTAGGCTTTGTTGGCCATGTGGTCTGTGTTGCAACATGACAGCAGCCATAGATAATAATGTAAACAACAGGTGGTTGTGTTCCAATAAATCTTTACTTATTCGCTGAAATTCAAATTTCATATAATTTTCACATATCACAAAATACTATTCTTTTGATTTTGTTCCAACATTTTAAAAATGTAACAACTATTCTTAGCTCATAGGCTGTACAGAAACAGTGGGTCAGATTTGGTTCAGGGGCCATGGTTTGCCAACCATTGGCTTAAAACATGAAAGTCAATTATTCTTACAGAATTTGGTTTTCATCTTCTTACTGCTACTACATACATTTTTTGACTCACTCAAAAAGTGAATCATCCTAAAAAAGAGACCCCCAACTCATGCTTTCTCAGAACTTAGTGGTCTCTTAAAGGGCTGTCTTTAATCTTTCTCTGAGGGTGAATTCAAAGACAAATTTGTATCTTTACTCCAAAATCTTTCCCCCAATATTATCAAGTCTTGTTTCCCACAGAGAAGGCCATTAAAACCAGGTACTGCAATCCATGCTAAGGTATTGATTGGAGTGTTGTTTAGAATAGCAAACAGCAAACAAACAAAAATCACAAACAGTTAAAAAAAAAAAAAACCAAACCAACTCACGGATAGTATGCTTCTTAAAGAAATTATGGAATTCATAAATAAATGTATGCAATTCTATTGTCATTAATAAAGGATTAGGTCACCACTAAGTGGAAAAACAGGCAGAAGAATAGTATTTACAATATGATCACATTTCATGTATTCATTAAATTTTGGTTTATAAAAAACTGTTATTTCTCCTGAATTAGTCCTAATGCTAAAAAGGGTCCTAAATAAACTTTTTACTTTTTGAAAGTTTTTTTGCCTTCCCATTAAACCTTTGCAACCACATTCAACATCAGTCTAAATATATTCACAGATCTGCTCAAAGATCAGAAATGGATTTAACCATCAAGTACCAAGAGTTTTAGATTAGGTTCTATTTTTATAACCTAGCCTGAATTTTTAAGTCTATAGCTGGAAGCTGCACGTCATGTTCAATCTCAAGCTTTTGGAATAGCAGAAAGTTGAAGTGTCATACAATTATGTTTCAGAGTCACAAGAAAGATTTAGCATATCAAGGATAAAAGGTTTCCACTCTTAAAGGCAATCAAATCATTAAAGGAACAAGCCTTCCGTTGATAAATACATAAATTCCTGGTCTAAAATCTAAATCCTAAAGACATTCATTCACAGAAACCACTTGGACATAGTAAACAGAAGCTACTGGTGTTATCAAACATTTAATCCACAGACCACCTCTTAAGTCAGAACCTCTGAAATTTGCAGTAAAAATACCTGCCATTCACACCTCTTCTGCCTCATCCCCTCCAATTCTTCATTAGAACAGTGTAAGTGGCTGCTTTAAATGAAAAGCAAGCACCTCTCAAAGTCCACCATATCCTAATATCTTTCTTTATTATACACCAAACCTTATATTTCTACATGTCCTTTTCTTACCAAATATTTTTAGCACTTTGTGCCAGACACTGTTCTGCATGCTTTACATTCACCTACTGAAATTTCATAACAACCTTTGAGGTAGATACTATTATATCTCATTATGCAGAAAAGGACACTGAGGTGTAATATAGCCATGTGCCATTTGATGATGAAAATACGTTGAGAAATGCATCGTTATGCAAACATCACAGAGTGTTCTTATACAAACGTAGATGGTGTAATACTACACACCTAGGCTACAGGGGATAGTCTGTTGTTCTTAGGCGACAAGCTTATACAACTTGTTCTTGCACAAAACAACATGAGATTAAATAAAGCATAAGAGAAGATGATGCAGTCAAGAGATGTGGTAAACACAGGATGTATGAGAGTGCCGCCAGCATAACATGGCATATTGTTATACAGCAATCATTTTTTCATAATTAGAAAGAGTACACTTTAACATAATGATAAAACAGTAGAGCATATCAAATACATAAACCAGTAACATAGCTGTTCGTTATCACTGCCAAATATTATGTACTGTATGTTATTATATGTACTATATTTTTATTGCTGGCAGTATAGTAGCTTTGTTTACACTAGCATCACCACAAATGTGAGTAATGCGTTGCACTACGACATTAAGATGTCGTTAAGTGACAGGAATTTTTCAGGTCCATTAAAATTTTATGGGACCACTGTGGTATACGTAGTCTGATGTTGACCAAAACGAACGATGCATGACTGAAGTTAATTTTATGTGTTAACTTGGCTAAGCCATGGTACTCGGATTATTTGGTGAAACACCAATCTAAATGTTGCTGTAAAGGTATTTTTAGATGAGATTAACATTTAAATCGGTAAGACTTTGAGTAACAGGTGATTACCCTCCAAAATGTTGGTGGGCCTCACCCAATCAGTTGATGGCCTTAAGATTAAAAAAAAAATTTAGGTGTTGTCCTTCACACTACAGCCACCACCCCCACCTCCACCGCTGCCAAGAAAAGGGAATTCTGAGTCTACACTGCTTTTGGACTGCAGCTACAACACCAACTCCTTCCCGGGTTTACAGCCTGCCATCCTACTCTGCAGATTTCAGACTGGTCAGCTCCCACAATTGTGTAAGGCAATTCCTTAAAATAAATCCTCCTCTCTCTATACACACTGTGTGTATGCCCGCATACACCCCCCCTCCACACCCTATTAGTTCTTTTTCTCTTAAGAACCCTGACTAATAGGACAGGTAAGGTAAGGTCACTTGGCCAAAATCATAAAGTTAGTGCAACAGTTGGAATTCAAACCCAGGTACTCTGAACTTAGAGACTATAGTGTTAAGTCACTGAGTTCAGTGACTGCTGAATAAAGAAAAAAATGTAAAATTGGTTACTCACCAAGTAGACATTGTTTGCTGACTGCAGTGAATAGTACAAATGGACAATAAAAGGACTTTTGCTTAGAGCCAGTGCGTCTCTCTCAGCTTGTACCTGATGAGTCATATTTTTGTTGATCATGTCTGCTTTTCTGACAACCTATAGTAGATAACATGATAATAGACATTCGTTTTATTTTTTATTACAAAGTCTTCTAAGGGTTCAAAGCTACATCATGAAACAACCAGAGAGAAAACATTCATTTTATTTTTTATTACAAAGTCTTCTAAGCGTTCAAAGCTACCATCATGAAACAAGCAGATGTCATTTGGACTTCATATTGCCAACAGGAAGCTCTGCCAGAACAACAGCTAATATGATTAAAACAAAAACAGAACTTTCTTCAACAGAGAATTGCTTATCTTGATATCAAGTGTCAAAAGTACCACATCCTTTTTGAGGAGGAAAAGGTAAACAAATGCTCCCAGACTGCCCTAATTATTAGTAGAAAAAAAATTCTGTTCTGCTATTCTTAAAGTCAAAAGATAGTAATGTTCCTAATATCTCCTAGATGACCATTTCTCCTAGGCACAGAGAAATAGTAACTAATATAAATATTTTACTTCTGATTCTTTGATGGATGGGAATAGAATCAGAAAGAGGAAGAATGTGGGAAGTTTGCCTACAAAAAAAAATTTAAGAATGGTTAGAACTACTGAAAATTAAGTCTCAAATGCTGTATTACAGAAAATAACTAGTCTTTTCAAGTTTCAAGGTAATTAATTGTTACAGAAGCAAAACTAGAATCTATATCAAAGTTGGAGCACTAAACTGAATATTCAGTAAAACTGAGATCAATTTTCAGGACTACAAGAAAAAAAAAGTATATTTCTTTTGTAAATTCCAGCCTTACATCCTCTCTACAAGAAAACTGAGGGAAATTGACAAAGCCAGTTTGTAACACGATCTTACTTATCATTTTATTAGATTAGAAACTCTATGAGGGCAGTTTTGTTTTGTTCACCTTAGTAGCCCAGATCCTACAAACAAAGGGGATGCTCAACAAATATATATATCAAAAAATGAATTGGTGTTTTCATTTCAACAAGTGATAATGACTGATTAGTAAGTACAGCAGAAAGAAAAGCAAAATACCTTGGGAACATATGAAGCAAGGAAGAGCTCATTTTAATGGGATAGGTCTGAAATGTCAGGGAAGGTTTCAAGGGGAATGAAGATGAACTTGCCTAAATAAATAACACAGGTGGAGAAGAGCAGAGAAAGGTGGAAGAAAAGCACTTGAGCAGCCAGTATAAACATAAGCTCAGAGACAAGAAAATACACAGAACATGGCAGTCAATTGTCTGGTGTAGCTAGAACACATAGGATATGTGGAAGATACCATAGTGTTAAGTTTAGAGTCAGAACTTAGAGCATGAACGCTTTTCTAAGGAGTTTGGACTAAGGAATGGGTGAAAAAAATAAAACAGTGATTCCAGTTAGGGGGCTATTGCAATAGACTAGGTATGGAAATGAAGTCCTGATAAGCTTCAAAAACATCGTGTCAAATGAACAAAGCCAGATGCAAAAGACCATATAAACTGTATGATTCCATTTGAGAAAAGATAAATCCATAGAGATAGAAAGTAAATTTGTGGTTACCTGGGGCCAGGGGTGTTAAAGGGGGGAGGCACTGAAGATGGGCAGGAGAGATCTTTTTGGGGTGATGGAAATGTTCTAAAATTTACCCCCAAAAAACAAACTGTACTTTGAGGAAGGAAGGAAGGAAAGAAGAAAGGGCGAATGAACTAGAGGGAGAAAATATGAAGGGCTGTACTTGGGCAGACTTGGGAATGGAATGGACGAGGTAATAAGCATGAATACCAGACAGAATTGACAAGACTTAAGAGGCAAGACATACAGATGAAGTAGAGGGAAGTTAAAATGACCCAGGTTTCTAGTCTGAATGACCAGAATGATGGTGGTGGTATTAAATGGAGAAGTAATACAGGAGGTACAGAGTTTAGGCAGTTAGGTGGAGAGGACTGGTCAAGGTTAGGCAAATACAATTTGGAGGTGCCTGCTCCACATTCACTCACATAGCAATGTCCAAAAGAAAGCTGAAACTGTCTCCTGTTACTCAAACTGCTGGCTTCTTCCCTTTATCAGGTTCACTCAGTACAGAAATGTGAGTCATCGGAAACTACGGGAGTGGATAACCAAGAGGGGTCTGAATAGCTTCAATACATTGAAAGCTCTTGTAGGAATGCTATACACTACTGCAAGGATAAAGGATGGATTTAGGACATATTTCAGTTTAGCCTTTAAACAAAAGTACATTCTAGTTTTATAATGGAAGGTATGAGGAGAAAAAATGAGGTTGTTTAATGAGATCTTTTGGTTATATAGTAGGTTAGAAATTATATCAAACCGATAAAATTAAAACATGATTTGGAAAACAACTGTTTCAAATTTTAAGTTTCTTACTTAATCCCGGTAAAGGCCAAATCAGTAAAAAGGATCCAGAAGTTCTGGTGTTTCCTAAACTTTCTCGTACTGAAGGGCGGGGCAGAGGAGAGACACCCGACTTGCTCACGCTGACGTCACCCCAAGAGAGAAGTCAGCTCGCAGGGCCCTGGAGCCTGCACAATTCAGGGGGCAGGAAGAAGGGCCGGAGGGCCGGACTCTTTCTCTTGCTTTACTCCCTAACGTCTTACCTTCACCGCATACAACTTGCCGCTTTTCTGCCCCAGATACACCTTCCCGAAGGCTCCACGGCTAATGGGCTTCACTATGGTGAATTCTTCAATGGAGGGAGGTCTTGGCACCGAGATTCTGTCCACGCACTCCCCTGCCGCCGCGTCTCTTCCGCCCTCCTTCTCGCTCCCGTCGGGGGGCTCCATTGCAGGTCAGCCCAGACTGAAACCTGCAGCAGCCGCCCAAATCCCTTTTCCAGCCGCAACTCCCGCCAACTGAGTTCAAAGTAAGGCTCCGCCCACGCCGCCCGCGGGCTGTGATGTCACCCCGTCGCTGCGCTCACCGAGCTCAGCCCAGCCTCGGCCCTGTCACCTCCCCTTCGTAGACGCCGAAGGACCCAATGAGCGTGAGGGCGGGGACTCTGGGAAATTCTCCGACCAATAACAGACTCTTCGAGGGCAGTGACCACCGCCCACTTCCTTTGTAGTGACGGGGCGGAGGTGGGGGCGTGGTAAAGAGGTGCCACAAACACTTGTTGGCCGAGGAGAAAAGGGACAGCGGGGGTTCGAATCAGAATCGCGGGATGAGTTTTCTCCCGACCTCCAAAAGAGGTTATGGGGGCCCCGCCTCCGTTTTTTGTTTTTTGTTTTTTAATGCCTTCGCGACCTTCCCTCCTCCCCCGCGAGAAATGTAAATTAGTTCGGTCTATTCAGGAAAGTGATGGCTAGTGTAATCTAAGATGTGGAGAAACTGGATGAGCAGGAAGCGGGTGGCCCTATAATGTGATATCTTAACAGGATGTAACTTGCCTGACTGGAACAGATTAGGATTAACAAGAAGAATTTTCGATTTATTGTGGGGAAGTTAGAGAACATTAAATTGTAGCAAATGACCTTTCATCGTTCATTCTGTTCCAGTCGGAACAGAATACATTGCATTGAAAGGTTTGATAAGGAAGCTGTAGAAAGGTTTAACAGGTTGGATGCCGCCTCCGTAAGGAAAAGAAAACTACAGCCAGAAAGCTTTGGGGATCCAGCACTTAACACTAGAGGACAGCTATTTTGGGGCCATCGGTCCCCGGTACCAGCCGCAGAAACACAGGCGCTGAGCAGGCCTGGAGTGCTTACGCAAGCCCGTGGGTGGTGGCGCTCCCTGCCCCGGAAGTAGTGTTGAGTTAGAGCTTTGCTTTCCGGGGCAGGTGGTCTGTCGTTGCCGCAGCTGTAGGAAACGGAGGCCATTTTCCGTTTCTAGGCGAGTGAGGGTAGAGTGCGAGAGGAAAAGGAAGACGAAAGGGCTCAGCGCCTCCCCGCCAGGCCGTGGAGAGAAGGGCAGTTTCGGCAGGCGGGTGAGGTTGCTGAGGCCCCGGGGAGATGTTTTCTCTATCGAGCACGGTGCAGCCTCAGGTGAGTCTCGACGTCTTGTATATTCCCCCTCCTTCCCTAGCCCGCGACTATTTGTCATTTGCGTTTTGTGAAGCGATTTCTCGTTAGGGATCGTGGGAGGGAAGCGATTAGACCAACAAGAGCCCTAGGGGTGAGAAGGGATCAGGGGCAACGCTGAGGGTAAAGGGCTGACAGTAAAGCAGGGGCTTGATGAGCGTAATGGAAAGCTTGGCTTGTCGAGTTGACTACGTGGAGTTTTTGATGGAGAATCATTCAGGCATTGTTCAGTGGCGGATATTCAGGGGTCGATGTGGGGGGCGGGGGAGACGTCTTTGCCATAGATGTAAAGGAAACAAGTAATGTTCCCTTTCCATCTTTTCGCCTCGCCAGATACTAGTATTCACGACCTCGATCCCCTGTTTTTTATTTTCTTTTAAGTGAAATTTGACCCAAACATGTTATAATAATTTGAATAATCTGCCGTGAATACTTTAGTATTTTTTTTGACAAGAAATGAATAATAGGTATTTTCAAGTTATTGGCTGCTTGCAGTTAAAATTTTGATTTAGCCTCCACTGTCTTTTCGTAAAGCCAAAAATGGTGCAGAGAAAAATGATTCCAAGGGTTTTCAGTGATATTTTTTTTTAGGACTAAATCACTTGTAACAATGTCTTGTTCTTGGTTCGTTGAAGAATCATTCTTGATGGTGACATTTTGATAGTTTTTTTTTTCTTTTGAGCATTCTTACAGTTTTGCGAATAGCTTTTGAAAACTTTCAAATTTAAAAATAATTTGTTGGTGTTGAATAACTATGGTATACACCTAAAACTAACACAATACTGTATGCTAGATATATTTTAATAAGATCTTTAAAAATTAAATAAAAATAAGTAATTTTTGGATACTCTTTAGTTTTTTAGTTTAAACATGTAATTATGTTCCTTTGTGTATCCCATACTTCCTTGGGTTTTTTGTTTTTGTTTGTTTGTGTTTTTTTCTTCTCGCTAGTATTGGCTGGATAATAGAAAATGAAGTGGTTACTTACTGGGTGTCAGTAATGTGACAGGTGAACAAAGCAGATGTAGAATCTTGATGGTGATATGAAATAAAAATGAATAGGAATGAGCCAGATAAAGAATGATTGGAAGTGAACAGGTCTCTCAGGCAGACAGAATATTATCTGGAGGTCCTGAGATAGGGAACAGCTTAGCCAATTGGAAGAACAAAAATAAGGTCAGTGTGGCTGGAGTGTGGTGATTGAGGGGCACAATGACAGAAATGACGTTGGGGAGAAGTCTTAAAACAGATCATATAGGGAGTTATAATAAGAGACTTTGGATTTTAAGTGTGTTGGAAACCACTGAATGCTTTTAAGCGGAGAGTAACATCAGATTTACCTTTTAAATAGATCACTCTGGTTTATTGCCATGTGGACAGTGTGAAAGACAGGAGTGGATATCTTTTCAGTCATGACGCTATTGCAGTAATCCAGGAGAGGGATGATGCACAATAAAGTGGCAGTGGTTTTGGAAAGAAGGGGATGAGATTCATTTTGGAGAAAGAATTTCATGAGGGATTGGATATGAGAGTTGATGGAGAGAGGAGTTTTTGGTTTGATCAGCTGCAACGTTGAAGGTGTCATTTACCAAGATGGTAATGTTTGGAGAAGTCCTACCACTTGTGTGGGAAAAAAACAAAAACAAAAAACTCTGACTTGACTTGTTGAATACAATATTAAACCTTTTGAAACTGAACTTCAGGAAGTTTATATCAAGAAGACCTGATTTTGGAGAACTTATTATCACCTGGATGGAGAGTTAGTGGTACATGACATTGGTAGAGATGGTGAAGGGATTTTGTGAACTGTGGGCAGTCTTAACTGGGCTCATGTAGGACCTTTGTGCATTTTATACTGTGAAAGATGGTGAACACATTTGTAATTTATGATTGCTTACATTGTTCTCAAACAGTTGTTAGCTGAATATTCATTTGATGAATCCGATTTCTGTATGCATTTCTGTTACATTAGGATTAGAGACAAGTTCTGTTTAGAAATAACTCCCAAGAATAGCTTTATATTTTATTTTCACTTTGAAAACCAGTCAGATTTGCTTCAGCCTCAAAGAGCGTGTTTATGTAAAATTAATGCTGGCAGCAAGCTGCACTTTCTTATTTCTAAACAGGAAATGGGTTAATTCCTTGAATGCACTTGAATGTAAATAGTAAGGTTAAGAAAGACACAGAAGGTGAACTTTTTCATTGAGAATAGATCAAACCATCTTTTAGCAACTGAGCTATTTTTTGAATGAGAAGAGATATAACTAAAATAAAAATTTCAAAGAAATGGGCAGAAAATACGTATCTTAAAATAATTTGGTTCCTGTAGTTTTCAAGAACTTATTGTTTCTTTCTGGCTCTAAAAATAATACGTGCTCATTTCTAAAAATGCTATAAAAAATATAAATAATAAAGATCACCCATAATCTCATTACCCGAAGTGATCACATTTTAGAATAAATTCTTTCATACTTTTTACCTTTATGCAATTATGTGTACGCATACTTTAAAAAAAAGATGTTAAAGACAGTTTAACAGCCTTTTTTTTTCTTCCGTTTAACAGCATATTATCAACTTATTTCTCTATCAATAACTATGGAATAAAAAGTCATTAATTGGAATCTGGAGTCAGATTATCTGGGTTAGAATCCTTGCTCCTATACTTACTAGCTGTGTGACTGACTTCGAACATGTCACTGAAGCTATTTAAATTCTTTCTGTCTTAATATAATTAAATGAGATAATATAAGTAAAGCACATAGTACAAAACCTGGCATATAGGGAGAACACATTTAATTTATTAATTTACTTAACATATTTATTTAGCATCTATTATGTGCATTGTTGCACTGGGATACAGTATTGAATAAAGAAAAAGGACAAAATATGTAAATTATGTGTTGTATAAAATATTTTATATTAAAAAATTATATAAATAAAATAAGAAACAGAAAAGAAAATTACAAAATAAAAGAAAAATCCCTTGCCAAATGGAACTTAGAATCTAGTGGGAGAGTGTGATATAATGAAAAATAAATATTTGGTCTTTGTTCTTAGTTCTTGGCACAGAGTTCCTAAAACCCTTGGAATTTCCTGAGTGATAAGAGTATCTTATTATTCGTCAGGAGTCCCTTTGGATCCCTCCAGGGTTTGTGCTAATAAGGTGACTTAGGATGAGGTCTCTAGATAGCCTCAGGACTGGGCTGGTCAGCAGAAAGACCCTAGTGATTAGAAAGTGGGAACTCTCAACCCCAATGTTCTGGCCTCTGGGAGGGAAGAGGGCTGGCCTGCCCTGGAATTGAGCTCTTTAAAAAACTTTTAAGAGATTTCATGGGGAGATTCACAGTGCAGTGGGGAGGTACACTCATCCATAGGTGAACTCTTGTGCTTGAGACCCTTCTGGACCTTGCCCTGTTACCTCTTCATCTGGCTGTTCATTTTTGTCTTTTATAATAGACTGGTAAATATAAGTAAAGTTTATTTCTTAGTCCTGTGAGCTGCTCTAGCAAATTACTGAGCCTGAGGAGGGGGTTGTGGGAAACCTGATTTAAAGCTGGTAGATCAGAAGTATGGTTGGCCTGGGACTATGACTGGAACCTAAAATGGGAAAAGTCTTGTGAGACTGACCCCTTAACCTGTTTGATATGCACTAACACTGGATAGTTAGTGTCAGAATTAAATTGTTGGACACCCAGCTGGTGTCAGAGAATTGCTAGAGAGAGACACAGATAATAACAATATATAATTAAATAAGTAGATATTTAAAAAGTGTTAGATAGTGAAAGTACCAAGAAGAAAAAATAGAGCAGAGGAAAGGATAAGGAATGTGTTTTGGAGGGAGAAATACTAAGTAGGCTGGCTAGGGAAAAGACCCATGAAAAGATTACTTGAGTTAAGAACTCAACTGTGTAGAAGAGCAAGCTATGCTACTAATTGGACAAGAGGGAATAAATAGTGCTTACAAGGGCCTTGAGGTGAGGACCTGCCAGGTGTGTTCTAGGAACAGCGAGGAGGCTGGTGGGGCTGGAACAGAGAGGATGAAAGGGAACATAATGGATAAATTCAGAGAGGTAATAAAGACCCTTGGAGGGCTTTCTCTGTCATAGTTTTTAAGACTGGCTTTTATTTTAAGTGAGAAGAGAAGCCATTGGAGGGTTTTGAGCAGAGAGTGATTTCATCTGACTTTGGTTTGACTAGAGCACAAGCAGGGAGAGTAGTTAGGAGGCTATTGCAAAAATCCACATATAAGTGATGATGACTTAGAACAACATGATGCAATGGAGAAATTGAGAAGTATCAAATTCTGGATATACGCTTACTTTTTTGGAATATCTGTGAAATATTTCATTTTGTGGTGGTATACACTAATTTCAACTTTCATATTTTTCTAGGTTACAGTTCCTCTGAGTCATCTCATCAATGCTTTCCATTCACCAAAAAGCACATCTGTTTCTGTCAGTGCATCAGTTTCTCAAAACCAGCATCGAGATCTGGTTCTTGAGCATGAGGCTCCCAGCAATGAGGTAATAGTTTTGACCCTGGTTGTGTGAGAAAGCATTTTGATTAATATGTCACAAACATGTTTGAAGTCTCTTTCTATATTTAGGAATTTCTAACAGGGTAATTTCTGTCATCAATTTAATTCCTTTGAGATTAAAGATGTCTCATTCTGACTTAATTGTATAGATAGAAAAGTTACTTTGTTTTATTCTTTAACATTTAATTATAAAAAATTTCATGTGGCAGTAGATTTCATTGGTATTTACTTCCTAGGTTACTACTTGTGTGGCACCATTTAGATATTCTTTTGTGTTGCTCCAATATTAGCGGTAAACCCACAAGTTAACTGACCATAATGCCTCCTGAGTCTCAGGGAGGACAGTATAGTAAAAAGTTATCATCGACTGCCTCATAGGAGACTTCAGTGTAATTGCACAGTTAGAATGAAACAGGTACTTGAAAGTGAAATGTACAAGCTATGGCATAACTTTTAGTATTCAGAGAATTATAAAATCAGTGTTGATTGGGCTATAGGGAACTCCCACCCTAGGAATCCTTGCATTTACAGATTTATTAATAAGACAGTTGCTTGTAGCTCAGAATACATTTTTTATAGAAAACATAATCTGTAGGTAAGTTTCCCAAAAGCCTCTTTTAACTCATATATAGCTTATGTTGTTAGTCCTACTATTAGGGATGGTTGCAAAGGACAGTAGAGGAGGAGTTGGGGAGTTAGTTTTAAGATAAAATTTTAATTAGATGAAAAGTTTGTCTTTGTCATCTTCATGTTTTCCTTTTATACTATTTGTCCAATTCTTCTTGCCTCTTTCTGTAGGCATTCCATTGTCTCACTATTGTCCTGACACACTTTTCCCAAAATAGAGTCCAAGAGACTCTATTAATGAAAATACCACGTGCAGCAAAATTATGTTCATTTCTGATATTTTGGAAAATATTATGTACGTGGAAGAAATGAAATTCACCTGTGAACCTAGTCCATAGAAATAATTCTGTTAACCTTTTGTGCTTATATTTCATATCTCTTCTACTTTTATAATAATTGGATCATACTACAATGCTCCTTTAGATTCTGCTTTCTTCATTTAATAGTCTTATGAACTCTTTATGCCATACATTTTCCAAATTTTTAATGACTTCAGAGTGTTCATTGTATGATGTCACATTGTTGGATATTGTTTCCAATTTTTTGTTGCGATAAACAACACCGTTTTTACTATCCATGTTGCTAAATCTTTGACTTTTATCAAGTAAAATTGCTAGGTCAGTAGCGAAGTATATTTTTGGGGCTTGAAAAGTAGCTAAACTCTAGAAGCCAGTGTTGAGGTTGAGTAATGATCTCAAGTACAGAACTGGTGTTCTTAACCTCTGATAGTACTCTGATTAGTCCTATTTTTTGTCTTCAGTGAGTGCTTGTTACTGCTTCACAAACATTTTCATTCTCTTTACCTCATCTCTACTCTCACCTCCTTTGCTATGTGGTAACTTTGCTTTCATCAAGCCTTGCTCATCCAACATCCACTTCACAATGCAAGCAAAAAACCTTCCTTTCAGCTTTTTCAAGCTACTAACACCTTTTTTCTTTGCTTTCAGACTTCATGAAAGAGTAATCTGAACTTAATTGTACAGTAGTCCCATCTTACCTGCAGGAATACCTTCCCAGACCCCCAGTGGATGCCTGATACTGGAAAATACCGAACCCTACGTATACTATGTCTTTTCCTTTGCGTACATACCTGTGATAAAGTTTAATTTTATAAATTAGGCACAGTAAGAGATTAGCAATAATAATTAATATAAAGTAGAACAATTCGTATACTGTATACTGTAATAAAAGTTATGTGAATGTAGTCACTCCTTTCAGGGGATCCCTTGCTGAAGTCTTCCTATAGGTGCAGCGCTTTCTAGCGCAACACATTTCCATCAGTTGGAAGACGTTTTTTTGTTGGTATTTCCCACAAATTTAATGCCTTTTTCATCTTAACTAAGCACTTACCATGCACTGTGGCTATAACTTTTGCAGTTTGAGGTTCTACAGCAAAACAAGCACCAGTTATTCCCCCTTCACAATTTCATGGTTAGAAGATTCATCCTTATTGTAGATCTCAGCAACTCTCAGCTTGTAATTTTTTAAAGTTTCCCCATTAAGTTCAGAACTTTTACCTTTTCACTTAAAAGGAAGCACTTTATGGCTTCCCTTTGGTGTATGTGAATGCCACCATCACTACTCCTGCACTTTGGGACCATTACATATTAAACGAATAAAAGCGACTTGAACACAACCACTGTGATATGTGACAGTCTGATAACCAAGTCTACATTCTTGGATATGATAACCAAAAGGGCTGCTAAATGACTTACCACCAGGGAGCCAAGATGCTGGACAGAGATGATTCATGGCCTCAGGCCTGATGGAGCGGGTGTGAGATTTTATTGTGCTACTCAGAAAGGCATACAATTTAAAACTAATGAATTGTTTATTTCCAGAATTTCCCATTTAATAGACCGCCATGAATAACAAACTACAGAAAGTAAAACTATGGATAAGGGAGGACTCTGGTCCTTAGTAAACTTTTATTCACACTGCATTCCATTATAGTTTGGCTACCACTTTTACCATTTTACAGATCTATTTTGCTGAAGTCAGTGTTGATTTCTCTAGTGCTATGTACAGGGCTCTTTGAAAATCTACATCTTTTTCAACTTTCTGTAGCATTTGCTTAACATATACTACTACTGAAATACTCTCTTAAATTGAGTGATACTACATTGGTGATAGTTTCTTTCCTCTTTCTGTATTGATGACCATTTTTTATTGCCAACCCCTTAAATATTGGGTATACTATGCATTTTTCCTTAATCTAATTTTCATTATGCAAAACTTCCCAGGTTATGTAATCTATTTTTATACCTTTACTTAACATCTATCTATCTATCTAATTATCATCTATCTATCTATATCTATATGCTCATAACTCCAAAACATCTCCAACCCTAAAGTCTCTAAAGTTTTAAAGTAACTTATCTAGTGGCTTGTTAAAATACCCATCTGGATACACTTTAGGGATGTTAAGATTAAGATGTCCAAAACTGAGCTACTCCTCCAAATTCCAGTATATTTGATCTTACAGAGGTTTTAGCTCCTCTTTATCAATCTTGGTCCAGCCAAGAGAGAGAAACCACATAGTCATTTGAACAGTGAACATTTGATATAAATTACTGTAATTTTTTACTCGAACGTTTTAAAAACCCTTTTTTTATAGGGGATTGGAATAACAAGGGATTGGCTAGTAATAAGTACAGAAAACTCTAAAATATATAAGACTAATAGATATAAGAAGCAGCCAATACTCCTTGGACTCTGGGTAGAGCTTCCCAGGAAGAGTGCTCCAACCCCAGGCTGAGGTCTTGACCTTGCTGGAGAGAACATGGCCTTGGCTTACCAAATGGCAGAGAAGTCACTGCGGTGACATGCAAGCTGAACTTGATGGAAATCAGCTCTTCAAGGTACCAGGGAAAGCTGATCATGGGGACGTGACTAACTGGAGGAGCTAGCTGCTGGATACTCTTGGCCACTGTGCAGTGCTGGGGGCCAGGCTTTGGAGGAGCTGCACAAGTAGCGGGAGCCTGATGCTGGAGAAACCATGGATAGTGCAGACAGCAGCCTACTGCATGAGCACACCAGAGCCACAAACAAAACCTTTCTTCCTACAGTGTCTCTCCAGTGCCCTCTACTGACAAAGCTTAACATTGTGCCACATGGCAAAGGAAAAGCATTTAAAGGACTCATCCACAGTAACAAAAAGGATGAAGAGGAGCCAAGGAGCAACAGATAAATAACCAGCACATCCACCCAGAATCCTTCTTCCTCTCAGTCCTTGTTCTCTGCTAGTTTCTTCTAATGTCTTTTGTCTCCGATTTGTTATTTCCATCCTTCTTAGTCAGGACTTAGTTCAGACTCATATTATTTTTCTCTTGTTCCATTAACCTTTTCTTATCCAGTTCTCTCGTCTTGTATTTTCTTCCTGTAAAACATAACTAATCATATTAGCTGTAGAATTAAATTCAAACAAGACCCTTCACAATTTGGCTATAGCCCATCTTTCTGTTTCTTTCATCACTTAACTTTTACCACATCTCAGACATTCCAGGCCCTTTGATGACTTTGTTTGCCCCTTCCTCCAAGGCTTCTTCGCCTATCATTCCACATTAGGAGTTATCTCAGGACACCTTCACTGACTTAGAAAATTAGTTGGTCTGTGTTCTGTGTTTTCGCACCACTATTTAAAACCATCTCTGTAGTAGCAGTTACCATGTTGCTTGATAATTCCCATGTTTATATCTACCTTATTTCTCTCTATACTCCTAGGACCTGATACCCAAGAAGTAAGGGGAGTGACTTTCATCTTAGTTAAGAATCTGCATTTTCCTTTTGAGGTCTATGTATTATAAATAGATTTTTGGGTTTCCCATTTTAAAAGATAACTTTTGAAAAGTAGCTCTTGAATGATGTGGTCCTTCTCTTTTCATTATAATATGTTTTATTTTGTATAGTTTTTAGTAGTTTAAAAAAGTACTTTTAAATATTTTATTTCATCATGCTTTTAACTGCCTTACTGTGTACGATGGGATATGTAGATGAGCAAGGCATGATCTCTTTTAACCTGTACTATCTCGTTGTAAAATGGGCAGGACGTAGTTCATAGTCATTTTGAAATATGAAATGGATTCTGAGAATCTGAATCATTACAAAGCTAATGCGACAAACCTTGTTAGTCTAGAGCTATATAATCTACGGGTCTAACTTAATGTCAATCATAAGAAGTTGATATTGTACTGTTTATTTTGCTCTCTTTACTTGAGGTTGTAGCTGTTTGGGGCTTGTAATTGTTACTTGTCCTTAGTGTCTCCCTGTCAGCTCATGTGGACAAGAAAATAGCTCACCCCTATCTATTTGTAGTTATTTTAGAACTGTTTTAAGGTGAAAGTTTTCTTGCCTGGTTTTCACACATTTTTGACTGTTCATTTTCCCTTCTTAGAAGTTAGATATGGGTAAGTATAGAACCTTTCAGTTCCAAGAAGGATATCGTTAATGAGGCTGGAGGAGTGAGATGTCCCATGGTAGCAGAGCATACACTTTCTTTATCAAATGGGCTTTTGTTTATAGGCATTAGGGACTGAAGGAAGCCGTAAAGCTCCAAGGATTGATGATACCAATGGGAATATAGTGTTTTCAGCCAATGTCAAGCCTCGTATGACTGACCTTAGTAAAACTAGTACTATAAAAATATTTTCAGCAGTATAAATATTAGAAAGAAAAAGGAAATTAGTGCATTTGCTAGACTTTTACAACCCATATTGTTTGACTCTTTAAATATCTTGATAATATTAATGCTGACTTGATCAACTTAATCTTTTACAGCCTGTGCTTAACTTAAGGGACCTTGGATTATCTGAATTAAAAATTGGACAGATTGATCAATTGATAGACAGTCTACTTCCTGGATTTTGTAAAGGCAAAAACATTTCTTCCCACTGGCGTACATCTCACGTCTCAGCACAGTCCTTCTTTGAAAATAAATATGGTAAGTTATTTTTTGTTCCAATTAAAATAAGCCATTTTAGTGCTATTAATAATGATACTAGATACCATTTATTAACATCTTTATGTACCAGGTTCTTTCCTGAGTTTTTTTCTTCTTTCCTTCACCCCCCACCCCTTTCCTCTGTCTCCCCCCATCCTTTCTTCCATCTATTTATCCATCTATTCTTTCTTTCTTTTTTGGCTAACTTTTTATATTGGAATAATTTTAGATATACAGAAAAATTGTGAACAGTTTCTACATTCACTTCACCTGGCTTCCTCTAATGTTGACTACTTTTATAAACATGATAAATTTGTTAAAACTAAGATATTAGCATTGGTGCATTATCTTTAACTAAAGTATAGACTTTATTTATATTTTACCAAATAAAGTTTAATATTACCAAATCACTAGTTTTTCCACTAGGATCTATTTTCTGTTCCAGAATCTAATATAGCATACTGCAAAGCATTTAGGGTGGTGGAGTGGTGTGTTGGTTTTGTTTTGTTTTGTTTTCGTGAGAAGTATTTATTGGATTCCAGGTAACATACTACTAATCTCTCAGAATACATTGAAGAAACAGTCACAGTGTCTTCTTTTATAGAATGTCTATATATTTTCTTGAGTCTTGTAACAATTTGGTATTATAATAAGTGGACATTTTGTTGAAAGAAATGTTAGCTTCGCGAGTTTCTTTTTGGGTGATAACTTAAGCAAGTAATGTTAGACTCATCGGAATGATTATTTTATATTGATGGATAAACAGATTTTTTATATTAATATGTTATAAAAGCCCAGAAACAAAAAAGTAGGATTGAATAGATTTGAGACAGGAGTTTGATTTGAAACTGTACACTGTATAAACTTAATTCATTTACTCATTTATTTTTCTTTTGCCTTTAATTCATATAAGGGCTGGAGGATAAATAAAGAATTCAAGAGTGAGAATAAATGAAAAGTTTTGAGCTTGGAACTTAGGCTAAAAATCTGCTTCTATGTCATTATCTTCTTATGCTATAATACCTCTTTCCTGAGAGAAGCCCTGAGGCTTAGTGTTTGAGAGTGAGGAGTAGATTAGGATCAAGTCCATCCTGCCCCTGATTGACAATAGTGTTTAGTAAGATCTCGAAAAAGCTGGTTTTTCATGAGTATGAGAAGTAACTATCTCACTTTGGAGAATCAGATGAACTAATTTAAAGTACTTGGTGCCCATAGTAAGTGTTCAGGAGAGTAAAATTTTTATTGTTATCGTTAATATAGTAGTAGTATTACTGGTGCTCTTTTAGTCTTCATATTCACATTTCCTTTTAAGGTTATTCCTCTTACTGCCAGCCAGTTTCTAGGCTTAGGCAGGCAGAGGTATTAGGATGGGATTTCTGACTTCACTCTAAGGGTTCTTAGAAGAATCCCTGAATCCTGACTGGGGATACAGAGATAGATGAGAACCACTGTTTCTGTTGTCACTCCCTACCTTTTCCCTAGGATCATTGGTTTAAACTAGGATGAGGCCTATTAGTCAGGAATAGGAGTTAGGAAGGAACACCAAAGTATTCATGGCTAGAGCTATGGAAGGAACTTTTTTTGTGCCCAGTGACTAGAAGCTTTAAGAGAGAAAGGCAGCAGTAGTACCTCTGGTTTGCAATGTTTTATTACATTGTTCATTAGATTTTTAAGTCGTGTCTAAGAAGTAATGATTCTTTATCTTTTTATGCTTTTAACTAAAAGTAACTTCAGCTAAACATATATAGCTTTTACCTTGATTTTAATTTCATTGGCAGCTATATTTGTATATGAGATAAAAAAGACTGACAAGTGATGGACAGTAAAGTGATGAACTGTATTTAGATTAGCAGTGAGTTTAGATGTTTATAAAAGTATGTACAAATAAAAGGCAAAACATTTTGGTTTTACTAATATTTGGTAAAATTATATTTTATGATTTTTTTTTTTTTTTTTTGGTTTGGCAATTAGAACGTTGACTTTTTTCAATTTCCCTTCAGGTTACATAGATGTTTTTAGTACTTTACGTTCCTCTTGCTTATACAGACAACATTCAAGAACTCTTAAAAACATTTGTTCGGATCTTCAGTACTGGCCAGGTATGAAGCAACGGTTGCATTGATTTTGAAAAAAATAATGTATGTAATATATTCTGATTTGTTTTTCTTAGTAATACTAATAGTTGTAAACATTCGTAGCTCACAGAACTTAGAATATTTGTAATAAATTAATTTCGGTATATCTGTGCAATTATTTATGTGAAAAATATAAAATAGGAATTAAATTTTGAATGTGAGTATTAAGTGTCTCAGTAAATTATGGGATTTATACCTGCTTCAAAATAATTAGCTAAGCACATTTGTTTACTTCCCCTCATTTTCGAAATCCTCTTGCAAGACGAGAAAGAAAAAGAAAAATCAGGAAAAAATCTGGATAACAACAGAGGGATTTCATCAATGGACCGGAAATTTGAGGACTTTCCATAAGGCATCAAGTAGATGACATCAAATTGATAGCAAAATCAAATATTCATTCATATGTATTGAATATTACTATATGATAACATTAATCAGGCACTAGTGATAGGTGTTAGGTGACAGTGATAAATGAAAAAGATACTGCCTACCTTCATGAAACTTAGAGTAGTCTAAAAGAGGTGTATATTACTATTTCTAGTAGGACTTAAGAAAAATCCTAAATTATGAACCAACAATAATGTGTTCTGGGATGGTTGATATAGTAAATGGTCGAAAGATTAACAGAAGGGGGCCAATCACAGAGCTTGGACACGGCTTCTAACATTTAGGCTAAAATTGGCAAAAAACATGTTCTTAATAAGAAGGGGGGGGGAATGTGTGTGTGTGTTGAGAGGAGTCTGTCTCTGAAGACTCCTGGTTCGAAAGTGATGCCAAAGAGAGAAACAAGACAGTACCACAGATTGCTTTGGACTTGAACCATGTACTACAGGTGTCCTGCTATTCACCATAAGTCTATGTTTTGTAGTCTAAAAACATTTATCATCTCATTAGTTTTGAGGAAACCTGTCAACATTCAGTACTGATCACTCTGTTCCTCTTTATAAATACAAATGGATTAGCAAGAATCTTCACATTTTTGAGGAACAGTTGTAGCATGAAAGAGAGGCACCAAGTTGAGCAAAGAGACCAATAATTCTCTGAAGAAATGGTTAATGCAGAACACAGAAGAATATTTAAGGACGATATATTTTTAAGTATTCGTGGAAGACATAAAAACTGAGCATGTATTTGAGTATGAAGTATATCTATATTTTCAAAACATATATAGCTCAGAGATCAGGTTCTTTGATCATATAATAAAACTGAAATCAAATAACAAAGGATAGCTAAAAAAAATTACCTAAATATGTGGGAATCTGAAGATACTTTTCTGAGTGTCTTGTGGTTAAAGGGAAAACTCAAAACTGAAATTATAAACAGTTCGTAATGAACCACAATGAAAATCTGCATATCAAAATCTTTAGTTTGAGGACAAGCTGATGCTGAGGGCATTGTATAATTTATTAGGAAATAAGAAAGATGAGAAATAAATTGATTAAACATTTTGAGACTTTTTAAAAAAGAATGTGAGAAATTAATATGGATAAAACATTAAATTAATATAACAGCAAGAAAGTATTAAACCAAGTGCAAGTTTAATTTGAAAAAATTTGAAAAATAGAACAAAATCAGATTAAGAAAAAACAAGGAAATACAAACAATATTAGAAGTGAAAATTGGGAACTGCCACAGATAAAAAGTTCCAAATAGGTAAAGGTCCGAAAACAAAAAGTTAAAAGTATTAGATGAAATCTGTAATCCGTCCTTAAAATCTTAGTTTGGGGGTGGGACTCTTTGTTCAAAACACAATGCAGAAACCATAACATTTAAAACGTAAGGCTGTATTAGTTTTTTAAATTAGTGTATCATTTAATTAAAAGACAAAGACATTAAAATAAATGAAATGTACATAACAAAAGGTTAGTATACATAACATCCATGTTTTTTACAAATGAAAATATGTAAAGGTCATGAGTAGTCAATTCACTAAAGAAATAACAATAGTCAATAAAAATGAACAAATTTTTTCAAACTTAACCCTCACTTCTAATCTCAAATACAAATTAAAACAAGTACTACTTTTTGCCTATCAGATACGTACAAGTTAAAAAGATTTATACTTATATTATCAATTGTTGCAAAGGCTATGGAGAAAAGAACAATCATTTAGTGGGCATATAAATTGATAATAGCTTTCTAGGAGGCACTTTCTTAGTTTCAAACGAGGTAAACCTCACAGTTTTACTTTGAGGAATTTGATCTACATGTGCTGAAAGATAATATATAAGAAATGTTTACCACAACATTATTTTTAACAACAAAAAAACCAGGAAACAACTGAAGTCTGGAGTAGGGAAATGGTTGAATAAATTGTTATACTCAGATAAATTGGAAAATTATAAATAGCCTTTAAACTGGATGCGCTATCTGAACTATTTTGAAAAATATCCATGATATATTAGGTGAAGGAAGACAGTTGCAGAAAGTTAGATACTGTTTTTATAGAAAGAGCGTGTGTTTAAATACATAGAAGTATGGTCATGAAACAATACTGGTTGCTTATAGGAAGTGGAAGTGGGATTTGAAGAATTAGGAGACACTGATTTTTATTTGATACTCATCTGTGGTTTTTTTTAACATTTTTAAATTACGAAGAAAATGTAAATTTAATTACATAGAGTCAATCCATTTTGATGATTAGTTTGTTGGAGTGTCAGGCAAAGAACTTGTTAAAAAATAAGATGAAAACTTACGGTGTACATATATGATGTCAAAGTTTTGAATCTTAGGCATTTTTCTTGTAAAAATTTACAGTAAGAAATAAATGTGATACTGTTTCATTTAGTTTTCATACAGTCTCGTGGTTTTAAAACTTTGAAATCAAGGACACGTCGTCTACAGTCCACTTCTGAAAGATTAGCAGAAACACAGCATATAACACCATCATTCATGAAGGTAATTGGACTTTTTTTTTTAAATCAAGAAAGAGAGCAGTAATTTTCAAATTATTGAAATAAGAACTAGCAATATATGATTTCTTTTGTTGGCTGATTGATTTTCTCCCATTTTTCTACTTATGAGAAAAAGATGAATAACCTGTGTAATCATTATATCTACAACTCTTCCGGGTGCCAAACTTGTCTCCACTGGCCTGTTAGACATCTCCCTCTGTTTTTCTCTCTACCAACCTGTACCTGCTTATGTGTTCTCTGTGTTAATTGAGTAGCATCCACTCAGGTTAGAAGCTTGGTAATCAACTTTGATTTATCTGTCTTCTCTCACCTCCCACATCCATTAATCATTATAAAGTCCTGTTGATTCTGCTTCTTAAATATTTCTTAAATCTCTCTTCATCCCCAGTTTCATTGCATATATAATTCGAGTATTCTAGGCAAGAAATAGTTATTAACACTCATTTAGTCTCCTCGCTTTTAGTTTTACTACTTTCAGTATAGCGTGCAGACTGCTACCACCAGTCTGTCTAAAATGTATTAAATGTAATAATTGTATTCCTCTGTTTTATTGTCTGACTCCTGCCATGATACAGAGGGCATGTTATCTTTTGGCCTCTGCCTACCATTTTCTGTTCTCATCTTTCAGTGTGTCACCCTCCTCTGTACCTCTATCCTCCTTCTTGCTTGGCATTTTAAAAGTCTTGTCCTACAAGATTACTTGCAGTTCCTCAGCACTAAATGCTGTTATTTCATGCCTTTGTCAGATTGTCCGTGCTATTTGTCTTTATGGCTTTGGTACCTCATTCTTTTTAAAACTTCTCTTGGTTTCCTTAGGTCGTATTTATTTTATCACCATACCTGGTACTTCTAACATAATATCAAAATGGTTTCAAAAACTTATTTGTGAATCTTTTCTTGATAGACTGAATACATTCAGATCATTGTTTATTCATTTTTACATCTCCAGAACTTACACAGGGCCAAGTGTATAAAATGTGCTTAGTAAACATTTAATACTGAGGTTTTCCTGTAGCAGAGTTAAAGGAGTGAACATCAGGCCATTAGATCCCTAAGTCAACCTATGACCTATTATCTGTTTTTAGTATAGTGTTCATCCCGAGAGCTTCTTTATAGTACTTGATTGACAGAAGTATAGGGTCTAGTGTCAGTTTCTGAGCCATTGATTTAGTAAGTTACTGTTGAGTTTTAATACTCATTCTTCACGTTGCCAAAAAAATTTAAAATTCTAGACTCTTACTGAATTTTGTGTATGTGAGTGGTCAGAACATTTCTGGGGCGTGTTATTACCTGTATAGTCAACCAGTACTGATGTGTTGTTTGTATATTTAGGGATTTCTTTTGCGAGACAGAGGATCAGATGTTGAGACTTTGGACAAACTCATGAAAACCAAAAACATACCTGAAGCTCACCAAGATGCTTTTAAAACTGGTTTTGCAGAGGGTTTTCTGAAAGCTCAAGCACTAACACAAAAAACCAATGGTAAGTTGATTTGACATCCATGTTTGAGAAGAGTATCTGAAGGGAAGTCATAGTCCAGCCTTTAAGTGATTATGAATAACTTTTCTAATAATTACCCAACTTTCCATTGATCTTATTCTACCATATTTGTAACTTAAGCTGTGTAGAAATGGAAATAACTGCTGGCATTTTCCCTTTCTCTGCTGAGAAATCTGAGTCAAGGACAGAATGGCTTCATGCAGTTTTTGGTAACAATGCTAAAGGAAATCATGGCAATTATTCAGAACACCAGGTTCAAAATTGCATGTGATGAAATATGATTATCATCAGTATCCTAATATTTGCATTTCATTGCACTGTCATTTGACTTAAGGCTTTTTCTTTCTCTTCCAGATTCTCTAAGACGAACCCGTCTAATTCTCTTTGTTTTGCTGCTATTTGGCATTTACGGACTCTTAAAAAACCCGTTTTTATCTGGTAAAGGCTCTTTTTATTTTCCTGACTTAACTAATTTTTAAAAATCTTTTACATACTTGTTTCTTTTTCATAGGCTGCTTAAAGCTTAGAGAACGAAAATATTGATGTTCATAGTTCTAGAATCTGGACCGTTTATTCCTCAGTCAAGACTTCTCAGATTCAGTCACTTCGAGATTGTTTTTTGTGTTGAAGTAGAAGATTTTTAATGTTAGATTGTGGTACCATCTACCTTGTCAGAGGGCTTATATTGACCTTGTTTTGTGGACTGCAAGAAAAGTTTCTTTAGGCACTGTACAAATTCAGGTTTTACTTATTTTGAGGAAGATGTTATTTTGTTAAACTTGCAGTGAAACTTAAGAGTGTTAGAGTGAAAATTTTCTTTCAACTTCTAGTACTGGTTGGTTTTCTGGAAATTTAGAAAATGATACCTGTCTAATTATAAAATTAAAAAATATAGCAGAGTTTTATAATAGCAGTACAAAGTGAAATAGTTGTCTATTTTAGAGAAAAATTAATAAATCAAATTTATTAAAAATTACTTTCTAGAAAATTACTTTAAATGAGTCCCATGTTTTCTCAGTTTGCCAGTCACAAATGAAGTAATCATGTCAGGTTTAAGTGGTTCTAATTCCTTTTTCGACAATTTAATTTTTACCCTGTGTTCTCTACTCTTTTTATGATTGAGTACCTTGAGAGAAAAAAAAATCTAATGTACAGTTAAGAACATTGGTTGATTTGGATCATGATTTCATCCTAGAATTTGCATGTAGCCCCAGATACTTTTTAAGTTTTTGCGGCATGAAACCTGAGATGATGTTTTAACGTCCAAGGATGGCCTTTTGTATCTAAGTTCATGGTCTCTGGTCTCCTTTTTTTCCAAAAACAAAACAAAACGAAACAAAACCTAGTATAGGGACAATGGGGTGTTATCGGCAGGTTGGTAGAGGGGTGGCATGAGCACTGAGTATTCTTTTATGTTTCTTTATTGATGTCTTAAATTAAGCAAAATATATATTAACGTGTGAAATACATTGCCTTTGAGTAATTACTCTAATTTTTTTATTAGGTCCAAGTGCTTCTGCTACATACTGATTTTCATTATTCATTAAGTCCATCTATATAGAGCCTTAAAGCAATAATTGAGGGCGCTAAAACTATGTCCTTTGTAGAACTATTGTTTTAAATTTGCTCTCAACTTGTATTTTCTCAATATGTTAAGTATTTCTTATTAACCTTATATAATTGTTTACTCATTTTTTAATTTCTGTATATTTCAGTCTATATTAAAGGCAATATTTTTGACTTATTCTGAGGAAATTAGAAATCGCTCAGTTTACTCAATTATATCTGTCCATTATGGAAGTTTACCCAAGCGGGGGGGAAGTTTAAGAAAGCTTTGTTCCCCATAGTTAATCTCAAATATTTTACTATTCTACTAAACTTTTACTGTTTTTCTTATATTTAATAATGTCACTACTGATATAATCTAAGGGCAAATAATAAATAATAGCTGTCAGAAGAAGAAGGCTACTTGAAAAGTGAAAGCTGTTCAGCCTCACCCTTTATTTTTTTAATGCCAGTACCTTTTTTTTTAATCCTAGTTTAAGGCAAAGTATTTCAAAGTGTAGATCCCTCACCAGTTGTATCAGGTTAATTAAGGGTGATTGTTAAAAATGCAATCTCTGCTGTGTCCTTTTCCGAAATCTACAAACCAAGAGTTCAGTGTCACGGCCCAGGAAGCTGCATTAACACATTTCTCAAGTGATTTTTCTGCACACTGGAGTTTGAGAATCATTGGTTTCAGATTTCTGTCATTAGCTATTTACCAGGAGAAGAGGAATATAATTCTTAATTTTAATCAGAAAGTACAAAGATGTCATTTTAATGTGAAACATTTCTTCCTTGAACATGGTCTAGAAATCCAGAAGACCTAGTTTCCACTCTACGCTCTGATTTAATGTATATGAAGTTAGATAATTTTTCTGGGTTTCACTTTGTTGCATCTGAAAAAATGAGATGTTTGGAATTTTATGAATCTATCAAGTGTATAAATATTTTCTTCCCTTTAGTCCGCTTCCGGACAACAACGGGGCTTGATTCTGCAGTAGATCCTGTACAGATGAAAAATGTCACCTTTGAGCATGTTAAAGGAGTAAGTTAAAGTTTACCTTGACTTCTTCAAACATTAATTGTATAAGGTCAATATTTCATTCTAAAGGTGTGAATAATAGAAAATATATATATTGGTCTCTGCTCCCAGTTTATGGCACAGAGCTGCTAAAACTCATAATTTCCTAAGTAATAAGAGCACTAGGAACATCTTTTGTTCAACTATTCGGTTTTTGACCACTATTTCTGACTCAGAGCTTCTAAATCTCTTGGAATTTCCTGGGTGATAGGAGATGATAGAAGTGTCTTTTGTTCTAATGAGGTGATTCTTGGAGGGATTCTGAATAGCTTTAGGATGGGAGCTGGTCACCAGAAAGACCAGAAGCTTGGAACTCTCAGCCCCACCCTATATTCTCTAGAGAGGAGAGAGGGGCAGGAAATGGAGTTAATAATTGATTGTGCCTCCATGATTGAAGCCTCCATAAAAATCCCAGTAGTTGGGGTTTGGGGAGCTTCCAGGTGAACATGTGGTGGGATTGTAGCACATCCAGAGAGGGTCAGCAAGCTCTTTGCCCCTTCCCTGTTTCATGCCAGGACTTAACATTTGTGAAAGCAGCAAGGTACTTTGGAATGAATGTGGACTTCAAAGTCAAACAGACTACGGTTTCAAATTCGTTTTGAGTTATTGGCTGTGTGACCTTGAATAAGTTACTTCAGATTCTCACAGATTGTGTATGTACTTGGGACATAGTCGATAATAAATGGTGCTTCCTTTGGTTGGTCCTCTTGGTGATCTTTGTGACTGTAGTATCTAAAACATCTGTATCGAGTGAACAGAATGGATGAATGCTAGTTTATAGCTGTTTATTAAATCATATGACAGATATTTAATGGTGTCTTCTAAATGCCAGTCCCTTTTTTAGGTACTAAGATAGAAGAAATAAAACAAATCTTTGCCTTCATGGAGCTTTAATTCTTACAGGAATTGGACAGTGATGTGGTATATAAGGAACTATTAGAGTGTGTTAAGTGGTAAAGTATTATGGTGGAAAAATAGAGCAGGGTATAATGAGGATTGGGGGTTCTGGGATAAAGGCCACAATTTTAAATGGGGTGTTCAGGGTATGATTGACTGAGATGGTGACATTTAAGTAAATATTTGGAGACGATGAAGTAAACCATGCATGTATCTGATCAAAGAATTCTTGCCAGAGGAAGAAAGAGCATAAAAGACTTAAAGAATTAATGTACCTTGTTTGTTTGTTGAGCCGTTAAAAGGCCACTTTTATGTGGAATGGAGTGAGCAAGGTGAATTAGCAAACATGAGGAGATGCGATCAGGGAGGTAGTCAGGAGTGGATTGCATGGCATCTTGTAAGCCATTATAAAGACTTTGGCTTTTACTCATAGAAAGTTTGAGCCGTTGAAGGATTTTGAGCAGAGAAATAATATGATTTGACATAAAATTTAGCAGGAACACTGGCTGCTGTGTTGATGATAATCTTGAGAGGACAAGGGAAGAAAACAGGCATTATCATAGTCCAGGCAAAGATAGGTGATGGAGGCTTAGACCAACATGGTAACAGTGGAGTTGATGAAAAGTGATTAGATTTTTAGCATATATTTTGAAGGTACAACCAGCAGTTACTTGACAGATTAAAATATTAGAAACAAGTGCCAAGAATGACCACAAGATTCTTAGTTTGAACAATTGAAAGGATGAAATTGTCATTTACTGAGAAGAGAATGCTGTGAGTAGAGTAGAGCTTTGGGACAAAAAGTAGGAATTCAGTTTGGGGTGTGTTATGTGTGAGACAGCCAAATGAAGGTGTTGACTAAGCACGTGGATAGAACATTTTGGCATTCATGGGAGAGAGGTCTGAGCTAGAGAAAAAAATTGTAATAGAGATTACATTTAGTTGTATTAAGTCCATATGTTTTCCTTAGATCATCAATGAAGTGACTATAACTAGAAAAGAGAAGAGGCCTAGGTACTGAGTTCCAGAGCATTAAAAGGTTCAAAGACAGAGAAGACGAAACAGAAAAGAACATTGAGAAGGAGCTGCCACTGAGGTAGCTGAGGGTGGTGTCCTAGAAGAAAATTTCCATGATGAGGGAGTAATCAATGATGTGGAATGCTACTAGTGAGAATTGATCATCTATTTAGCAATGGGGAGATAGATCATTTGTTGTATTTGATAAAGAGCAGTTTCAGTGGCAAAGCGGGGGTTAAATCTTGATTGCAATGGGTTTCTAAAAGATGGACATAAAATGGAATAAGCGATTACAAATAATTTTTAATTTTGTTGGAAGGGGTAGTACAGACAATTCATCTATAATAATAGGAAATAAAGTAGACATGTATATAAACTGGTAGGTAGGATATATATGGGATGGAGGGTTGTGGAAGTTCATTGATAGTGGAGTTGGAATCAAAGTCATGAGCTGTGAGAAAGTGTGCAAGGAAGAAGTGGTGTGACTGGTTTGTGGAGGAGGTGTGAAATTGTGTAGGAACGAGGGAATGAATGGATTAGAGAAATAAAATATGATTTCTGGGCCACTCAAAGTTTGGAATCACGAATTTATATTGAGACCAGTCAACATGAGTATTTTTTTCTACTAATTAATAAGCAGGAAGGAAAGCATAATAATAGTATTTAATTATTTAAAGATTGATAAAGATCGTCCTGCAATTTAATGACTTGTCACTAATGAATGTGTTCAAGTAGAGGCAAGATAATTGTCTTTGAGGAATGTCTTGGATTAAATTCTTCTTGTAGGGGGTACTTGAAATCCATGACTTCTTTTAGGACTCTTCCACCTCTGAAGAGACTGATGATGTTATTTCTGCTCTTCTTCTTTCCACTTTCTGGTCCCTATTTATACATCGACATTTTATTTAAGCTTGACTATTGGGGAATAAGGCATCAAGAATTATGGCAGTTCTACACACCAAGCAGTCCTTTCTTTCCTTTGCAATTTAAATACCTGTGCCCTGTTGGAATTGTGAAAAGGGAGCAGTTGAAAAGATTGGTGCAGTGACTACTTGAAAACTAGACTTACCAGTGCAGAGGTTCCTTCTCATCCTTTTTGAGGTCTGCAGTTTGAGGGTCTGCTCTCCATTGAACTTGTGCTGAGGCTCTGGTCAGCGAGGCATTCTTATTTTTTCCCTGCAATGTATACATTTCACCATACAACATACCACACTGTTTTTGGAAATAGGCCACTTCTGAGTACAAAGCCAAAGAAGACATGCTGATAATGAAAGGGAATGTCACCAGGTAAAGCCTCAAAAACTTTTTTGTCCTAAAATGAATAAATGTTTGCTATAAATCTAAATTTACACAGAGCAAAGTAATTCAATAGCATTGACCATAATAGGTATGCCAGTAGGTGGTACCTGTGATCAGTTTTATCAAGTCTTAAAGAGCTTGTACAGGTATGACATTTCCTTGCCCAGGTGTCTGATTATGTAGGGATATTTTTATATGTAGTTACCATAAAAATATTAATAAGGGCTTTTATAACTTCATTCATTGCCTTGAGCCCCATAACCCTACTTTCCTCCATAGATTTTATATTTCTTAACTGAAACTTCTCTTGCCACAGAGGTTGGGGAGAGAAAATGTAATTTGAATAGTCCATTCTTAATCTCTTTCCCGTTTTTCTATAGTTTCAAGTTATCCTTACCTTGACCAAATCTATTTGGTCTTCTTTTAGTATAAGGATATCTTTGAATATTTAAAAAATTTAAAAAAAATAATCCAGCCAATTGTTTTTTAAACAAATATTATTGAAGCTTAACATGCACTTAAAAATACACAAATCATAAATGTATACATATACCTCAGTAACTTTTCACACAGTGAACACAGGTGTTTTCAGCACACAGCTCAAAAAACAACATTATCAGAACCTCCCTAGTGCCTCTTTCTAGTTATTATCTCTTCCCACCACAAGGATATTCATTGTCCTAATGTATCATACATTAGTTTATGCTGCTTTTTGAATTTATATAAATGTGAAACATATAGTTGGTACGGCTTCTTTCACTTTACATGATGTCTGTGAGATCCATCCATGCTGTTATGTATCGTAGTTCATTCATCTTCTTTGCACTGGAGACTGTTCTACGAACATCAGAACACTATATATATATTCTGCATTAACTATACATTTGGGTTGTTTCTAATTTGGGCTCAAATAGTGCTGCTGTGAATATTCTTGTTTATGTCTCTTGGTGAGCCATATGTATGCATTTCTCCTGGGCCTAAGAGTGGCCAAAGCTTTGCCTTTAACTGTTAACTTTATAAATGTTTTAGTAAATTTTTAATAACTTAGAATAACTATAAGGCCATTTCAAGCTTAACAAAAGCCCTGCTTATTCTTTAACAATTGTTTATTTCCTAGAAATAACCCTGGGACATTTTCTAGAAATCAAAGGTAGTCATGTGCTTAGATTTTCAGGATGCCTTTTGACCCAAGATGTGTTTCATGTTTTAATGCACTCTTTTCCAGGCAGTTTCTTTTTAAACCTGCCTTACATACTTGAGTTCTTTTTTCTCACTGAGAGCCATTTAAAGTTGTGTAATGTGAGATTATAAATGAGCTGCCAATGAGATGAACTGGATTAATAAATGTATTGTTTGGCAAGTATAATTTAAAACAAATAAATATAGTCTACAGCCATGTCACCCTGAACAAGTCCGATCCTGTCTGATCTTGGAAGCTAAGCAGGGTCGGACCTGGTTAGTACTTGGATGGGAGACCACCTAGGAAGACCAGGTGCTGTAGGTGTGAAAAATAAGGGATTGTAAGATGACAAGGTCCTTGCAATCTGTGAGGTCAACCAAGGGTTGCCTCACCTAAAAAAAATTTTTTTAATAAATAAATATAAATAAGTGCACATATAAACACATTTGTAACTTAAATTGGTAGCCAACATTTTTAAATTGGAAGATTTCATCCATAAAAAGATTTTGGGTTTTTTTCTTAGAAAATTTAAGTCTGGAGCACTAGGTCTGTATTCCTTGGTAGAGCCAGGTTGTGGTTTTTGGCCCCTTTAATGGACTGTTATTTTTTAGTTTAGCATATTGCCACAACTGTTGTTTACTATCTGGCCTGCTGCACTAATTTTTGGTATCATTCTGGCACTAGGTATTTGTATTTATGACTTTACTAGTGTGCTGATTAGGAAGATTGCTCACCATTTCTGATAGGAAGCTTTTGTAATCTTAATCAGTTTTTAAAGTTGAGCTAATAGTCTGCTTTCCATCTCTGTTGATGAATTTGGGCTTTATTCTCTCTAGGGATGGCAATTCTGCAATTTTAATATTTTGGGGATTAAATTTTACACTTTTTTTGCCACAACCATTTATAAAACAATATCAGTACACTGTAGCTTAATTTTAGTCACTGCCCTTTGGCATTTGTTAGGAACTGAATGATTTATAATCTAGGAGTAATTCTAATGAAGAGGGCCTCGTAATCCCAAATTAGTGTTACAAGTTGAACACAGATCCTTTATCATTTATGTATTATAGCAATATAGTATCACTAACATATAGTAATATATTTATTATTAATATAGCAAGTCCACATAATTTGCCCTTGAAGCTTATAACTAGGTCCAAAAAAGATCTGGATTTGAAACTTGCTAAATCATATGCCACTGACACATTTGACTTGAATTTTGAATAGTTTTTGTTAACTAGAGGAAACACTACTTTTCAAAAATGCAAAAAGTTAGAAATGTCTTTTGTTGGGATATGTAAGAAGACTGCATAATTGGCAGTAAGGGCCAGGAGAAAACCCTTTGTATATTTATAAATATAGGGAAATTTTTGTATATCCCTTTCACTAAAACATAGAAAAAGATTAATTTCCAATTAAATGTATGATTTTCAAAGAGGATGGCTTGATACTCTAATCACTATTGAAAATTGTTTGGTGAATTGTGTCACTTTAGGTGGAGGAAGCTAAACAAGAATTACAGGAAGTCGTCGAATTCTTGAAAAATCCACAAAAATTTACTGTGCTTGGAGGCAAACTTCCGAAAGGTAAGATATTGTCCCTTTACCAGACTTGACATCAAAAAGTACTGTACTATGTTACTAATTTAATTTTTATCAGATTTAATGGATTAAAGTTTGCTTTTAATTGCTATTTTATACATAAATGCTCATCTTGAACATACTTTTCTATAACATTTTTTGGTAATTTTAAGTTTCGTTATAATTTCAAACTTTAAAGTTACAAGAATAGGATAGAAAATTCTATCCATGCTTAGCCCAAACTCACCAAGTTTACATTTTGTCATGTTTGCTTATTCCTTTTCTTTACATACGTGCATTTTTTAAAAAAAATACTAAGTTTTGAAGAAAAGTAAAACATACAACCACAGCATTTAAATTAAGAAACTTAGGAAAATCCCAAGTGCTTTCATGGATCTTCAGTTACTATTCAAATAACATACTTTTTAAACCAGTTAAAATGAGAGAATTAAATTCAGTAAGCAGATTGAGCAATACACATTCAAAATACTATGTCTTCCAGTGTTCTTTCCCACCAACTATGCTGTTTAAAGTTCCACAACTATATTATTTTCTTCTTCTTGTTCTTTAGTGATTTCAGCAACAACAACAACAAGAAAAACTGTTCCAGTATTGTTTGAGAAAAGCTATTTTCTTTGGTGACAAAAGTATTTTTAGCTTCTCGCTTAGAAAAGGGGTTGTGAAAGGGACTGAACATCTACATTAGGACTTGTATAAACTGAAATAGAAGAAAAATTCTCTTGATGACTTGCATTTGGGAAAATATACTAAATTTCTCTTTGAAGGTGATCTGCTTCTAAGTTTTCTATCTAGTTCTTTAACTTAATTTCCAAAAAAGTAACCTTTTCCAAATTTACTCTTCAGATGTTGGACTTGCCCAATATATTTCTTAACTGCCCAGATACTGTGATAGCCACTCAGTCACAGACAGTCTCTGCCTCTTCCACATAATAAGTGGTCAGAATAGCAGCTCACTTTTTGCTTTTGGTTTTAAATTACAATTCGAATTTCTCATTACGAGTGTTGTTTGGCGTAGGGTCTATACCTGTAGATGGTTCATCTGCAAAGTAATCTGAGGATTCCCCAGCATACTTAGAGCAAAACTCACCTTTCTCTTAATTCCTGCAGATAGTTTCTTTATAGTTTTCTGAAGATATTCTTTCAAATCAAGTGCATTTGTTATTTGATTTGTGACTTCTTTCATGTCACTTGGATTCATTCATTTCATAGCTCCATAAATTTCAAAATGTTCCTGCAATGTAATATCTGACCTCAGGGGGTTTATCTGAGGACAATATCCCATACCCTTAATGGAATCATCATCTTCAGTTGGGCCTGAAGAATAATCTATAAATACCTGGCCTGAAGTTGGTTCAGTATCACCAACTAGATTATTCACAGTTGTGCTTTTGCTTGCACCATTTGGGCCCAACAGTCCCAAGATCTCTCCTTTTCTCACACAGAAAGAGACATGTTTAGTTGCCACTTTCTTTACTTTTTTTGTAAGAAGAAAATCTTTCTTGTCATCATATACTTTATGCAAATTGCTGACCGTAATGGTTGGTTTCTCTTCACAACACTGGCAACTCATTAGTTCTCTGACCTTTAGTTTTTCAACTTTGACATCTTCATCCTCATTGTTTGGTGGTTCTGGAAACTTCCTGTTTTGGAACTTTGTAGAAAAGGTCCTGAAAGGGATATCCTGATCTGCCTTCATGTATTTTTTTTTATAGTACTCTAAGAGGAAAATCCACAGTACACACTGCAGGTGAGGAGATATAACAGCCATCAATAAGCCCATCAATAAGCTTATCCCATGGATTATAGGTATCCTTATTTTTTTGAATATATTTTTGAATATTCTTTCAAGAAACCTAAGACAAAAATTTTTGAAAATTTGTATGCTGCTGTGATATTGTGATGTATGACATTTGGTCTTTGACCCATACATGTATTTTTTAACCATTTGAGAGTAAATTATAGATACCATGCTCCTGTATGCCTAAATATCTCACTCTATTTTCTCTTAGAGTAAGGGTGTTCCAAAACTATTATCGAATTCACAGTCATATTTAAATTTCAGCATTTGTTCCAGTAATACTCTTTGTAGTTAGATCCCCTCACCCCCTACCCCCAATCCAGGTTCACACATAACATTTAGATTTTTCTTTAATCTGAAAAATTCCTCAACCCTTTTTTTGGAGGGGTTGAGGGTAGATGTTTTATGGTCTTAATTGTGTAGAATACACACGAATTTGTAGAACATTTCTCAATTTGGATTTGTTATCTCACAGTTACTCAATATGATTTTTAATGATTGTGATATTGTGCTTTATAATAAGAAATATATTTAATGTTAGTTCCAGTTTGGGCACAGAGCTCCTAAAGCTGTAATTTTAATACTGAAGAGAGCAGAGCAATAAAGGTTTCTTTTGTTATGTTAATGAGATAACTTGGAACACACCCGAAGAAGGGGGCAGATTGCCAGGAGAACTAACCCTGTGGGGTTGGAACATTTAGTCTACCCCCCACCTCTGGGGAGGGACAGAGGCTGGAGGTTGAATCAATCACCAATGTCCAATGATTTAATCAATCGTGCCTATGCAATGAGGCCTCCATAAAAACCCAGAAGGATGCGATTTCCCCGCATATCTCCTTTGGCTGTTCCTGATTTATATGTGTTATAGTAAAACAAGTAACCTGCTAAGTAAATGTTTCCCTGAGTTCTGTGAGCTGCCCTAGCAATTTAATCATACACAAGGAAGGGAACATCGGAACCTCTGACCAGCCTGTTGGTCAGAAGCATAGGAAATCACTTGATCTTGCCGCTGGCATCTCAGGGTTGGAGGTGGGGAGCGGACTTGTGAGACTGAATTCTCAACTCGTGGGGTCTAATGCTATCCCCAGGTAGGTAGTGTCAGAACTGAGTTGAATTGGAGGGCACCCAGCTGGTGTCAGAGAATTGCTTTTTAGTGTGAGGTGGAAACCCACATACTGGAATTGGGTGCACAATTGTAATGACGCTATGGTGTTGGTTGTACTCTACTTTAACCATTTATAAAGAACTTTAAAATTATTTTTAATGTTTTACTATTAAATTTAGCACTGGGATGATCATCTTACTATCTCGAAGCTTTGCCGATACGCTTAATTATTTCCTTAGAACAAATCCTAGATTTATTCATTTGTTATTTATAGATTATTATAGATTCTAATTCTAGAAATGGATTTGGTGAATTAAAGTGGGCACTCTGATTTAAGGGTTTTTCAAAATTAAATTTACTGGGATGACATTGGTTAATAAAATTACATAGATTTCAAGTGTACAATTCAATAATAACATCATATGTATATTGGATTGTATGTTCACCACACTAAGTCAAATCTTACATCACCATATTTTGACCTCCTTTACTCTTATTTGCTTCATGCCCACCCCCTTCCCCTCTGGTAACCACCAAACTATTGTCTTTGTCTATGAGTGTCTGTCTTGTTCATCTGTTGCTTTCAGTTTTATACCCCACATATAAGTGAATAAGGCTTGATTTTATACTGCCCAGTATCTCTATTGAGAATGTTCAGTAGTATATGAAAATGTTGCATGATAATTTAGGATTCATTTATGAAATCAATAATGTAACATTGTAAGGAACATTTTTAAAACCGTAAAAATAATTACATTCTTCTTTCTGATCAGAAAGAATATTATAAATTTGTTGGAAAATTCTCAGGTACCAAGATATAATCTATAGAGTGATATGAGATGATTTAAACTAGTTAGGAATCACAATAATACGAAAATAGAGGATAGTCTTAAAAGTATTTTTGGGCTTTCCTTAAAAAGATTGTTTTTATGTTAAGATACAGCATTAATACGGTTTTGTTGCCTTTTAAAATGTAATCTGAAAAATGCAAAAGTTACTTAAACCAGAGAATTCTATTTTAATCTATGAAAAAATTGTTATAAAAATTTTCAAACCTATGGAAAAGCTAGAAAGAAAGCTGTAGACATTAACTACTGTATATCTAAACACTTTTTTAGATGTCATCTAAGAGTAAGGACATTGTTCTAAATAAAATTTATTCTACCAATTAAAACTTACTATTTTAATATCATGTATTCTCTAGTATTTTTTCAAATTTTTACCAGATGTCCCTAGAATTTTTAAAAATGTGTCTTTTGTGGAAGAACATTAGTCAAGGTTCATGCATTACATTTGGTTGTTTAGTCTCAAACTTTGTATGTGAATTTTATCTTATTTGTTTAGTGATATATAAGTTTATATTCCTTTCCCTCAAGAGTCTGTCTTGTCAATAGCTGATATATAAAAGGCATTTAAATGATACAGGGAAATGAGTATTGGAGAAGACCCTGAAGTGAATCAATAATTAGATAAAATATGTCGTGCTGTGTTTCAAAATATTGGTCATTGATGTGCTTCAAACCTCAAAATTATATAAATTATTTAATTATTTTATAGATTTATATCAGAATTTCCTGTTATACTTTGAATCTTTCTTGTTACCTTTTTTTAATTTTATTTATTTATTTTTTTAAGGAATTCTTTTAGTTGGACCACCAGGAACAGGAAAGACACTTCTTGCCCGGGCTGTGGCTGGAGAAGCTGATGTTCCTTTTTATTATGCTTCTGGATCAGAATTTGATGAGATGTTCGTTGGTGTGGGAGCCAGCCGTATAAGAAATCTTTTTCGTACGTTTTAATGTATCTTGCATACAATATTAAATTTTCTTAATTTCAAGGGAACAGCGTTTCTTATCCTTTCTTTACTACTTGGTTAACATTGATAGCTGAAATAGCCATTGTGGGATTCTGGTTTCAGGTAACTTAATGTGTGAGCTAAAACAGAACTGTACTTTTCCACCCCCAAGTAGTCAGAAGAGCTAGTGTAAGTGTTAGATGCAGTGGCAGGGGGGTGGGGGTGGGGCTGCTGAAAAAGCTGTTAATTTTTTTGTTTTTGTGTGTGGGTTTTTTTTTTTTTTTTCGTTTTAATCATTTCTATAATATATAATCAAAGAGTAGCTTCAAACCTGATTGTATATAGTTTGTACAGCTAGGAAGAATAAATGCTCAGTTGTTTTTATTATACTTTATTCTTTATGGTATAGTTCTTTTCTTCTACTATTTTTCAGTCAGTAAAAAAAAATCCTTTTGTGTGTTTTTCTCTCTAATGAATGAATGTCTTTGTTAGCTTTTGATAATCATACAGGTTTTTAAATTTATATGATTTTGTTCAAAAAGTGTTGATTTCATTAAACGTATTTGAATCATTTCTGTTTTCCTAGGGGAAGCAAAAGCGAATGCTCCTTGTGTTATATTTATTGATGAATTAGATTCTGTTGGTGGGAAGCGAATTGAATCTCCAATGCATCCATATTCCAGGCAGACTATAAATCAACTTCTTGCTGAAATGGATGGGTAATTGAATCTTCCCCTGTCTTTGGAATATGGTGATATATTTGGTAACATTTGAGAGTGAGGGAAAATGTTATGTTTATAGGCAACAGCGTACTATCATGCAAGAAGTCAAGGCAAGAAGTCAAAGCTTATTCTCAGTATTATATTGTTTGTTTATGAATGGGGTAATTAATGTACCAACTCCTTTTAATTGGTGTTATCTACATCTATTTTCATTTATTGTATTATGACAGGAAAGCATTGATTCCTGCTAAGACTAGCAGTCTTATTTGGAGATGTAAAGGGAGGGTACACCAGTCCCTATGTAATTTGTGACTAGCTTTGAGCGTTGCAGGAAATTAATAGTTTGTATCAGTTTTCATAATATAAAAAGAGGCGGAGTTGTTTCGAAAGAATCAAAAACATTTCTTAAGGTCATATAAAACATTCCGGCACCAAATAGGAAGTCAGGAAGCAAAGAATTTGAATTGGTAAACTTGAAAATAAATAATTTTTAGAAATTAGGTACCCAAGCTTTTTGTGTCAGGTCATCTCTTCCTAAGAACTAATATTGTGCAGATATGTAATCACAAATGATTGATAATTTATTAATAGCAGATTCATCGATGTATGAATGCCTAACATTTGTTACTTTTAAAAAAATAGAGATATCTTATCATTTGGGTCATAAAAAGAGCAGACCCTTTTCTTTGCTGTTAATAAGATCAATGATGAAACAGCTTTGTGTAGAACATTTCTTATGTGTACTGTTTTAATTTTTAACGAAAAGGTACTTTTTTTTTTTTTTAAGTTTTAAACCCAATGAAGGAGTTATCATCATAGGAGCCACAAACTTCCCAGAGGCATTAGATAAGTAAGTATTAAAAGAAAATTTGTGTAGAATACTGATACATACTGGAACATGGATGAACTTTAAAAACATGCTAAGAGAGGGAAGCTCATCAAAACCGTCACATATTATATGATTCCATTTATTTGAAAAGTCCAGAATAAGTAAATCCATAGCAACAGAAAGTAGATTAGTGGTTGCCAGAGACTGAGGAGTATGGGGAGTGACTGCCAGTGGATGTCTTTTTGAGGAGGGATGAAAATATTCTAAAATTAAATTGTGGCGATGGTTGCACAACTCTGAATATATCAAAAACCACTGGATACACTTGAAATTCTGTGGTATATGAATTATATCTCAGTATAGCTGTTGAAAGAACCATCTGACAACTTATCACAAAATTATGGGGGGTGTAGAGTATTAGTTTATCTTTACCTAAAACTCTAGTTTAACATTCTTTATGTACAGCAGTTAAGATGGATGTGTAGCTCTCATCACAAATTGCTGTAGAATTATTTGTTCCTTGACTGAGTGACTTGCATGTTTTTGTTTCTGAGAGCTGTGTACTATCTAGATGTACACAAATATCTATGTGTCTAGATGCACACGAATATCTATGTGAACTTTTGTTCTGTCTTCTGGTTATTGAAACTGTTATTTGAGCCATGTTTTATAAGGAACTATCTGAATATTTATATTTAAACTCCATCTAACCTTTGGTCACCATTGTCTTTCCATCCTTTCTTTAGGATGTGAGTCTTGTTTATTTTGACCTTCAGCATACTCATCTTATTAATTTATATTTTCTTTTTGTATTCTCCCTTTAGTGCCTTAATACGTCCTGGTCGTTTTGACATGCAGGTTACAGTTCCAAGGCCAGATGTAAAAGGTCGGACAGAAATTTTGAAATGGTATCTCAATAAAATAAAGTTTGATCAATGTAAGTCTAATTTCATGACATAAACATTGTAATTTCCATAAAATGCTAATATATCAATTCATCTTGTTCGTGGTCCCTAATTAATAAGTGTCTCAAAAACACCAGTTCTTTTATATGTCCCTTTTCCCTTCCATGTATGTCCTCTTTAAAAAAGTCCATTTCTTAATTTGTCTGTATCCAGGAGATCTTCTAATTTTGAATCCTGATTCTAAAAGTTTTCTTTTGAGCATTCAGATAGACAGTACTTGGAGATGAATATATGTATAAATGTTCTTTAAGATGAATGTAAAATATAAAATTATAGAAAACACACCTTTGTATTATGAGCACAGTATGTCATGATATAATCACTTTAGGGCCAAAAGAGGAGATACACACTGTAAAAGAAAACACGTGGAAATATTGTGGACCCACTTGAGTAATAAAAGCAGCTGTTAAAGCTGTCGTATTTTCAGAGATATCTGAATCAATTTGTAAAACCAAAGGGGATCGAATACTTGATGGCGGAAGGAAGTTTAACTTTGGGTAGTGAACACAAAATGCAATATACATATGACATTATTGAATTATACCCTTGCAACTTATTTGATTTTATTAACCAATGTCACCTTAGTAATTTTAATAAAAAATAAAAAAAATATGTTGCGTATAATGAGAGTTTTTATGCCCAAAGTTTTTCAAGATGAAATTCAGAAAACAAAATGTCTCTATGTATGCATTTTCAATTTGTGGTTGGGCCATTAAACAGTATAGGTCATGATAGGAAGCTTATTCTGGTGCTCTACATTTCTTTGTTTTTCACAAAGTTTTTTAAATTTGAGAACTTTTGCAGTTTGTCCCAATGGCAGTTTTAATGGCATATTTATAAGCAATTTTAGCTTTTTCCTTTTAGAATTTAATTTAGTAAAGTAAGTTTTTTAGTTTAAGATAAATATTTTAAATTACAGTTCATGATAGCTGTTATCTGTTTTTTTTCTGTTGGAATGTGAGTTCTTTGTGAAGAGCTTTCTATTAGCTGTTTTAGAATTTGAATATGTTCTATCTACTTAGCTGTTGATCCGGAAATCATAGCTCGAGGTACTGTTGGCTTTTCTGGAGCAGAGTTGGAGAATCTTGTGAACCAAGCTGCATTAAAGGCAGCTGTTGATGGAAAAGAAATGGTTACCATGAAGGAACTAGAGTTTTCCAAAGATAAAATTCTGATGGGTAGGTTTTCCTTTTTTTTTCTACTTTATACTATTCATTATGTTAGAGAATAAATTTTTCATTTTGAGAGAAAGGTTATCAAAATAAAGGCACAGGAACATGAAAATATATACTTGAACATAGCAACACAGTTTGGCCTTTTATAGAACAAATAAAGCTTACGTAATTATACTTTTGGGGGACTTGGATGCTCATGATTTTGCTCTTATCTGAGATTGATGATAAAAGGATAGTTAATTTTTTTTTAGTATTTAATTTTTATTTTAGATCATGAATTGATTTCAAAACAGATTAGTTATGACATTCCTGTTAAATTGGAACCTTATTTTCTCGAAATAGAATTAAGCATTCTCTTTTGGTATATGAATTAAGATGATAATTGTAACAGTTTTGATTTTCAGCTGATAGGCTGTTGTAAATTACATGTGTTGTAGAGTGAATTCTACTCCTCTTTAAAAACTTTTACTCTGTTTAAACTGTTAATATTAAATCATGTTACTCTAAAAATAACTTTGTGGCAAATGAATTTAGTTTATTTAAATGTACCTGGAGTATTTTATCTACTTAAATGTTTGTTCTTAGGGCCTGAACGTAGAAGCGTGGAAATTGATAACAAAAACAAAACCATCACGGCATATCATGAATCTGGTCATGCTATTATTGCATATTACACTAAAGATGCAATGCCTATCAACAAAGCTACAATCATGCCTCGAGGGCCAACACTGGGACATGTAAGTTATCTCGTAGCTTTTTTTTTAGTAGTGCTCCCCAGAAGCTTATGTAGGAAATTGCTGATGAAAACATTTTAAAAGAAAATTTAAAAAAAAGAAAGAAAAAAGAAAATTCAGCCACATCCTAAGTTTGTGGATACTTTTTAACTTCCTGAACTGTCTTGAAATCATAAATACTTGTGAAATTTATCTGATAATAAAGAATATTAATGTTTTTGATATTAATATTTACATTATGAAATTTAATTTTAGAATGACAGCAAAGAATAATTCTTAAATATCTAATTGTTCTATTCCCCCCAGAAAGAAATTATGTACTTGTTAAGTAGTTTTCCTAAGATTTTTCTCATCAACTACAAGTTTATCATATCTTTTAAAATATACACACTTTAAACATTTTTGTAAAACAGAAGATAAAACAGTCCTATTACAGGATTATCTACCTATTATTTAGAAAATGAACTTTTATTTTATACAGAATGTTCCTTATTTTATAAATTGCTGTCTTTTGAGCTTTCAGCATCATTGTATTCATAAGATAAGAGAGCCAAATGATAATTCTGGTTATTAACATAAGTGTTTCAAACTGTTTTGAATTGTTTCTTTGTTTTTCATTTGTCTAGGTGTCCCTGTTGCCTGAGAATGACAGATGGAATGAAACCAGAGCTCAGCTGCTTGCACAGATGGATGTTAGTATGGGAGGAAGAGTGGCAGAGGAGCTTATATTTGGAACTGACCATATTACAACAGGTTGGCTGTAAAGAATGGCTTTAGATCACATTGTGTTTGCTGGTTTAAAGATATTTTTATAACTGGAGTTCTATATATATTTTAAATTCATAGGTGCTTCCAGTGATTTTGATAATGCAACTAAAATAGCAAAGCGGATGGTTACCAAATTTGGAATGAGTGAAAAGGTATTGGCTACTTTTAATCCTTCCTCATATTCAAATGATATATGCCAAGTGTCTCTGTGAGAGAGGGTTCACATAAATTGATAACATTTACTTTTCCACTGTCTCATTACAAATGGATTTGTCCCAGCTTATTCTAAACTAAATCTTATTTTCTGAGTAATCACATGTAGCATTCTTTTTCTATTCTAGCTGGTCAAACAGTAGTAGTTACTATTTCATGAGTTAACCAAGTGATAAGACAAACTCTTTAGCCTTTTCTATTGATATGACATAAAAGACCTACTTGCTGAATTTGCCATGCATTACCCTTTTCATATATTTCACTTTCCTACATTATCACTGTGGTTCCATGAAGCAATTCTAGTGCTCTGAATTGGGGATTTCTGGACTTGGAATAGCTGCCCAGATTTTCTAAGAAAGTACTCAGAACCATATGTATGATTTAAAATTTTCTTTCTTGCTCATACTTAATTTTAGTTTTATACCTTTGGAAGAATAATGGAGTTTCTTTGTCCTTAGGGCATTTTTATATTGAATTTCTTCCTTGCCCCTTGTGAAATTTGTTTTTATATGTATAGGACAGTACTTTTTCTGTTACATTTATTAGTGTTTTGGGTTTTTCTATTCAATTTCTTCCCATTCATTTTAGCTTGGAGTTATGACCTACAATGATACAGGGAAACTGAGTCCAGAAACGCAATCTGCTATTGAACAAGAAATCAGAATCCTTCTAAGGGTAATGATCATATTTTTCTATGCTTACTTATTTAGTCATAAATAGTAGGGTGCTTACCCAATGATAACCGAAGGCTTTCATTCTTTAGAAATGTCACTATATGTAATAAAGATAATAGATGCACCATTGCAACCATGATTTAAATAAGATGGTAGAGAACCTCTGGTCATAGACTGGATCTTTATTTTATTCTAGCCATAGGCTAAAAACAGTTTATATCAGTGAGTAGGTCTACTGTAGCTGCAAAGCCATAAGAGGTATTAGAATGGGGGATATTATTGATCCTAATCGTTTTCCCACTGTGACATATATTTGTTCAACATATGTTATTATTTACTTGTGCTGAGAATACAGAGAAAGCAAAACAAAGGTCATTTCCCTGCAGTGTCCAGTACAGGTTAGGGTGAAGGATGTCTAAGAGTAGGTTCAGTGATCTCAGTAGGTTGTGTGATAATCTAGTATGATGGAATGATGGGTACTTGGAGTAGGGTGGTAAAAGTGGAAATTGAGAAACATGGATAGGTTGGACAGATTCTGATGTAGTGGAATCAAAATGCCTTTGTTTTGATGTTTTGGGTATGTGATCTGCTAATTAAATCAAAAAACAATTTTTTAGATTTCTACCTTGTGCAACTATCTAGTTGTGCCATTTACTGAATAAATACTGATGATGACCTAAGGCTGGGAAGAGTGTAGATCATGAGTTCAGTTTTATACATGTTGAATTGAGGTGTTTTAATGAAGTTTGGAAGTTGAGAGAGATACATAAGTCAGGAGCTTAAAGCAGAGATAGGATATGTGTTCCCTTTGGGCATGCATGAAGGCAGATCTTGGAATGGAGAAGCCTGACCTGAATGTCAGAAGTCTTTAGTGAATGATGACTGTGATTAGGGTAGATGACACAGTGAAGGGTACTGGGTAGGGCTATAGTAAAATAACATGAACATCAAAGGAATAGTGCTTGATAGAAGAAGATAGTATAGTAATGGTCTGGAAGTGTTGGTGGGAACAAAGAGCTCACCTCTTTATCCTGAAGTGTGTGAGATAAAAGTGAATAAATAACTGCCACTTGGGGCTTAGAGAAAGTAGTCTCTCCAAGTTTTGATTAACTCAAAGGAGGTAGGGAAAATGCTTTAGAGTAGTTAAGGATATGGGAAGTTTATATAATAGAAAGGGTTAGTTAGAAGGTGTTTCAGAAGAATCTGCCTTCCCAGAATCTTAATTCTCTTTCCATTACTATTTATGTTATTCTGAATAAATTATACTGTAATACTGTAATACTGTACTGTAATACTGTAATACTCTAGAGCATGAATTGGATTCTTTCCTTCTCAAATGATAGATTGGAAAGGCGTTAGGTGCTCTTCCCACTAGATGGCAAGCTTACACTGTTATTAAGGGGACATGATTCCTAGTGAATGGCATTTTGGGTTCAGATGTATGTGAAACTTAAATGCATAAAATCCTAATGATAATCTTAACATGTTATGATGTAAGAGTTTCATCCTAAGAAAGTTTTCAAAGTTATTACTAATTTATCCTTGATTTTTAGTTATAATTTTCTATGATTTATTTATAATATTTTATATATATCCTTTAATTAGATTGTTTTACATAAGGATTTTTGTTCAGAATGTATAGTGATGTCTATATTTAATAATTGTTATTATGTTTTTATGATCTGTGCTTCTTGGTGTTGGTAAACTCATTTTTATATTTTCCACCCAGTTTTATAAGGGCAAAAATATGATTACTCAAATATTGGTAAAATCACTGTATAGACAAATGTGACACTGCCAAAAAGAACTGTTAGTAATGCCGTTATTCGTGAACTGATAAACTTAATCCTAAATCACCTTTGGAAAGACAATTGAAGGACTTAAAGTGGCAAATATAAGGTGGATTGCAAAAAAAAAAAAAGTGTGTGGAAATCAAGGATCAGCTGTAATAATTCTGTTACAGTTGTCACAAATTGACAAGTGAGTATATTACCAAGTAATGTTAACTAGACAAAAAAGGGGTTGGTTTGCATACATCTATGCCAAAAAGAGATACATGCAGATTTTGTAGCAAAGAAAGTAAGGTTTATTTAGAGAGTTGCAAGTCCTAGAGACAGGCAGGCTATCGCTCAAAGGCCTGGCTCCCCGGTGTCTCAAGAGTATAGATTATATAGGGAAAAATCAGTAGTCATGGAAACTAAGGGAGTTAGGATCATGGGTGCAACTGATTGGATGATTGGAGGGGGATGAAGTAATTGATCATTGCATTGGGTTCTGGAATCAGCCACTGCGCCATCCTGTTAGGTCCCTTCAGGTCTTGTGGCCATTGGGGTTGTTGTGCCTCGACTGGCCTGGGACTGAAACACATCTAAAGCCAAAATGTTATCCTTAAAGTCTACTCGAAACCTACTGTCCTCATGATAACTGACCTGAGGCTTGGTTAATCTTACATCTTAAGGCCTAATGATTAAAGGAGCAGGCATACAGAGGATAAGGACGGGAAAAGAAAGCAAGTGAGTCACATTGCTATTATCTGGGCAAAACCATCTTGAGTCAGAGGAAAAAATACTGTGTTAAAGAAATGAAGTTTGTGTGTGGTTACAGTAAAAGAATGGAAAGGTAGATCTTTTCTGGCCATTCTAGATTGAATAAATTGGTGAAATCAAGAGGGAAAAGGAGCAAATGTCCTTTGTAATACATATACTAGATAGAGAAATAGATTTCTATGTTCACAAGCCTTATGTAAAAAGCAGATAAATACAAAGTATACTTTAATTTTTTAAAGTAGTTTTTTATCATTGTTCTACGTGGTAGATTTGGTTTTTTTTTAGGCAAGGCATCCTTTAGTTGACCTTACAGATTGCAAGGACCTTGTCAGCTTATAGTCCCTTATAGGGTTTTTTTTATTTTTTACGCCTGCAGCACCTGGTCTTTCTAGGTGGTCTCCCATCCAAGTACTAACCAGGCCTGACCCTGCTTAGCTTCCGAGATCAGACGAGATTGGGCTTGTTCAGGATGGCATAGCCATAGATGTATATGACAGATTTTGAGGTTGAACATAGAACATTTGAAAGTACAAAAGAGTTATCTCTGGGAACCAAGCATTTAAATGCTTTTATATTTTAGTCATTTGCTGCCGGTGCTGGCAGCTCTCAGGATACAGAGCTGCAGCCCCAGTGGAGGTACCCTGACCTCTGGGGAACTGGATAGCCGCTGAACAGCCAGGCCTTGAACCCCGTTCTCTGGCTCTAGAATCCTGCAAATAAGGAAACTGAGGCACAGACAGTTTAAATGACTTGCCCAAGGTCACATGGCTCTTTTTCTTAAAAGGCTAAGAAAATCATAAGGTACATGTCAATGAGTCAGCAAGATTTTATCCAGATAATACTACAGCTATATAAGACGTTTTGGATACTAAAGAACTTACTAAAAAGTGTGGAAGAATGTCAGAATAAATTATCCCTTGTTGGAACTGAGACTCTCGTTGATTCAGATGCTCAGCTATTATTATTACTTATGCAAGTAAAATGTTTAATTGCTGAACTCAGTCAATAGTAGGAAAGAAACTCCTGAAATGGTTCCACTGAATGAAGAAGAGCTGGAACAATTAGGAAAAGAAGAGTTCCAAAAATTGAGACATGATCTTGAATTGGTACTGCTATTCAATCAAAGAATGAAGGAAAAGTTCAAGGAAGACTTTGAAAGGAAGCAGCAGTGGTTGGATGAGCAGCAACATATTGGAATCTCTTTCTGTACTACAGGATGAATTGAAACATCAGGTTGTGACTTTTTGAATCAAGACTCTTAAATGAGCTGTCCACTAAAGTTCATGATACAAAAGAAAATAAAGAGAAACTGTCAATTACCTTGAGCGAGTTTCTAGAAGACCGCTTTTCTCTCTGCCTCATAGAAATGTTGAAAAGAGAAAAGTATTCAAGAATCAACTGCACAGCTGATAACTCTACATGAAATGTTAGAGATTATTTTAAATTGATTATTTGTTGTTCCACATGATCTGCATGTCAAAATTAGTGATACTTTTTGGCCACTATATAGTGACCCACTCCTGCTTAAAGGGATTTCCTTGAGACATCCAGAAGATCCAAACTGAATAAAATTAGAAGAATTCCATCAGGAAAAGGATGGTCTGTTTTTCACATAGTGCTTAAAGAATCTTGCTTGTCATTCAAGGATAATGGGAACACTGAGTATTACTTTTATAAAGAACATCATTTGCAAGCCAAAACACACAGTTCATCTCCCTTTTATCCTTAAAATGACACATGCTGTCTTACACCAAATGATCCTTTCACACCGTGCTGGGAGGTAGGCTCACAGCCGTCTTTGTCCCCTGCAGTGCTCCCACGGGAATGATCATGGATAAAAATGAGCTGGTACAGAAAGACAGACTCACAGAACAGATTGTGCTGATATGGCCACAGCTATGAAAACAGTCACGGAAAGGGGCACAAACTCTTCAAAAAAGAGAGAAATCTCTCTTTTGCCTATAAGAACATGGTAGGTGCCACTGTTCTTGGCGTGTCATCTCCAGCATTGAACCGAAAACAGGAATGCACAGCAGCAGCAGCAGGTAGGCGGAGTCCTGCTAGAAGATAGGGGCAGAACCACAGGACACCTGTAATGACGTTGTAGAACTGTTGGACAAATATCTATTCCCAGTGCTACACAACCAGAAAGTAAGGTGTTCTACTTGAAAATGAAAGAATATTTTAGGTATCTTTCTGAGAGTGGCATTTGGAGACAGACAAACCACTGTTGACCTCCCAGCAGGCTTACCAGGAAGCATTTGAAAGTAGTAAGAAAGAAATGCAGCCTACATACCCAGTTCAGCTTGGCCTGGCACTGAATTTCTGTCTTTTACTATGAGATTCTGAACTCTCCTGAAAAGGCTTGTAGCCTGGCAAAAACGGCATTTGATGAAGTAGTTGCTGAATTGAACACACTGAATGAAGAGTCGTACAAGACAGTTCCTGATCATGCAGTTGCTCAGGGACAGTCTCACTCTGTGGACGTCGGAAATACAGGGGGATGAAGAGATGCTAGGGAGGGAGAGAACTAATGTCTGTCGTGCTTTGTGATCTGTTCAGTGTCACTTAGTACCTTCTACATGTCATTTTGCGAGATTAAAAAATCATATATCTACTGTTTATTTTCCACAGCCTTAGCCTAGTGAAAGTGGTCCATGGGATATACAGCTTGCACTTGTATTTCAGACTCAGATTGGTCACATAAATGTCATGGCATTCAGAAGGATTGATTTTGATTAATTGATTTTTCAAAAACTGAACATTGTGATTATGAGGGTTTATAACTAAGCAGAACTCTTACTGGTAGAAAAAAATAGACCTGAATTATGTATAACTTTTTGGAAAGTTTAATCTGTTATCAAAACAGTCACTGAAATACAGCTCCATTGTAGAGTTGTACAGAAAGTTATAGATTATATGGCAATGCTGGGACTTGGAGTGAGACACCTGTCATTCGCGTTCGAATTTGATGGTAATTCATAGTAAATCTGCCTGTTGTTCAGGGCTTATAGACACTTGACCAGTTTGGGCTGCTGTCCATCAGAAGTTATGACCACAGATGTCCACAGTGTCTTCCTTTGAGGAAACTTGAATCCTGAAATTGAAATTCTGTATGGCAGATAACTGGGTTATGACACCATGAAAAGGTCCAGTGCACATATTACACGTGACTGAAACCCCTTTCCACGGTGATACGTTACTGATTTGCGTCTTGTGCTTCAGTAGCGAAAACTGTTTTCCTTGTAACCGTGAACAAACGAAAAGAAAAGCCGTTTATTTTAGGAATGGCCTTATCTGTGTCCTGGGTATTCTCCTTTGAGAATATTGTTCTTCAGAGATTGCCTTTCATGGTGAGGAGTACTCAGGCTTTGGGTTCGGCCCAGCTCGGGGCTTTTAAATTTCTTCTCATTGTCCTTCTTGACTGTGGACTTTGGTTTCTCTTCTCTCTTTAAATTTCTGTCCTTCTACTTCTTTACATCTTTTTTTTCTTTTTGAATTCTATCATTGTCTTTTGTCTACAGTTTAATACTGTATGGGCAGGGATAGGGGTCCTGGGGAATGAAGTTGGTGATCACTTTGGTGAGCAAGCCTTGTTTCAGAGTCGAGAAGAGCTTCCAGCACCATAGCTCTGCCTTCCAGTTCTCAGTATGGTTGTTACTCTTCAGTCAGACCAAGATCTGAATCAAAAAAATATTTTTAAATATCCATGACTTCTCCCTGATAATGCTTGTTAGTACCTGTCACCAGATTTCCCAGCTGTACTCACCCAGCCAAGTTCACAGACGTGTTTAAACAAGACCCTATGATGCAGGGAAATTGCATGAACACTGCAATGGGGAGAATCAGGAATACCCGGGCCTTCCAGTCTCACATTCCAGGTAGCTTATAGTATCTATCTGTCCATCTGCTGAAATGAGAAAAGAAACATTCATGCACTGATGAAAACAAGTCAAAAAAAAAAAAAAATCCGTTTCTAGCTGAAGAAAAACACGCAGTTAAATACTTGGCACTTTAAAAGGCAGTAGTGAATGTGGAACGAGCCTGTCTGTCTGGTAACTCCTCCTTGCTTTGTTTTTCGTTGCCAGTATTCTGCGTCACGTTTGCCTCTGTGATGGTTATGTTGTTAATCAAGCACATCTGTGGTTGTGAAAATAATAAAGCAAAAAAGAAAAATTCCCGGTATCGATGTAAACTAGATGTATACATACGTCTAGTTTCTACTTTATATGGAATAATTAGAGAAAGTGTAAAAAATTCAAAAGTGTAAAAATTCAAAAGTGTAAAAATTCAAAAGTGAAGTAAAAAATGTTATCACTTTAAAAAAATAATTAAAAAAATAAAAACGGTCCCTTCACATTCAAATCAGCGCTTTGGTGTTTTAAACTGAATGGACAAGATTGCAAGTAAAAATACTCTAGACTTAATCATTATAAAACATTTACTATATCTTACTTTTGCAATATTCTTTAGAAAATTCTTTGTTAATTTCTGATATTGCTAATATAATATTTTTCTTTTAAAATTTATGACAGTTTCTCTTATGCATTGAATTCTATTTGGTGTTTACTTCATTTAAATTTCAAAATTTTAATGAAAAGACCATTTAATTTGCAGGTGGTTTTAAAATTGACAGTATCTGATGTAGAATGAAATAATTTAAAATTAGTAAATCTATTCCATGTATACTGCCTTATTTCTAGATTTTTAAAAATTGAAATATAAAGAATGAATAAAAGTAGAAAACTTTTAATGTCTATCATATAATAAGTGATATATGTTAAACCCTTTTGATTCTGTTAATTGTTAATCTTTGTGACTTCTGTAAATAAAATTCACTTATCTAAAAAAATGCTTTCATATTTTATAAATAGAAATGAATAGATTTTGCATATTTTAGAGTACATAAAGTTTTTTTCTTTTTTCATTGATAATTTTTGCTTCTCCTAAGGTTTCTGCCTCTTATATATCTGCTTTTCTATTTCAGGACTCATATGAACGAGCAAAACATATCTTGAAGACTCATGCAAAAGAGCATAAGAATCTAGCAGAAGCTTTATTGACCTATGAGACTTTGGATGCCAAAGAGATTCAAATTGTCCTTGAGGGGAAGAAATTAGAATTGAGATGATATCTCTTTAAATGGATGCACTGCTGGTTTTTCTGCGAGAATATAAGTAGCACTGCAGTAGTCTCCTTTTGCAACGCCTTTCACCCTTTCATGACTTAGTATCACTCAAGGGTGTGAAACACTTTGTCAACCTTTTGTCACATTTATCGAATTTGGGTTATTCTCATGATGACACCTCTTGCAAATCAGCAACTCATAACAAATATGTTAAAGAAAATAAAGAACTATCAGCACTGAAAACAGCTTGTTTGAGAAATGTCAATCAGTTATTAAGTTGAAAATAAGATTTTACGGTTGGTTACGCTACTAGATGTGGATAAAATCGTGCCTTTAGCTCTTTGAAGTATTTTTGTGTAGTAAAGTAAAATTGTTGACAGATTGTCTTTATTTCTAGGTAGTACCATTTATCTTTGATAAGGAAATGATGCTATTTGGCTGTTGGTAAACCATATTTCTACATACATCAGTGAAAACTTCATTAAGATGTACTTAATTATGCTCTAGATTGTTTATATATAAAATGTTTTTTAAAAAATCTTAAGAGTAGAGAATTGTAAACGTACAATCAGAATTTAAATGGTTATAAACTTTAAAAAATGCAGCTTGCATTTTCATGGTCTTTTTTTCTGTTTTAACATTACTATCACTCTGGCTAATGAAATTTATTTCAGCAGCAGTATTTTGTTAAATAAACAACACTTCAAATTCTGAATAACTATATAATTATGCTTCATCTTAAAAGCAAAATGAAACCAAAAACTTAGTCCCCTTCAAAGTGAACTTTTGAATTACCCTGTGCTAAAAATGGAAAATCACATTTGCTTTTCCTTCAGATTTTATGAATACAAATGTGTTTGTTACAGGATTTACAGATGAATTTATTTAACTCAGAAAAGTAATTAGTACATTGTATTGGTTTTTACAACCAAATTATATTCTTGAAGTGATTTTATTAAAATTACCTATAGTTTTTTAATAACTTTTAAGCTGTATATGGTCTTCATTGAAGAAGTTGATAGAAGGAGCTTGCTACATGATGTTCTTGCCCTTTTCTTTATAAATTTAAATTTTGATGTAGTTTCAAACTTAAGAATGTTAACAGTAATAGAAGCAACTCCCATATATACTCTTGACTCCGATTCACCAATTGTTTTTATTTGCCCCTTTCTTTTTATTGCCATTTCCTTTTCCTTTCTCCTTCCCTTCCTCTTCCTCTGTGTGCATATTTGATGTGTGTGTACATGTTTTTGCATGAATTCATGTTTCATTTCTCTGGGATAGACTTCTAGGAATGAAATTGCTGAGTCATGTGGTAAGTTTCTCTTTACCTTTTTAAGAACCTGAGGAACTGTTTTCAAAGTAATTATATAATATGTTCCAACCTCCAGTGTTCGAAGGTTCTGTGCTTTCACATCTTCTAAAAAGAAGTACTACTTAAAGAGTCTTTTTGATAAGACCATTCTGATGGATATTAAGTAGTATGTCATTGTGGATTTAATTTACATTTCATGAGCACGAGTGATGTTGAGCATCCTCTCCTATTTGCCATTTGTATTTCTTTGAAGAAATATTTATTCAAGCATTTTAAATCTTCCCTTTCTGGGTTGTCTTATAGGTTATAAGAAATCATATATTCTGAATATAAATCCTTTATCAGCTGCATCTTGCTTTATTTTTTATCCAGTCCGGCAATCTTTATTATTTGAGTTGGGTGTTAAGTTCATTCATATTTAATATCGATAAAGTTGTTTTGAACATCTTCCATTTTGCTGTTTTGTTTTTCTAATATATAAAGAGATCCCTCTGCTCCTCTTTTTTTGAGTTACATCTTAGTTGTTGCCCTAGAGATGACAGTATGCATCTTAACTGATCATAGTCTCCATCAGAATAAGACAAATTTAATTCTGGTCAAATAGAGGAACTTTGCTCCCCTGTGTATCTTTCTTTTCTCTCTGCTATTGTCATTTGTTATATCTATACATGTTACAACTCAGCAATACAGTGACAAAACTATTTTGTATAATCTTATGTCTTTAGTATTTGTGTCGGAATGTCTTTATTTTGTCTTTGTGTTTTAAGAATAGTTTTGGTGAGTATGGAATACCTGGTTGACAGTTCTTTCTTTAATCACTTTGAATATGTTATCCCACAACCCCTGACTTCCATTATTTTTGGTGAGAAATCAGCTGTTGCTCAAAATTTTGGTCTCCTTTGGCGATAGGTTGTTATCTCTTCCTGTTTTCAAGATTGATTTATTTATTTTTTAGTTTTGTCTTTTAACAATTTGGCTATGATGTCTTTATAGGTGTGGATCACCTTGCGTTTTTCCTGCTTGGGAGTTATTGAGCTTCTTGGATCTGTAGATTAATGCTTTTCACCAAATTTGTGAAGATTTTGGCAGTTATTTCTTCAAATACACTTATCTGTGCTTTTCTCTTTTTCTGGGATTGCCTTTACACATGTTGACACACTTGATGTTGATCTGGTTGCTAGGGGTTTGCTACTTCATTTTTTCTCTCCATCTCTTCAGATTGAATAATTTCTGTTGATTCTTAAGGTCATTGATTTTTTTCTTCTGCCATCTCAAATTAACTAAATTTTTCAGTTTCAGATCATTGTGTTTTTCAGCTCCAAATTTTTATGTGGTTCTTTCATATACTTTATCTCTTTGTTGAGATTCTTCATGCATTGGATCATTTCCATCATAGTTTTAATTCTTTAAACATGACTTCCATTGTTTAACTTCTTTTTAAGTCCATGATAAATCCAACATCTGGAGATACACAGTTGCTTTTTAATAATGCTTTTCCTCCTCAGTAAGGGTCACACTTTCTTGTTTCTTTGGTTTGTAACTTTGTTGAATTTTAGCTAATCTATCAATTATAGAGTCTGATTTTCTCCCCAAATAGTTGTTCTTGTTTTGTTTAATAACTTGCCTTTAGTGTATTTGTGAAGTCTGTCTCTACTAGGGTATGCAGCCACTGATACGTCTGTTCATTTTTTAAAATTTTAAATCTTGCTTCCTAAAGGCTGCTGCTGTTTCTGCACAGCTTAGCATTTAGCCAGAGATTGGGCAGGGGTTGTGTTCAGACCCCATCAGTCAGGCCCTCTACTCTGCTGATGGATTTGTGTGTGGGCTGACAAGTACATTCAATGTTCAGGTCATTTTTAAGTCTGCCCTAGTTTTTGCTTTTTCGTAGGCTTTTTTTGCTTTGTGCATAGTTGCAGACTTTGGCAGCCATGGGTGTGTGGATGGCTTGAATCAGTTCAGTGTCTGCTCTGCCCGTCTCTGATAAATCTGGAGTATATCGAGCACTCACTAAATCCAGATGGCTGTCTTACCTCCCAGAACTTTCAGTGAAATACCTAGCTACACCTTCTGTTGTTTGCTTTAAACAGGACTACAGTCTCAGGCTAGGGAACTGTTTGCTTACCATTGAGATGCCACTTCAATTTACAGTGTCATCCACTGAGTCTCCTCTGGCATTGGCAACAAGCCTGAAGCATGAGAGTGAGCCATTATGGGAGATCCATTTTTGATATTGTACAAAGGGGCTGCTTAGAAGTATGAGGAGTCTCAGAAGAGTTTGATCTAAAGTGGACCTCTGGATTCGCTAAGAGATCCTAACAGGTAAGAAGAAAAAAGCCAACAGAATGGATTGCATTCACTCAGGTCTAGGGAGTTGTAGGTGAGAACAGCTGCGGGTACAAAAGTGCCCCTCAGAAAAAGCTATAAAGTAATTTTCAGACCCAGGCTCCCTCAAACCATTTTATAATAATATCAGCCAGATAACGCTAACTACCCCTTACAGTTTGGACCCTGGTAGGGTCAGCTGAGGGAGAGAGGATGGAATTAGGAAAGAAGTACTTGCCTTCCATTTCTGCTGTAAGTGGTCATGTAGCCTGGCCTAGCTGATTAACTTCTGGTGTTTTTATAGTTATATGGGGCTGGTATTCTGTTTCAGTGCTTTGTGAGTTAAAGCTACTCTATGGACTTTTTATTACTTGAGAGTAAAGTGTTGCAACCTGGGTTGGGAGAAAAATAAAATATTTAGAAGATAGTAGTAGATGATGTTGCTTTCTGATAATATCCTGTGAGTCAAAAATAGTGGTTGTGTATATTAACAGTTTTGCTTCAACACTTTTTGGTGATATAATTCCACTCATGATTTTTCAAAATCTGAAATGTTTGTGTAATTTATCACAATCATATGGGGTATGTGTGTAAATATCACCTTTAAATTTTTTAATGAAACTATCAGGGTATTTCATATGATTTTTGATAGCAGTATATTATGGCTTAATATTCTTCCTCAGAATTCCAATGAAATATAGTCAAAATTATCGAATAATTATCAAAATTAAACAATACCAAAAGAGCTAACCCAGGGATTTATTAGAATTATCTATACTATTGCTATGTTACTAATAGAGACAAGAGAAACCCTTCTCTTACACATTTATGAGGATGTACACTGCTTTTTTTAAAAAGAAAAAAAATTCTTTAGAGTGATCTCTCTTTATCAGGTTGATAAGAAGAGGTTTTTTATTTGTAGGTGCCTCCCAAGGCTCCTGCGATGTCTAGGCCTCTGGGATCTCTGCTTTGTGGCAGAGGAAAAAAAATGCCCTTTATTGTCTGGGGAGGTGTATTTCTTTTCTGTGTCCAGGTAGCTTTGATCTGTGGGTTCTTCCCCTGTAGAAGAATGTGGAGAGTGATAGGGAACCAAGCCTCTGAAGAGCTCCTGAAATCTTGGTACTGCCTCAGCAGCTTAAAGCAGTTCTGGGCCTGCTGCTAGCTCTTGGATGGTGCGGGGAGGTGCACTCTGGCTGGGTGGTGAAGGCGGCCAGGCTTTGTGACTCACCTGTCTGCCTGGCAATGGTGATTGCTAAAACACAGCTGCCACCTTTCTGTATTTTGTCTCTGCCCTGTTTTCTTATTCACTGGGCTCTGCTGCGTGAAATTTGTTCATTACCCAGGCAGGACTCCTTGGGGGGTCCGGGTGGGGGTGGGGGGGTGCTTCAAAGAGTGTAACCCACCACCTAATTCCTTCCTCCCCTGCATTCTGCAGGGAATTTTGGGCTACATCTGCAGCATTGGTCTCCAGCGCAGGTCTCTGCTCCTCTCTCCTGTCTTACTCGCCCTATTTGTCCTTCTGATGCTGTAATGCGCATATCTCTCAGATGTATTTGTGTGCTAAGCTGGGTATTTGCTTTGATTGTAGCTGTTCAATGTGTTGTAATTTCAAGGGAAGAGATTAAGGGGGGTTCTTCACTGTGTTATGTCTCTGATGTCACTCCCTGGTAATTCTTAATTTTTTGAAGAAACTTAATACTGTTTTTATCACTACATGAACCTAAAGGTTTAGACAGACATTTTGATATCTGCTGTGATGGCTACCATCAATGTTTGGATGTCTTACCATTGTTATAGTGCCATAAAATATATATAATTTTAAATGCTGATTCATAGATCTTATGGAGAAATAAGATTTGCCTAAGGCTTTTCACCTTTCTGTTGATTGATTGAATCTTTTATTTATTTCTCGGAAACAGTCTTATTAGAGAAAAGTTTCAAGTTTTAATACACGGAACATTTTTTCC